AATTTGACTGCCTCCTTTTCATATAATTACTGTGGGGATTTGGAAAGCCAGCGATGGTGTTTATGTGGTTAGTATGTCAGCCGTTCCGATACTTGACGTCCAGCCAGCGGGTGCGAGGTGCCAGCCAGCTTCCAGGAGTTAATAGATTCCTGTCCCTGGTGCTTTTAGTGCGCGCTGATCTCCTGCTGACTGCTCCACACTCGGCTTTAAGCGCGGGAGATGCCGTGGTGGGCGGCTTAGAATAGAGCCTCTTTAACACTGCAAACATTTGGTTAATGTACCTTATTACTCCCCCATTGAGCTGATATTCACTTTCCATTCAACTCCGCCTGATGAAAAAGGCACCCCTGAAAATCCCGGTCTCACACGGGCCATTGATATTTACGCTGGTGGATGCAACTCGCTTAATTCCACGGCCGAAATGTTTGTTTTTAATAACCTCTCTCTGTGGATGTGGAGCGAACAAGGGAGCCATAATAAATCCCCAATATTAATTATACTATGTGCACGTCTTAATTTTCTCCTTGCGTGGTCTGCCTGCAAAACACAAACACCCCCCAAAAACAGCAAATCTAGCGTTTGTTGTTTGTTCCCCAGGCCGCGTATATCTGGTTGTAAAGTTATTTTTCATTTTGTGCTGGGAATCACACAATGCGCTCCACATCCAGCCTTCTTATCCCCCTTTTTCTCATCCGCCTGCTCAGATAGATTCTCCCCGTCACCCTCTCTCATCGCCTTCCCACACAAACATACCGTGTCCTTGCTCTGTTCCTGCTGCCTACTGTACTGATGTGCACAAAAGCACTTGAGACAACTTTTTTCTCCCAAGCCACTTAGCAGCTTTATATAGCAACTACCCAAGGAGAGGATTAACAACAGGACACGTGTGCACACCCTGGCTGATAGAACTCTTAAACCACATAGTCCCACCATGTATTCCTGTAGGCCTTTCATTCACCTTTTTATGATACATTATTATCTATACGCAATTGTCTGGTGGAGTATACGGCATGGCCTTGTTTCTTCCACGCGTCACACCGAGAGTCTATTTACTGTGAAAAATCCAGTGCGAGCTCCTAAGCCTAAGTAGTTTTTCAGATATTTGATCAAATCTCCTCCACCACTTTTTCAAAGGTGTCACATTTTGGAGCTCATGGAGTGCTGCCAATCTCTGCCTCACCGGACTTTTAGACTTGATAAAAAATGCCTGACGTCCTGTCCAGCCTCATAACAAAAAACCTGTCCACAAAATGCGCAATAGTACATCCTGCTTTATCATTCCAGAGCTGATAGCGTCTAATTATCTGCCTTGGCTTTGATTAGTCTCTCTGTAACAAGCTAATTAGATGGAGCCTTGTAAAATCATCTCTGCCATTACCACAGAGACATGGCTGGGAAAGACACCAACAAGCAGAAGGCAGGAAAACGCCTCTTCCCCTTCCCTCGCAAAGACTTGATAGTCAACTAAATGTTAAGTGCCCATGCTCTGATTTTCTTTTGATTAAGTGCCTTTTAAGCCTTCCTACTCCGCAATAGAATCTTTATCCCTTCTCCTTATTCATCACGAAAGAATTGTTCTATCTTGAAGCGCAGGATCATGTGGCTTAAATTGCAAGAACTGCTGCTGTCGACATTTCAGGCGATAGTATCGGAACATTGATTGCCTTCTCCACCCCTGCGATACTGTAGCTATTTATCCAAAAACCAACTATCGTCAGATCAGAGTCAGAAGTTCTCCCTCGGCAGTGCAACTTTAAAGCTGAGAAGAAAGCTAGATTAATTCCGCGCTCTAAGTTCTCTGCAACCTCTGTTATTATCCCTCCAACAATCCTTTTAAGAGCTGTCACACACTTTAGAGCTATTGTGTTTCGTTAGTGAATGTTCTAGGGCTAGTCCAAAGTGCAGCACGTAGCATTTTTCATCTAAATGCATCTTAACTGTAAGCCGGTTGATATTGAAAAATGGGCTGTGATCTCTGCCTGCTTTGTGTTTCTCAAATGAAGTCTGTGTTACTGTAGAATAGTCTGCACAACATACATACCAGTTTTAAATTCAGTTTCAGTGTTCTTATTACAAGTTGTTTGTTGTCACAGCTTAAGAGAACCATAACTTCAGAGTTGAGAATTAAGTCACACATGGACAGATGGACAGAAAACGTATTTGTTGAATCCCCGCTGGATTTAATTACTAAAATATATCTTGGATTTCACGAGGAACACTTCAGAACTTATCACTGTCCGCTGCCCTTATGACCATCATTTTACTGTCACTTTACTGCACCACTGAACTTCTATTGTTTATACTTAGTGGCAAGGCAAGTTTATTTGTATGGCACAATTCATACACGAGGCAACTCAAAGTGCTGAACAAAATAAGAAAGCATTAAAATCATAAATAATCACAGTACATTGAAAGAAAGATAAAAATATAAGAAATCTCAGTTGTATGCACAGCTAAACAGAACCGTTTTTAACCTGGTTTTAAACATTGTCAGAGAGGAGGCCTGTCTCACATCTTAAGGAAGATTGTTCCTGATTTTAGCAGCATGAATCTGAAAAGCAGCCTCCCCATGTTTAGTTCTGACTCTGGGCACTAACAGGAGTCCAGTCCCTGTGCTCCTCAGAGTCCGGGCTGGTTCATATGGGACTAACATGTCACTAATACATTTTGGTGCGAGGCCATGGAGAGACTTGTACACAAGCAGAGCTGTTTTAAAGTCTATTCTCTGAGCCACAAGAAGCCAGTGCAGAGACCTGAGGACTGGACTAATGTGGTCGTACCTCCTGGTTCTAGTCAGGACTCGAGCTGCTGCATTTTGAATGTACTGCAGCTGTTTTACAGCCTGTTTGGACAGACCTGTGAGCAGTCCATTGCAGTAGTCTAACCTACTGGAGACAAATGCATGGATAAGAATCTCCAAGTCTGCTTTAGACACTATGTTTTTGATCCTGGCAATGTTTTTTAGGTGGTAAAAAGCTGCTGATGTTACTGATTTGATGTGGCTATTAAAATTTAAGTCTGAGTCCAGTATTACCCCTAGATTTCTGACCTTGTTTGAAGGTTTTAGGGAGAGAGACTGTAGGTGACAGATGACGCTCTCTCTTTGTTTCTGGGGACCAAAGACAATCATTTCAGTTTTGTCCGCGTTTGTGTGTATATAGTAGACATTTTAATACTGTAAGTGTTATGTAGTTTTTCTATTTTTATGCCTCAATTTTATTTTTATTTTTTAACTTGTTTGCACCAAGAACCAAAGCAATGTCCGCATTTGTGACTTCTTGTTACTCACAATGGTAATACAAATAATTCTGATTCTGATCCTGACAACAGTACATGTGGCATAGTCTCAAACCAAAGACCTGCTACTTAATAGGATTTATGATCCATACTTGTAGATCTTAGATAGCTAACCTTTGTACAGACATGCTGTTTTCTTCTCTCTGTTATCACATGTCGTGTTTATGTTCACGGACCGAGCAGAGTGACAGCGACATGCTAATGTCTGTTTCCTCAGGTGGGCAGCGTGCCGGCTTATCTTCGTGACGTGTGTCTATGTGTCAGTCTTTGTCTGTGCTTGTGTGTGCGTGGCTTGCAGCTTGTCCTGGCAGGGGTTCTCTCTCTGGGGTGAAGCAGTTGTCCTCCGCAGAGGACAGCCTGCAGGACTAGTTGGCAGCTCTTCTGACATTTCTTCATGTCACTTTGACACCAGATCACAGCCAATATTTGTGGAAACAGTATCTTTTAGTTGACTGTTCAGTGACTTGTTCCACTTTGCAGGAATAGACTCTACAGTGAAATATGCCCCAGATTTGGTCTGCAGAAGTATCAGGAGGTTCTCTACACATTGTTTCTATGTGATTGTGTTTGATTCAGATTACACAGACAATTATATCTGGTAAACAACGGGCTGCTGTCCAGGCTTTGGCCATGTAATGCACCTGTCCATGGCTTCAGCTCAGGATCTCGCTCGGTCGCGCCGGGCTCAGCATGAGCGAGTAGGTAATTGGATTCCTGGAATCTTCTTATTCACTCCAGTGAGGCAGTGTGCAGGCGACAAAATGCCTGCGGCCTCAGGGCTTCGTGGCAAGGCCCCCATGGGAAGATCAAGGTAGCTTTACACAGCCCAACTAGATGAGACTGGAGCTAAGGCTGCCTCCCATGGGAATGAAGGGTCTTAGGACTAAGATGGAATTCTTGATGGAGCAGGTTTGGTGACAATGCAACCGACAGTGTCTTCCAATCCCGCCTGTCAGCGCCAGCACTGTCTGGAACTGAACAATGTCGAACAAAAGGATTGGAAAAAGGCATTTAGTGACTGTGACCCAGACATTGCGTTTCAATTGTGCCAATTGTGTCAGAACCAGCTGCAAGAACATTTGTTATTGTGCTTGTCTTGTTTTGGGGTGATCTTGGAAGAAAATCATACCAAACCACACTGTTTTAAAGCCTCTGCAGCAGCTTTTGATGTTGTAAAAGGCATTTATAACTAATGCTTCCTCATTTTCACCTATTGTTTTTGTTCTATGGTAATATTTGATCTTTGAAAAAAAAAAAAGATTCCCAGAAGTACATACATTGTAATTGAGAGTTAATAAGGTTATTCAATATAGAATAAGTCACCTTGAAAGAACTTGCTGCTATTCTTTGCAGGACAAACAGCCCTTTTTGTTAAGATTACAATATCAATGGGTTAATTAAAGACCAGGTTGTAGAGCTGAATATATTTTGTTGTGTATTTAATTTGCAATACTGTGTTGTACAAACAACTTTACCTCATTAAAATGTGTTGATTTGACAACGGTCAGATTTTTGTAGAAAAATTCCTAGTGTTGCATTATCCTCTATACTCTGCAGATGCACATTTCTGACTAATCCCTGTGTGTTGTGTTGTGTCAGCTGCTATAGGGAAGATTTCTATCACAAACACCTTTCACTTATTCTGCTGCTTCTTGAATCTGCTTTGGTTTCCTCTGGCTGCTTGCCTGCCTCTATACCTGCACATGACAGCTGTCACTTTGGGTAACTATCGCCTTCTCTCCCCAGGCCCAGACTGGTACCTGAACAAGGTGAAGCTGAAGATTGCAGATGTCAATGACAACGTTCCTGAGTGGACCATGAGGCCGTACCCTTACCTTACTGTGGTGTCACCAGAGGCTGCCACAGGGACTTTCGTCTACCAGCTGCAGGCACACGACGGAGACGAGGGGCGGAGCGGGGAACTGGAATACTTCTTATCTGATGGTAAGCTTATGTTCATGCTTCTAGTTTAGTTTGAACTGTTCCAATTTAGTTTGAACTGTTATAGTTCGGAGCCTTTCTGAGTGGAGTTTGCATGTTCTCCCCGTGTCTGCGTAGGTTTCCTCTGGGTGCTCAAGTTTCCCGTACCACTAAAAACATGCACAATAGGTCTGGATTGTGCCTCCTGTACTGGCGACCTCACTCCCATCTCTGTGTGGAGTGAGAAACGAACGCACAACTATTGTAAAGCGCTTTGTGACTCTGGTCTGTGAAAGGCGCTATGTAAATAAAGATTACTTACTTGCTTACTTGTCAGAGTCTGAACTTGCCAGCATGTTCAGACTCTGACATAAGTGTGGCAAGCTGTGGGTTTCATTTGATTGATATTAACTTAAGCTCCCAAATACTAATACAAAGCTAGTACCATGATTGGCCCAGGACCATGTTAAACAAAGAACCACTGATCTGTTTTTGAGGCGATAGGCATGGGATTATTAAAGTGTTTCCATTCATCTACTGTATGTTTAGAAAAGATGATTCATGTTCAAGTTGTTGTCAATGTCTCTGTTTTAAGAAAAAAAGAAAAAGACTTTCGCAATAATCATTGGCTCAGTTGTAACATTTGTAACAGTCCATGACTTTCACTAATCAAATGACCTCCATTAATCAAAGTCCGCTGTTGAAGGTCTTCTTTGGAGACTTCAATTTGAAGGACTAATTTGGAGCTCACTTTGAAGGCAAAACTTGTAAGCTCTGAGTTGAATTTTTAGTTTTAGCATTAAAACAGAAGGGACAGAAGAGTTTGAAACTGCAGCTTTCATTATAAAGGACCCCTCGAAAAAGACATGATTCATCTCAATGGGGCTATCCTTAAATAAATGTACTTATCGCTAAGAATACTTCTGCTGTGCCTTCTGACAGGTCTACTGGTTAGCTCAACCTGTCACAACACAGACCCCAGCTTAAAATAAATCAGTCCAAGAGGCTTCCATAGAGCGGCTAGACGTTGGGCGTGACCCTCACCATGCCACTACAAAAAACGTATTTTAGTTATATTAGTAGAATAACTATAAATAGAGTAGAAATGACGTTGCTAGTGAGACATGAACACCTGGTGTAAACAACAGGTGGAGGGGGGTTAGGAGAAATAGAGAGGGATGGTGTGAGAAGGGTGGAGTTTTATAGTGCGAAGTGGAGACCCCTGCTGGCCATGATACATATCACTTAATACTGTGACATAAGAATCTCAATATCCCAGATTTGTGCAATTCTTTCATTTCTACAACATTCTTTTTCTATGGTATTTAAAGCTTTTTGGCTGGTCCTACTAGTTGTTTCTCAATTCAAGAAAAAGCTAATTTGTTAAGATAAGATACAAGGAAAATGGAAAACAAGAAGAAGGCATTTCAATTGAAGTATCCACAGCAGACGTAGCATTAGTAGAAGCAAAGGTATCACAAGTACTATGTCAAATCAGATAAATGTATTTTTGTACACGCCAAAATTATTGCCGTGGGAGCAACACCAGCTGCTGTAGAAGTAATTGTAGATAATCATAGTATAGTAGTAGTAGTAGAAGTAGCAGTAGCAGCAGTAGTAGTAGTAGTAGTAGTAGTAGTAGTAGCAATAGTAGTAGTAGCAATAGTAGTAGTAGTAGTAGTAGTAGTAGTAGTAGTAGTAGTAGTAGTAGTAGTAGTAGTAGTAGTAGTAGCAGTAGCAGTAGTAGTAGTAGCAGTAGTAGTAGTAGCAATAGTAGTAGTAGCAATAGTAGTAGTAGTAGCAGTAGTAGTAGTAGCAGTAGTAGTAGTAGCAATAGTAGTAGTAGCAATAGTAGTAGTAGTAGTAGTAGCAATAGTAGTAGTAGTAGTAGTATGGTGGTCTGGTCTTGTTATTATCATGACAGATGTGGCTGCAGGAGTAGTTGATCCCGGACAATTATCCATTTTCTTAATTCCTGTGAAGACTGCTTCATCTGTTTGTCTTGTTTGACCAATGACTGTTTTGATTGTTTGATTTCCCGGTCTGCTATTGGCAACCCTACATCTTTGGCAACAACTGCTGTTATGATTCAGGGCTGTACAGAGATAATATGATCCAGTTCTAGTAGTTAGTAGACATAACAGTTGCAGCAGCAGCAGTGGTAGCAGTAGTAGTAGTTGTCATAGTAGTAGTAGCAGCAGTAGTATTAGTTGTTGCAATGTCAGTAGTAGTAGCAGCAGTAGTAGTTTTTGTCATAGCAGTAGCAGCAGCAGTGGTAGTAGTAGTAGTAGTAGTTGCCATAGTAGTAGCAGCAGAAGTAGCAGTTGTTGTTGTCAGAGTAGTAGTAGTTGCAGCAGCAGTGGTAGTAGTAGTACTTGTTGTCAGAGTAGTAGTAGTTGCAGCAGCAGAAGTAGTAGTAATTATGAAGTTAACTGTGAGTGGTTCTCGCATTAATCTGTCTTTGAAAATCCAGAAGCGAAAAACAAACACAGAGAACGGGTTGTTTAAAATACAGTTTCATAAAAAATTCTGCAGAATAATAAACAGAATGAGTCAAACACCGGAGCGGTCACGGGCGAATAGCTACCGGCAATCACACATCCACTCATGCATTCACATAGTGTTTAGGTGTCCATTAGATTCCCTGTCTGTCTATCAGTCCATGTTCTCTGCTGAAACGCACACTGCCAGAGGCCTTCACACACATTTGTTTATGCACCTGTCTCTCTCATGCACACACACACACAAAGACACACAATCCAAGGTAGGTTGGCGTTGACGAGGGCAGCACGATCCATCAAAATCGAAATTGCAATTTTAGTGACCGGAGCTAGCCAACCGCGAAGACTGCAAATATGTAGATTGCCTTTTCTTTATACAAACTGCTAATGACCTTTTTGCATTTTTTATAGATATGGTGTTCTCTGTGGTAGAGCTCTAAAACAGGCTTAGAAATACAAGGATCACTGCATAAATAGGATAATAAGAGCCTGAATTTGGTTTATGACTGCACCCTGACCGTTTTATCTGCTAATGGAAAGCCCAGTCTTATCTATAGTTCTAAGCACAGTGGTGTTTAAAGCTGAAGAACCAAAAATACAGTAACATATATATATATAACATAATCCATGTAACAAGTTCCTCACCCTCAGGACTGTTTGCTGCTAGTTTTCACATTCATGTATTTTTGGCCTCTGTCACATCTTCCGAGCAGCTTTTTCAGTGAAACGGAGAGAACCAGTCCTCACTCAGCCAAATAGCACTCAGTATACAAAAGATAAAATGTTTTAACATGTGACTTAATGACTCTCTCAGAAAGACTCTTGAGTTGCGACAAACTAAATGTATTTACGGGAAAAAGGCATGTATTCCCAGTTCTCTCTTAAAGCTGTTCATGCTTGAAGATAGAACTTGCTTGTGATTACATTTCAACAAATATTTATAAACCTTCTTTTTTATTTTCCAGTTTTTCTTCAATTTTGCTTTGTCCTTTGCTCTTTGAACATCATCCTTCTTCTGTAAAGCGTCTTTGAGTGTCTAAAAAAGCAGTATATAATGTATTATTATAAAGTAGCAATATGTAGGATTTTCATGTCAAGTCATCATTAAAGTATAAAACCAAGCGGACTTTGTTTTTATGTTTTCCCGTTTGTATACACCTGCAGGTTTGAAATAAATGAATACATGAAATGGCCCTAATCTAAAAGGCATTAATAAATCTTGCTCTTTTCCAATACTTCTGTAACTGATGACAGTAGTTCAGCCGGGATATTTGGATTTCAAAATGAGTTTTACAGCCCCCAAATCTTGTCATAGTTTTCATTTCTATGTCCCGCCCTCCACCGTTTTACCAATCGGAAAGTCCTTGACCCAAGTTGCCAGAACTCAAAGCATCAAGCTAATCTCACTGGAAAAGTACCATGTGGCCGCAGTTCGTTTCTCAAATCATTAACGAAAAAACAAGGATTTCTATTGGGGCCTTTGTGAATGTGTTGGTTATAGATTTGTTGTTGACAAAACTCTTGTCTATTCAGATATTATGGTCTCAGCTGGATTTGTCCGCATATCTGGCAACCCGAGTCCATACTGCTCCTTTAATTTATTATTATTAATTATTATTATTGGTGACAGTGGCTTAGTTGGTAGCGCATTGGCCTTTAGACCTGAAGGTTGTGGGTTTGAGCCCACCGCAAGACCTTCTTCACAACTCCCATTGCTGTCCTTGCAAGACACTTAAGCCCACTTTCCCTGAAGCCCCCGCTGAAGGGTGGGGCAGGTGGAATCACCACCTGCAGAAGTATCAGTGAGGTGTACTGGGTGGAGCTCTGACTGCCACCCCCCGACCCAGAAATGGATTAAGGGGAAGAAAATGGATGGATGGATAATTATTATCATCCTAGTTTCATAACAGAAATTGCAAATCGAACCGCAATCACAATAGTGAGAAGAATCGTGCTGCCATCGTGTTGACATAACGGGCCTTTGGAAGTTTGCCAGAGCAGTGGACCCCCTGGTGGTTTGGGGAGAGTGTTTGTTTGTCACAAAATGGGGGATGTACTAATCCTGCCAATGGGGGTTTACAGAGCTGGAGCCGCGACTTCCCTCTGACTCGCATTAGTCCACCGCGCTACTCCCTGATGGGGCTTAAAACATAATTACTACAAGACACCCCTGGTTGACTATGAACTATAGGAGGCCACAAGATTTATCATGGTTGGTCTGTTTAAAAAACTCAGTGTGCTCCAATGAGGGTCGTTTGGAGACTCGTTCTGCAAATCCCCAATGTAAATAACCTCCTCAACCCTCTTATCGTGCACTTAACATTTAAAATGAGAGAGGATGAGAGAAGCTGCTCCTTTTCCCCTGTTTGGTCTTGTTTTTGTTCTTCTTGTGAGATGAATTCAAGTATTGCAATGTTTCAAAGAGCATTAAAACACAAATATTATTTAGACATATGAAGAAGAAATGGTATGCATTGTTTTTGGGCTTACAAAAACTATGGAAACAAGTTATTTCATGGGTTAGTAGAAAATATGTGCAAAATCTACCAAAAAATCCAATTTGCAAGTACCACTCTATGCTACCATCAGAGGGAGAAATATATATATTTTTATTTTTCAACATTGAAAGATATCAAAGCTATTTCACTTGAGAAATTGTACTAAAATACACAGTATTCTAAGTAGATGTTATACTTGCTTCTTTATTATGCTAACGTTGACCTCATACTACTTTAGGACTAAGACTGAGGAGCTTTCAGACAGAACATGGGGCAAATTTAAATGATGTTTGTGCAAATGTAAAAAGTATTAGCGTGGATGGCTCTAAAAACAACTCCAGGTCTGTTTTTATGATGGAACAATGTTGATATGAGCTTAGCAAAATAAAAATAAAAACAATTAACTTCTCTTGAACTAGAATTAAAGATAGAAACACGCTGTCGCCAGTGAATCATGACTAATATCTACCTGTCATGCCTATTTCTCTGCTCGGGCTGCGTTGCCAGAGTAGACTGCTGTAAGTAAATTGGCCATGAATTGTAGCAGGTGCAAATAATGACAGAGATTTTTGGCAACAGCTGCTGTTGTTGTTGTTGAGTTCATAACTAAAACAAGTAAAGTGAAGCTGTTGTTTGTGCGTGTGTGTGTGCGTGTGTGTGTGTGTGTGTGTGTGTGCGTGTGTGTGTGTGTGTGTGTGTGTGTGTGTGCTGCAGCGGATACAAGCACTGGTCATTTTCAGCTGATTGTTGTCTGTCTGTTGTGGAAAGACAGAAGGGCAATGGTAACAATTTTGTATTAATGTGTATTTATAAGCAACAAGCAAGGAAGTAATTAAACGCATTTTACAGGAACAATGCTAATCAATATTTACAAAAGATTCATACCAATAATGCATTTTGAGGTGTAGTGTGTGTGTGTGTTTCTGGTCTCTGTTTCTGCAGGATATTGCCATAAAAGTTAGGATATGTAGTAGTGCTGTCCAAAATATCGCGTTATTAACGCGTTAACGCAAATCAATATTAACGGTGTCATTTTTTTTATCGCGCGATTAATTTTTTTTTTTTGTTTTTTTTTTTTTGTACTTTTTATTGCAGACAAACACATATACAGAAAAAAAAATAGAAACAAAGAAAAGGACTAGTTCAGATACATTGTAGACAGAGATTACAAACAATATGTAGTTGGAGATACAGGGGGCCAAAGAAGAAACCCAGAAGGGCACATAGGAGAAGTGTTGTGCGTGAACGAGTTCAAAAGAACGCGTTCATTGAACACCCTCTTTTTTTCGTGAACATTGAACTGAACGCAACACATTTTAAAAAAAAGAACTTGAACGTGAATTAGTTCATTTTATGTGTCATGAACGGCAGACATCACTATGAACGTTGGAATCTGTTTTCTCTTTTGAAACGCAACGAGAGAAAGTTCCTGGCTCCTGTATTCTCGCACTTTTTCCGCCGAAATCAAAAAATTCCTACGGTTTCCACAGTTTGTGAGTCGGGGACTCCGTGTTGCGGTGCGGCGCTGTGAGCTGGTGCTTTTCACATGTGCCCGAGTCGTGATGAAAACACAGGGTGAGTTAGCGACAAAGTTTACACCGTTTATATTTGACATAAAGTATAGACACACGCACTGCAGTGCATTACTGTCTGTAGTTTATGAGCAGAGATGGAGCCACTCCGTTTGGCTCCCATTGAAAACCATATAAATCTTGTCTGTTTTGTAGTCAAAAGGCTCTCCTCCTGTGGGTGTACAGGTATATATATATATATATATATATATATATATATATATATATATATATATATATATATATATATATATAATATATATATATATATATATATAGCTCGTAGTGTGAAAAAAATATGTATTTATCTCACAAAAAAAGTAAAATGAACTGAACTTTGAACTAGTTCAGAATTAAAAATGTGAACTTTGAACGTGTTCTGTTCACTTTGAGCATGTGTGAACTGAACTTGAACTAGTTCAGAAAAGCTGTGAACTGGCACAACACTGCATAGGAGGGGGAGGGGGGGGGGGCGGGGGGGGACATGAAGTGGGAGATGGGGGGGGAGGGGTTAATAAAAAAGGCAATACAAGCAAACAGTATACAGTCATAGATATACCGAAAGTAAACAGAGAAACAGCATAGAGTATTTACATGAACAAATTTACAAAATATTTACAGATTGTTTATCATCATCATAATGACACCATGATGTTTCTATACAGTCTATGGTCTATACCCACACATACACACACACCCACACAAATGTGTGACTAATTTGCGATTAATCGCGAGTTAACTATGAAATTCATGCGATTAATCGCGATTAAATATTTTAATTGTTGGACAGCACTAATATGTAGTTATTGATGTTTGTAAGAGTGTGAGGGCTATTACTAATGGTTTCTGTTCGACTAATCATTCTGTCTTTGTAGCTCATCTTTTGGAAATATACTTCTGAGGTGCAACTATTGTTACTATTGTGGTACCATTTTTTTTTTTTTTAATTAATAATATAATTAGTTTGGCCCAGCAGGAAGTGTCTTTATGTGTGTCTTGCACATTTAAGGACATTTATGGACATTTATGGACATTTTTTAACATTTATAGTCCCCTATGAACCAATGGCTCCTACAGTGTTTGTTATTATCGCATTTCCTTTGTTCGAACTGTTAGATTATCGGATATGCTGTTGGTGAATCTTTGTAAAGTCCGCAGAGACGACTGCTGTTGTGATTTGCGTCAATACAAAAAGAGAGTGAGGTGAATTGAATTGAAAAGCCTGAAATCTTTTTAGAAAACGATTCATATCTTTGCGTGCTTGTAAGAAAGGTTGACTCTGAGTGAACCTCTCTTTTTCACATTTGTATCTGAAACATCTGATATAAAGATGGGAACGGGTCTTTCTGAGTGGAGTTTGCATGTTCTCCCCGTGCTTGCGTAGGTTTCCTCCGGGTACTCCGGTTTCCCCTACCACTAAAAACAAGCACACTAGGTAAAATCCTCCAGCTCTGGTAGTCCTGACCGAGCCGAGCATCAACATCTGGAGATGGGTTCCCGGGCGCTGTTACTACGGCGACCACTGCTCCTGACGTAAGCCTTAGCGGCATCAGGATGGGTCAAATGCTACTAGTGCTAATTGCCTTACAGGGATTAATAAAGTGCACCTTTACCTTTAAATTGTTTTGAGAGCTTGGAGGGATTTAATTACACATTTCAAAAATAGGTACCACAATCCAAATATAACAAGTATTGGTGTGTTATTCAGTTTTTTATCCGTCAACAGAGAGTTCACAAGTGCATTCTATTCTTATTGCATGAGAAAAAAACTGTGGAATTATTAGAAATGTTTTCAGCCACATCAGGGAAAAATTGATTGTCTTTGTCGACTAATTATCGCCTCTTTCCTTCAGCTAATGCTAATCATCAAGGTTGCATGCTCTCATTTTAGCTATCACCATCCGGTCCATGTTGAAAGCTTTGTATTTTCTATTCTTCAAAATTACCTTTTTGACCTTGCGGGTTCTAATGTGTTTGCTTGCGTTTTTGTTCTGGATATACGTATGTTTAGAAAGAATATTTTTTTCAATATGTGGAGCCATAATTTAACCCAACATCTGTGTCTCTTTTGAATGCTCCCAAACAGAGCACGTCCACCCCCTGTTTTCTCTGGCTAACTATCCGCCGTTAGTATTCACCACGGCGCCTGCAGAGTATTGGATTGGTCTGGATCCAGCATCAGAAAATAACGCTATTGTGTTGTTGCTGTAGGCGGTGACGGCTGCTTTGTAGTGGACAAGAAGACAGGCCAGGTGGCGACCACGGGGCTGGTACTTCAGAGAGACAGGGAGTACTTGTTAAGCGTGGTGGCCCTTGACGGCATGGGCAGCCGCAGTGCCCCCGCCATGCTCTCGGTGGTGGCAGGAGCTCGGCCACCGCAGTTCACTAACACCAGCTTTGTCATCTCCATACCCGAAAACACGCCGGAAGGACAACCGTGAGTAACACACAGGCACCAAACACACAACATGGCTTTGTCAGTGCAAAAACAACGATAAGATATGAGACGATACATGTTTGAATCTGTTGTGAGATGAAATGAAGGAGGAATGCAAACATAATAGTGGTTTATAGATGATGAATAAAAGTCCAAGATGAAAAAATAAACTGAAAATCCAAACGGAGCTAGCAGCAGATTATTACAGGCAAAGACAATGACAGTGGACCAGCAACAAGGGGAGAGGAGCACAGGTACAAATAGACACAGAAAGACACTGGTACATATAGACACAGAGCGATACAGGTACATAGAGACACAGACACACAGGTACATAGAGACACAGAGAGACACAGGTACATAGAGACACAGAGAGACACAGGTACATATAGACACATAGAAACAGGTACTTATAGGCACACAGACACACAGGTACATAGAGACACAGAGAGACACAGGTACATAGAGACACAGAGAGACACAGGTACATATAGACACAGAGTCACAGGTACATATAGACACAGAGTCACAGGTACATATAGACACATAGAAACAGGTACTTATAGGCACACAGAGACATAGGTACATAGAGATACAGAGCGATACAGGTACATATAGACACAGAGACAGAAGTACATATAGACACAGAGAGACACAGGTACATAGAGACACAGAGACACAGGTACATATAGACACAGAGACACAGGTACATATAGACACAGAGAGACACAGGTACATAGAGACACAGAGAGACACAGGTACATAGAGACACAGAGACACAGGTACAAATAGACACAGAAAGACACAGGTACATATAGACGCAGAGACACATACATATAGACACAGAGAGACACAGGTACATATAGACACAGAGAGACACAGGTACATAGAGACACAGAGACACAGGTACATATAGACACAGAGAGACACGGGTACATATAGACACAGAGATACACAGGTACATAGAGACACAGAGATACACAGGTACATATAGACACAGAGAGACACAGGTACATATAGACACAGAGATACACAGGTGAAACAGGGTGGGGCAGACAATCACCAGGGCAACAGGATAGGAAGTAAAAATCAACTAAAACCACAGATAAATTACATAAAATAACACAATCCACACCATGAAAGTATCAAGGTTTAATTTAGTTTTTTTTTTTACATGAATTGAATACATTTTGACTCATTAACCAGATTTTCCAATGGGACAGACAGTTTAGCGCAGTTACAATTCATTTCTCAATCAATCAAGATTATTTATTTCAAAACTGGTTCAACACAACTTTACAGAATAACAGACAGTTTTGAAGAGAGGTTGGATGAAGCAACTTTATAAAACTTCCCCCCTCCATCACCCTTTAATTAAAAATAAACCTTCAGAAAACAACAATACACAAGCAATACACCAGAACACACACGTACACACTTTAAGACAAGTATTGCTCTAGAACACACACATACACACACACAAGTCACAGGCCTGAACACTCTCTGACCATACACCTATTTCACATGCATTCTTATGCTTCTTCGCAGTGAACTTTAAAACAAAAAAATAGTTTCCCAAATGCAATCAGGTTTGAACGTGTTTTTAAACCATCTCTTGATTCGTTCCAAAGTGTAGCTCCACAGACCGAGATACACACTGATTTCAAAGTAGAGATTTAAAGTTGTAAAATTCAAGCGAGACACTGATTGAATTGTCTTGTGTCTATTAATGTTTGGCAAATCTTGTTTTAAAGTCAGTCAGAATGTAGTTAAATAGAGTTTTTCTAACATATTTTTGTCACTTTTTGCAAATGTAGCTGTCCAAGACAATATGACAGCACTGGCTCAGTAAACAACAGTGTGTTTTGAAGGATTCTTTCTTAATTAAACCATCAGTCCCATGTGGTTCTGCTGAGAAACTGTTTTTACTATACTGCTTGTGCATTTATCTGACAGTAAGAAATACTAAAGAATAAGGAAAGTCATACAATAGTTGTGAAGATGCGAGGATTGTCGGTAAGGTAACCACTTACCCTTGACAGATGCATGGAAGCAGCTTCACTATATACTCATTATTCAGCCACAGCGACGCATATATACAGCAAACATTGTGTTAGTGACAATTAAAAATAAACTCTCTGCATATTTATCTGAAAGCTGTGATTCCACCAGACACACATACATACTATATGCGTGTCTGGTTGTATCACTGTAGACTATATATATACACTACCTATACGGAGAGTGGTATACCTTTTGTGTTGAATATTCATAGATTCGCAGCAGCTCTCAAGCATAAATTGACATATCATTATTATTGCGCTAAGTTGGAACATGGCAAGTCTCTCTAAATGCAAAAAAGCTGGTATCTGCTTAATAGTATTACACTATTACACAGCAATGACAAGAGCTGATTGACTATGTTTATAGCATGTGCCCAATGGTCCGTGGAGCAATTGATTTCATTACTGCACTCTGCTGATGTAAGGAAAAGACTATTTCGATTTTAAATAAACATGTTTGCGAGTAGACTCAAATATTAAAGCCATTTTTTTTCTTTCCGTAAACACTAATCCGCAACAATTCTCTCTTTGTTCGCCTCCTCAGATTCATGGCGGTGGTTGCAGTTTCCTTCCAAAAACAGCCCATCAGCTACAGCCTCTTGATCAATCCCAGCAGCCTTTTCAGCATTAGGCAGGAGACGGGGGAGATCAGCTTGACAAGGACTCTCGATTATGAAAGCGATCAGAGGAGATACCTTCTGATGGTGCGAGCCAGCGAGGAGCCAGGGAGCCTAAGCACGGCCACAGAGGTACTTGATCCAAGGAGAATCCCATCTCAGTCTGTTATTACAGTCCACTTCTCTGTAGTGTGGTCGTGTTTGATACGGTCACCCCTGTGTCCAATCAGCAGACTGCTGTTGGGTTACTCTTTGTATGCTTTTCAAAGTCATTTCTGAAGAATCACACTGGCTGCATACGCGCCCCAAATCTGTTACTATCTATGGACCCAACCGTTTTAGTGATGTTTGTGATGAAAATCCAGGTAGCTTGTAGGTTTGTGTCATGTACTGTATCAATATTCAGTGTTGGGGACAAGATTCTGTTATATTGGGGATTATAATGAGAGGAGATGAGATGAGTTCAGTCTATTCATTCTCAATTTTACCTTATTCAAAAATGCCTGAGGCCATTGCATGTGTGTGTGTGTGTGTGTTTGTGTGTGTGCGTATGGGGTGTGTGAGACTGTGAGTCTGTGTGACATTGTGACGGCAGCTGTGGGGATGCATGAGTACGTTTTTGTGTGTCTATGTATTTGGTATTGGGCAAAGCAACATGTTTTGTTGTTTTGATTTTGTTCTTTGTGTCTCTGTGTACTTACGGATAATGTTAAAAAACGCAATAAAAACGATGGTAGAAAAAAGAAAATGCCTAGGATCAAGTAAACAGTAGTAGTGGACACATGCTCACTTGTTTGGTGGTTTTACAACTTAACATCATGGTAAGTTTGCTCCAAAGTGGGCCGGTCGGTTTTTGCTTTAACCAATCACTCCTTTTTGGTCTTGATGTAATTAGGAATCTTTCAAACTCTCCAAACTTTTCTTTGTTTCTGACTTTAAATCTCCTGTTTTTGGGATCTTTTCAAACACATTTTATGACTTGGTCTACATCCATCTTGACCGCATTTTTTTTACTGCTTTTTTGCGCTACTATCTAATATCTTCTTACTTCCTGGTTCTCGGAGCAGTCTGCCTTTCTGCGATACCTGACCGAGCAGAATTGAAACAGCCTGATCTGAAATACAAATACATTTTTTCTCTAACTAACTAGCTAGCTTTCTCTATCTAGTTATATATTACAATTGTAGAGTAACTTACCCAACACAGATACTATTTGAATCATACATCTGAATAAAATTAGGGGCACAAAGCAACAACTGAATACTTACCATTGTTGTTTCACTTGGATATGACCCAATATCACAACGCTCACCTCGGATGGACTCAAACTGCTCCCTCTCCCTCTCTCTCTCCAATGACACAAAACCTCACCATTGAATTTTGGTACCCGTTATTTACACTTTATGTGACCTCGCCGACTGATGTGAATTATGACTGAGCTCGGACTCGCTGTGATGAATGCCTCAGAGCCTAACCGCTCTACCTTGGGTTTGCTTTTCGAGATCCTTTCACTGAATAGAACTATTTCTATCCGATAAGCACCCGTCAGATCGTCTTCTTTTGACCAAATCGCATGCGTTAAAGCGGGGATTCAATACAAACACATGTTGGACACTTTTTCTTTGCTGTTGTGAAAAGAGAGATCTGTGGCTAATATAGAAAGTTAACATTGAAAGGGCTAAAGTGATCTCAGTGCTGACCTATTGACTCCTCTGTGCTGGGAATAACCACACAGGAGTAACAGCGCTGTTTGTCTGCAGAAATGGCACGCCTGAATGAGTTTGAAATGTTAACAAGCCAGCCATGCTTCCCAGTGTGATTGTTTTCGTGGCTTGTTTCACCCTTTTGCTCCCGTTCCACTCTCAGCGCTTTTTGTCAAGTGTGATCCAGAAACAAGGCGCGTAAAATATGGAGCAACAATCCTGGTAGCTTCATTCCAATAACGTGAGATAAACTATTCATGCATTCACGGGGATGTAAATGATTGATTCGGAAGATTTTGTTGCTCAATTATCAAGCGAGGATCTTGTTTTACAACACTCGTGGTGGAGGGGAAAAAAATCGCTGTGCTCCTTGGCAAAGAATGGAGAGTGGGAAAAACCTATTCCAGCTATTTCAGTATTACTCAGCTGTCACTTCACACTTTGCACATAGTGGTGACGGGGCCGTGCAGGGCGGCAGAGGGCCGACAAACACACTCATATGCTCACAACATTACTATTTTGGACTCTTGACAAGGAAGATTAATAGTGTCGCGAGGGTTGTGCAATTAATGAAAAAAAAATAGTTGCGAAAGAATAACTTGCTATGTTTTTAACTTTGCTATTTCTGATTAAAACTGTATTTTTGACACAGTTGATATAAATGCCCTATCAATCAATCAATCTTCATTTATTTATGAAGAATATATAACCCTTTATGCGCCAGTGTTTTTAAGAATTATGATGTGAAACTAACAAAGTGTGGAAACTTTATATGAGAGAGAGGAATCTTAAAATCTGTAACAGAAATAAATAAAATCTAAACATGTAAGAAAAGTGTAGTGAAATGTAGTGATAATTCAGCTCTTTTGGTGTCTAAAGAGTTAAAACTACCAAAGTGCTGTACAGACATGTGAAAAACAGCAAAGATATAAACACATGAAAAATACAACAACAATACAAATAAAACCGAAAACTTGTCGCTTGTTCCCTGGTTTGCTGTACTTCAGTTGGAACAGCTGCTTTGTTTATAACGTCCTTGGGAACGTGGATATTCCGACTTGGTTGCGTTGATGTGCTTTAATCTCTGGAACTCGGGATTTTGATGTCACTAATAATATAATCAGAAGTTCTATAGTGTTTGACAGAGAAAGCTTGTTTGATATCTTGTCTCCTTCTTAAATGCTAGATATTAGGCTATTTATTAGCTAGCTTCAGTGTTAATCTGCTGCTCTAATGGTCAGAATACACAGAAAACTCTTATAAACATCAGCTTTTAAGTCAAAGAGCTCAATCATGCAAGATACTCAGACACATTGCATGGTCCATCTCCTCACAGCAAGTGAAGCTCCAGTGCTGAAGTCGGGGAGCTCTTTTCGGTCCGAGATGTTTTTCCGACTTAAGCAAGTGTTCATGTGCATCTTTCAAGACGAAAATTTGTCTCCAAGTTCACTTGGTGGTGAACGCAACATTTATAAGGATAGCCTAAAGCAGTATTCGTTTAGACATGGCAATATACTTGCGTTCAAAAAGTATTTATTAACAGTCAAATAATTTCTTTTATATATGCAAAATGAACCAAAATACCAAAAACATTTTATTGTGTTTGTAAAACCACCAAACAATGTGTCCACTTTTTATGCATTACTCTTGACAGTTATAATGATACTGAGACTTATAATTTCTATTGTCCCATGTATTATATGAAAAGAAAATATATTGTGAATATTTGGTAAATATTGACAGTCTATGAAAGGTAAAGCTCTCCGCCTGTCACTCCCTATACTACCACCAGAGGAAGGGGTTGTATATGTATGTGTTATTTTTCCAAATTAGAAAATTATTGGCTGCAAACTGCTATATGAATGTAGAACAATAACTTTCACTTTTTCAAACTGCGAAAACCTGAAATGGGCAACACTAGTTTTAAAAGGCAAAAAAATAGTGGTACAATTAAATCATGCTATTAACCCCTGAAGACCTTACTGCCACACCGACCCTTCATGGAACCAGATTGACCCCCCATACAGCTTTGTTAGAATAATATAAAGTTAAATGTTTTGAAATAAGGTTGACGATTGAAGATTGTTGGTGTTTAGTCTGTCCACTGCCCGTCACTGACACATAAGCTCTTTGAAGCACGGCTAATTTTAAACCATTCTCTCTTTTGTTACGACGCCGACTCTTTTCAGGTCCAGGTGTTGGTAACGGATGAGAACGACTGTGTCCCGGAGTTCCTACAGTCCATCTACAGCGTGGATGGTGTCCCCGAGACGGTAACCACGGCAACGTCTCTGCTCCAGGGTAAGACTCCGCTGACCCCATATTTCACACCCATCTGTTTCGTTGTGGAGCAAAACTAGTTAAAAAGCCACAGATGCATTATGGCCCTGCGCCCAAAGCCGTAACTCAGACATTCATTTGAACAACTTACATTTTTATAACGCTCCAGTTTGCGCATCCTCTAATAGATCTTAAAGGAGGATAATAAAACATTCAGTTTTAATGTGCTAAACTAGCTGTTGTCTCCATTTGTTTTAAGTTGTAATGAGCCTGGTGATTTGTGGCTTCGCGCTCTCCCTGTTTACACGTAATGCACTGTGCAGATCGAGTCAAATCTTTGTCTTTTCTGTGTAATTTGTCCTCTTTTGCACATTCAAACGTCTCTTTAGATTGGATTCTCAACTCAAATAGATACAAACTAATTATAGTTGAATATCTAATGCATTAATTGTTGTTTGCAATTGCTTCTATTCATTGTAATAAACATTTCAGACTTGACTATTGGAGCTTTAAACATTCTCATCCACTTTGAAGTCAATTTGGGTTTGGAACATTTCCCATACACTTGTGGGAAATCTGTATACAGGCCTTATATGAAGGTTAAAGCACTCGGCTATGGGATAACTATCAAAGCAGAGGTGTCAATTTTTTGGCATAAATATTGTTGTTTGTCCAAACAGAAGCAGCCTAAAAGTAAATGTTGTGGAAAAATCAGACCACAACATGCCGTCTTCATCTTTATCAGAAAACATGTGATCTGCTGTATACTTGTAAGAAAGTGCCCTTCGAGTCATTATTGACGCTTTGGTCCTCTCTTTTCTCTTTTATTGTCTGGCAAGGCTGATCTAAAGATGTGGCCAGGCATAGATGCATGTGAGAGCTTGTGATAGAAACTGTTTTGAGAGCAAGGGGCTAGTTAAATTGATTTTTATTACATATCAAAGTTAAGTTTTTGTGGATTGAAAGTTGGGCACCCCAGCTTTAAACCTAACTTTATGGTGCCCTGAAACTTTATGAGATAGAGGACTCCTAAAACAAGAACTTGTGCGAAGACAGGCCACTGACGTTTCCTGGAATCATGAGCTTCCATATCTGATTTATGTATTAAAACTAATAAAATTGGCTAAACAAAAGTCTCATTGGCAAAAATATGAATGCAACTTTTTATGAAATGATGTCTGGGAGATTTAGTGAAAATAATATTCTCATTACAGAAAACTTGGCGGTTCAAGCTCTGCCGTTTTAATTGCTACTTTCTCCTTTATGAAACTAAAAACATGATACACTTCACCACTAGCTTAACATTACATGAAACTTACGATGCAAATCTGTCAATCCGAAGAAGCGATCATTCAGACACCATGTTGCTAACTCCTACTTTTAGCCCCGTGTACATACTGAACTACATCCATGGTGGTACATTCACACACTCCTCAGAATAGATCCCGAGGCCCTAGGCACCACCACAATACAAAGTTCATAAAATTCAAATCACATCGCACTAAACACAGAACGATGCCCCCAGTTTTCGCTAAATTGTCGTTCCTTATTTGTGTTTTGTTGTTTTGTTTTTGTCAAATGTCCTCGCGCCCCTGAGACACCTGTCCCCAGTGGGTTTGCACAGGTGATCCATGGGTATCACTCGCTGGAATATGGTGAGAAAAATGGAGCAAATCTTATCTGAAAAACAGTTTTGTATACAGAGCCTGCAGCGGCAAAAGTGTTGGCACAGTAAGAGCAAGCGGAGGGGGAAAAACAGTCAACGTGAATGTGGAAAACAATGGAAGAGAGTGGGAGGAACATTTGTACATCGTCTACGCCACAGGAGAAAGTCCACCCAGATTAAATGTCATCTTCATTTCCCCAATGAGTTCCATCACTTGTAATTTACAGTAGTTTGTCTTTAGTTTAGGAACAAGGTCTTGCTTTGTTCACTGACTACAGAAGCATAACAGCCTTTTCAACCTGTGGCCCGGGGGTCAAATCAGGCCCGCCGAGCTGTTATATCCGGCCCATGGCTCATCTTCCAAATCCATTTTTGTTTTCCTGTTTACTGGTTTTGTCTTAGTTTAGGCTTGGTGTTGTGTAGATGAAGACATTCTACTGTCTAAAAGTAATTATTGAAATGTTTGATGTATTTGTTAAGTATTTATTTGGCCCCAAGACCATGGCCCTCTTAATATACCTGTTGTAGGAAAATTGAAGTTGAACAGCCCTGATCTCTACAATAGGGCTATCGGAGCAATATCAAAATGCTTGAAATATGATTTTTTTTGTTTTGACTGTATTAAAAGATTTGCCCGTAGGAAAAATACACATTTTTCAACCACATATTTTTTTCATTATTTCAAGTTAAAAAAAAGACAGACATTTTTCACTTGTTTACACCTGTTTTAACATATTACAATTACAATGAAGGGACGCTGATGCCGGTGATTTCTTGTGTTCAATTATATGTATTTAAAGGACAGCTGAGCAAGCAATCCCTTAAAAAAGTGTGAACACCCCCTTTGTTCATAATAAATATGTGTGTTTGCTACATCTCCCTGTCTGGTTCTCAAGAATAATAATTATCTATAAAACAGCTGAGCTTTCTATGCGATGGAAAAGGAAGGTGCAGAAAGAACACCTCCGCTCACACTTACTACAGCTACTCTATACTGTTATGAATCAAAAGGTTCAACAGTTGCTTAATGAAAAAAAAAATCCGTTCTCTGCTGCTACAATAACGCACAAATGAGTTCTATTTCCAGTCAAGTTTATAGTGTGGAGTAGATACACATAGATAATGCAGGAATGCTAAGTAATTGCCGGGGCTTGGCTACATTACGAGATATTAAAGATATTGGAATGCAAAGGGTGGTGTGGGTAAGACTAGACACAGAGGAAATGAATACATCAAAGAATATGCACATTATATGAGCCAGCCATTGCTCGCATGTGGAGTAAAGCTCACAGAAAATATATTTGCTGTCATAATTCTTGGCTATTGTTAGAGGTAACGCAATAGTCGAAATTTAATTCTGCATTTTATTCAGTGAAATTACTGTGGTTACGAAACATCGGCATTGGGAACTTGCTTTTTGCTGTCTTTGCACCCCTTTCGCCGAATGATAGCAATAATTCCAGAGGGCACAGTGCAGTTTGCGCCTATGTAATTGTGGCTGTCAAAGCTTATGATCTATAGCATGTTTAGTAGGGCCATGAAGAGATAATGATCCACGCAGATGTCAACATATTCATCACCCACTGCCATCTCATCAGCTCGTTTTGATTAAGTGTTAATTGATGGCCCGTGTGTCGGCTTCCTCTCTCCGCAGTGTTGGCCACGGACTGCGACTCGGGGTTAAACGCGGAGCTCACTTACTACACTCTCAGCCCGGACTTCAGCATCTCGCCTCATGGGACGCTCTTTCCCGCCGGCCGGCTGGACTACGAGAGGCCAAACCATCTGTACGAGTTTGTGGTGATGGCGGTGGACAGCGGGGACGAGCCCCATTCTGGCACAGCGACAGTGCGAGTGCGAATGGCCAATGTCAACGATGAAGCCCCAGAGTTCTCCCAACCAGTGTGAGCAGCCCGATCATTCATCATTTATAACACGTGTCACATTAAGCAGGTCAATTCCATAGACTTGTAAGAGTTACACTGCCATATAAGCAGCAACTGTCCATGTTAGATCCTCCGTTATCATCATCACATGCCAAGCTACATCCTGATAACACCATTCTCTTCTGTTGTGTTGGTATTGAAATGAGACTCAGCTTTACTGTTTGAATAATGAATTGTACAAAAAAATGTCTAAATAGTTTCACAGACTAGTTGAAAGTTGTGATATTTTTGCTTCAATATCCACTGTAGAAAACATTTCAAAGGGTTATCAACAAATCTATCCCGGATATACGGATATAACTCCTTTCTTGCTCAAAGAAAGCTTAGGAAGTAAGTCAAAAGTAAGTAATCTTTATTAATATCAAACTTTTCGCAGACAGAGAGTTATGAAGATACTTTGTCAGGCCACGGGTTCTGATATGAAAAAGGCTCTTGGAAATGATGCCCAGATGATAACTTTGAAACTGCTCATATTGATCACTGGACAAACAAGGGATTACATACACTTTTCTCTAATGTCCACATTTAAAAAAGAAAATGTTCAAAGATGCACCTCTCTTCAGTTGAAACAAGGGCTGGTCTCGCATTTGGTCTTTATTGATCACAAATAAGCACAATAAGAAGCCATTTTGTAGAAACGTATGTGTGCTCTTGGAGACTTCTGAAACAGACAATAATCAGACGCAACAAGATAATGCACAATAACTGTGTGAAGTTGCAGATTTATAACCAACAAAGTCAGTCATATAGTTCCCTTCTCATAAGAGCTGCTGTTTCCCCAGGAGCACACACACACACACACACACACACTCACGCACACTTTATACTTTTGTTCATTAACTTACTTTCTAGATGTGATCAGGGAACAGGCTACAGCGGGACAGGAGCAGGTGTCTACAGCAGGGGAGCAATGAGCGAATCTGTGTGTGTTTGAAAGACAGTTAACTGCTGCGTAACGGGGACGTGGAGTCTGTGGAGTTCTGCATTAATCATATATTTAAGAAGAAACAAAAATCCAATGTGTTTTTGTATCATGAGGCCTGTCAGACTGGGCACTATTCTAAAGGTCTAGCAAATATTAGCAGCAGTAATACGCCTTTTAGAGATAGGCCTGTAATTGGCTTAGAGCACATTTGATGAATAATATTTCTGAGATTTGCGTGTTTCTAAAAAAGCCATATATATTTTTATGAATTAAAAAATATTTTTACACATATAACAATGTCTGGTGAAGCTAAATAGGTACATATCATAATCAGTTTCCCCAAATGTCCCAAAAATTTAGAAAAAGTGGAATTTAATGAAGAATTATTTACAGTATTTTTTTTCCATGAAATCGCATATAAAGTACAATAGTCTCCACAAACGGTGTATTTATTTTAGGCTTTACCTTCATAACTCACTGTACTGTTGGTACATTTTGGCTCTAGACAAACACATACATTGTGGCTTACTAGCTCCGTTGCTGATGTTGTTTTTTGTGAACGACATGGGGTTGAATCAGCAAATACACGGGAGGAAGGTGCTAATGCTCCTTATTCTAGGTAGCATTTTGGACATCCGTGATGGAGGAAATGTTCTTTTTGAAGAGGAGAAAGAATGAATGAATGGATTATTAGTCATTCATTACATTTATACAGACAAATAGAGTATGTGGTTGTTTTCCTGAGACAATTAGTTTTAAAACAAGATGTAACGTGGTTGTGCATGCTGAGTTGCAAGCTATCATTGGATATTATTTACTCTCAGTCAATACAGTATGTAAAACAGAGTAGCACTACGGTGGAGGCTGTTAACTTAGACACAATGGATCATTCTTTTGTGAACCTCTCGACTTTTATTGACAAGGAATTTATTCATGAACGCACGCTTCATTTAAATGGTTGCTAAAGCTCAGAGAAGACAGAATAACCCAGTGTTTTTCAACCAGCGAGCCATGGAGCGTTAGTGCGCCTTGAGCTGCTGTGTGGTGAGCCTTTGGAAATGGTCCAATATCAGCTAATTGCTTAAAATAATGTGAAAAGAAAATAATGGGAGAATGATTTTGCATTGTTTAATTCTGTATCAGTTTCAGCTGTGGTGTACTATGTGATTTTTTTTAAACCAGGGGTCAGGGGCCGATTAAAAAGTAGAACCTGGTCGGGGACTGAAACAATAGAAGAGATTTTGTTTTCTTACCACAGTGTTTTACATTATGAATGTATTTTAACTTTAATGTGACATGAGTTTCACTGTTACTGTATTTTCTTGTGGATTTTTCTGAAAACAAAATGTGTTTATTGTTTAGATTGAACCAAAACTAAATCAATTATAAACTCAAACACATTTCATATTGAACTATTTAACTTCTTATGATGTGTTGTTGGATAGAAATGTTAGAATACATTTAATTTGGTTGTTCTCCTGAGAAAATAGATTATGTATAACTTGCCTTGGTCGTCCTTGACATTGCTGCAAGTTAATAATAATGAAAAAAAAATAAGGGGCCACTAAAAAGGGTCTTGCAGACCGGATCTGGTCCCCGGGCCTTGACTTTGACACCCATGTTTTAAACGGCTCAAAAAGGTCTGCGAACACTGAGCTCACCAATGTGTGGGCAGTGAAGAGGAGTAAAAACTTCAATGGTTTGTACTAGAGAGATGTTTGTAACGCTTTGACTCAGACCCACCGCATGATCGCACCCAGAGTCAAAGTAGATGTCTTAGTTCGAATCATGAAAGTAGATCACAGATTGTCACTATTTTATAAGGCGTCCCAGAGTAGAAGGTACTTGCATCACATATATAGGTATAGTTACATCACACAGTAGACCTGCATTCCTCTGGGCTATTCATCACTACAGTATCAGATGCTGGCAGTCCTGTCTGGAATAGAGGCCAAATTGCATCAACACTGCTTCAGTAAAAGAGCTATGGCTGAGGAAACTGCAGTGTTCATTTGGAGGTTTAATCGCAGCCATCTGGTACCAAAACAACTGTGAAAGACTTCATACCAACTGTAATAATGTGACACCCTTACCTTGAAAGCGTATTGCCATCACTTTAGTTAGAATAGTGCAATAAACGTCCATAGCTCTCCTGTGGGTTCATTTTAGTTAGTGTTGAGCTATGCAGAGACGTGACATGGGGATGCAATCTAGTGTGTCCTGGACCGCGTTTTTGGCAATGCCTACGTGAGCGGGTGGGCAGAAACTGTCACAATGGCTCCACTGCATTTATTCTCCAGTAAGAGGCTTGTCCTGTCAGTCAAGTTCTACTGACCTTCACAGAAAGCATTGCAGACCTTTCTATGCTACTTGCTCTCGGAGTGTTGTCAGGTGTCAGTCTCGGTGGGTGGCTAGACAAAGAGCTAAACAAAGCAGCCGACAGAGGTGCAGATGTGGTGAGACAAACAATGGCAAAGAAAACACCGATGCTGGACAAGCGAGTGAAGAATACTAAAATAAAAGACGCAAGAAGACAGGAGAGAAGACAGCCAGTCAGATATGCAGATAAAGCAGGCCTGCTGTCGGCGGCTGGACAAATACAGTTTCCAGGGAAGCAGACAGCTATTTAGAAATGCAGGGATATTTGTAGCCAACGTGTGGTGTCTGGTGTGCGTTGTCATACTATGCCTGATATGTAGATAAGACACAAAGGTGCCAGACAGGTATGAGAAGTGAAGAGGGGCTTCAATTTGAGAAGAGTTTTGTCTTTATAGCAAGACTAATTGAGACACTTGTGCATGTGAAGAAGACTGTATGACTTTCATGACTTGGCTTCTCACATTTCAACAAGTTGCATCGAGGCAAAAGAATGTGAAGAAATGCAAATTAGCAGAGGTCCAGGACAGCACGCCGACAGACTGCAACTTCACAGTTCACAGCAATGTGGGGAAATGCCCGAGGAGAAAGGCCCGGGGAGTCTATATGTCTCTTCCCACAGAGCTGTAGAGAAGTGGCCTCTGAGTCGGGTGACAGATTACAGGTCACTCATGTTGCCACGGAGACTGCAGCGGCTGGCCGAGATGAATCACCCATCAGCGTTCGTCTGTAAACCATCAATCACCTCTGACTTCTCACTACAGACACCAGCACCCTCCCTCTGCTCCCGCTCAGCTCCCCGCGACACACATAAGCTCTCACATTAACACAATCCAGTCTGGAATCAGAGTTCTGCTGACGAATCAAGTGCTAGTTTTTCAGGGAATGCCGCTTCCTTTTATCCACGCTCTCCTCTCCGTCGATCTGTCCTGCACTTTTATAACTCCCACATATCACTTAACCTGTCTCACCACTGTCTGCCCAGTTTTATCATCTGCTCATCTCTGTCCTTTAACTCTGCTTTCAATTCCTCCTCATCTCACTGTCATCAAAAGTCTTGCAGTCCATCACCATCCTTTCGGCCCCTGTACCGCACTGGTTTATCGGCCCCTAGTGTATGGGCCAGGAATCTCACTGCCCAGAGACTCAGAATGAGCAAATCACTGTTGACATTTTAAAAGGCACTGGATCAAATGGGCCACAGTGGGCTGGGAACATGGAAACACCATTTGTTCCATGACTTCAATAAAGCAGACATAATCATTTGTCTGTACTATGGCCAGTTAAGCGATTACATAAAGACATACAGTATTTAAAAGAAAAATCCACAGTTATAAGTCTTATAAACATGGTTATGCCTGCTTGGACTGTTTTGTAATGTAATGTCTGTGTTTTTTTTTTTGGTGAAGATATCGAACGTTTGTCTCAGAAGATGCTGGTCCCAACACTCTTGTTGCAACAGTCCTGGCCAAAGACCCAGATGGCGATGGTATAATCTACTCCATAACAGCGGGAAATGAGGAGGGAAATTTCATCATCGACAGCCAGAAAGGTGATACTTCTTAATTTCAAAGCCCTACCCATTTACGCTTTACATTTCAGTCTGTGTAATTGACAGGCCTTCCATCAAATAACACATTCAATTTTCCCTAATACTTTTTTGCTACACTGTTACACAATGGACGTCCTCTACTTTCAAAGTCAATGGGCAAAGATATTAAAGTTTATATTAAAAGCCATAATTTCAAAACTGAGCCTGTCCTTGTAATATTGAAGGTCATAAATACGAATGCCTATGTATCTTAGGAATGACCACAGTTTTTCTTTTCAGTTGTGGGAGCAGCTGGTGGTGAGAATGCCTACCATGTTTCTTGGCTTTCGAGCTTTTGGCGACTGGAGAGTTTATCTTTTTTATTTACCCTTTGATCCGAAACCAGTGGCAATCGCTGTGACATTTGTCACCCAACCCTTTCAATTCAATTTCACAACAACTGCTCTATCATAGCCCACAATCTTCAGGCTTCTCTCTGCCAGCTTTTTCTTTTGTGCCGTCTTCTCATATTCCTTTATATGTTTTCTGTGGATGCCTGGTGCTAGAAACGCTAAGGCCGCTATCCTTTGGGTGCGAAGACGACAATATGGCTACCCACTCGCTGTTTATGCATCGGATGCGCCAGTCTAGTGAATACATGGCTCCCATTTGTAAACAAGGCTGACATTTAAGCTTGGGGAATTACAATGTGTATACCACAGTTCACTTATTTTAATGTAGTGCTGCAGTGATGTCAACAACGTGCGATGTCATTAGGAGCCAGTCCCCTCTTCGGCTTCTTCTTTGGCTCATCTAAACTGGAGAGGAGAGGCGGACACTCACACATGTGCTTGTGTCTGCTGTGGTAGCTATAAACAAGAGCAGTGAAAGAGATGAACAAAAACACAACATGAATAAAGCCCATGTTCCCCCACTTCACTGATTCCCCTCTCCATCACACGCTGCGTACAGACCTGCAACCTCTGATGTTTTGTATTAGTCTCGACAAGGAGAGATGTTTACTCAGATGCTGCATTCTTTTATCCCAGCTTTTATCTCAACTGTTAACATGAAAGCAAACAAAGTGGCTACAGAGGAACATCTAATAGGCATCTACTGAGGCTGGTTTAGTGCTTGTGTTTGTCAACTTCAACTGCCTGACCTGGACAGATGTCTTTAGAGAATTATTCGATTAAAGAAATAACAAAATCACCACTGTGAAATTGCTTTTTTGGATTTGAAGTGCATATCAGATAATTCCGTTCGCTTTTTTGTCGACTTTTCTTGCGCTGAATTTCCTCCACCTTCCATGGCGCTCTCAACATGCTTTTGTATTTATAGCACCTCCTGCAACAAGCAAGGCCACCCTGCCAATAATATCATGCTTAATGGTGAATGAAATTGTGTTTTATTGTGTGTAGTTTAACGGCTGCCTGATCTTGTAGGGTTGATTCGCCTCCGCTCCAGTCCTCTTCCAAAGCTTCAAGGCCTCGAGTATGTGCTGAATGTAACTGCCACGGATGACAACGCATCAGGCGGCCCACTCTCGCTCTCCTCCGCGGCCCGTGTCATCGTCGGCGTGGATGATGTCAACAACAACAAACCCGTTTTTGAAGAGGTACTTATGCAGATTAAGACAATGGAATGTCTTATTTCATAAACGTTCATCTGTTCTCAAATACACACATGGCTGGAAAAACGTGGCAATTATTCTCAGTAATAATTTCAATTTAGTATGCAGGTTATTTCCAAGGGTTTAAAACAATGGGAAATTGGGACTGATGCCACAGTGACGACTAAACCTCTTTAGAATGGGAAGAAGTCTCATTCAATGTTGCATATATTAGCAAGCTCAAAGCATATGTGTATTGGAAAGTTGTGATATTAACGGCTTATTAACCGAGCGCGAGGTCCGTATGGAGAAATATCAGACCGCGGCCTTAATGTACAGACCGAGCCGTGGGGAGGTCTGTGCAAAAAGGCCAAGGTCGGATATTTCTCTGTACAGACCGAGCAAGCGAGGTTAATAAATGTTTTATTATATGACTCTGGTCTGTGTCTTTACCAATGCTTTTGAGATATTTGTGAAGTATGTTTATGTCCGACTTGGTTTTGTGTGATACGCTCTGTGGGCCGATTGTCATGGTAACGGTCCGTGGAAAGATATCAAATGTGATACGCGCTGTTCGGACCAATTGTCATGGTAACGGTCCAAGATGGGAAAATATCAGACCGCAAATCAACCAATCAGAGCGCGCGTACGGTCCAAGTCATATAATAATTTTACTTATACAATCATTTCTTCTTTAAAGGCAACACATATATCACTTGCCAAGACCCGCTTACCATTATTGATTTTAACTTAAAAAACACATATAAAATATTTGTCAATTCTATAGTTAAACATTTGAAATTTCAGTGTAATAGAATTTCACAGACTTCCATTATGTTTCTTGGTGTATGTTGAAATAAAGCGTGTCAGGGCAACGTTGTCTTAAATGTAAGAAAACATAAATGAAACGTTTGAGTCGGTTAATGAGAAGTGAAGACGATATTCACGTATAATAGAAACTAAAAGTCTGCCAGACTTTGGGGACTTCTCTGGGGCAGGTACTTAGCAGAAAAACCGGACACCTTTTAGTGAAACGTGTACGTCTCTGAATATGTTTTTGTATTTATCGACTGCAGTAGACTGAACCTAAACACATACAGCTGTAAAATGTCCAAGCAGTTTAGATAAAGACTTCTGAAATGTGATTATACAGTATCTTCTCAACAATGAATTGAATGTTCGGCCCTACTGAGCCATAGTCAATTCTCATCCAAATATAGAATTATGAGGGTTTTTTTTAGGATTATAATTACAAATGTCCCCCACTGCTCATGTTAAATCCAGTTAGAGCCACTTTCTGACATTGTTACAGTGTTGAATGTAACCTAAGTGTGACTTCTCTGACAAAATATGAACTGGGTCAATAATAGGGACTAGTTTTTGTTGCTAGCTTGGGCAAAAAACGTTCCAACTATATGTAAAATCAATTGGACTTGCCCTTTATTTGTCTTTGTGAATACATTATTCAGTATTTGGTCAGAACATGGCAGCTGAGGACCCACTCAAAAAAGTCTACTTTGATGTGTAAAAATACATTATAATTGAAGCCACCATTATTTTTCAAGAGGCACATTCTCAGCTCTGCCGAATGAATGGATTTCTGCTTTGCGTTGGAATTATGCCCACTGGATCACTTGCCCCATAAAGGGTTTTTAAACTCATAGCACCAAATGAGGTCATATAGAACCAGGCAAAGTGTGTTCAACTGAAGGAAAAATATAAATGGTCTGCATTCCAAGTAGAGTTAAAATTGCTGAGTTTTTTATTTCTTATAATTATTGCATCTGTTAGCCAGGACCGTCTGCTCTATAACATTTTAACCAACTACCAGGCGGTCCTGTTTAGGTCCCAAGAGTTAGTGAGTTGCTTTTTAAAGGCCATTTTGCTAGAACATTTTCTCCCCAGTTTTGACAAGAAAGAATGCTCGATCCGAATGAATTTTTTGAGAAAAATCTGTTCTTTTGTTGTTTGGGTTACATTTGTCAATTTCTCATAACCAAGATGCCATCTGCAAGTTACAGCTGAAAGGCAAGGCAAGAGAAAATAATATACATGCATCACCATTCAATCAACGCCGAAGCAAGGTTTTTATATATTAGGGTTGTGTTTTGCTGCCGTCTCTGTCGATTCACAGGCATACAAATACCTGACAGTTGCTTGTTTTGCCCCATTCCATCCCACCCCCTTCTCCTCTAAAACATGCTCACTAAATATTGTTACATTCTCTCTCCCGTGCGCGCCTGTCTGAGCGCTCTGCTTTCTGTCGTGTCTATCTTTTCTCCAGCACATTTTGCTTCTGTTCTCATTTCCCTGGCCTGCGTCGTTCGCTCTCTCCTCCTCTGTTTTCCCATGGGTTCTGATTAGCCTGCACACCCACTCTATCTTTAGGCACTCCATCGGGATTTCAATTAATTCACCCCCCTTCCCCCCACCCCAAAAAAGTGCAATATCATCGTAATAAACTATATACCTGTTTAATTAACTTCCTCTTAATTGGACCTGGCCGTGAGACGTGCCCGTGTGGGTTGTTTCTTTTCTTTCCGACATGCGTATGCCCATATTGGAGATGATCTGATTGTATGAATACTGAAATATAGGCCACTTAAGATAAGCTCCCCTGCTTGATAGGTCTTGAAATTTTTGCACGCTCGCCTGCTTTGATCCAGTTCCCCCAGAGTGCATCCTCTCATCCGCGCCCATTGTTTTTCATATTTCATGGTCATTCTGTTGAAAGACTAACTAGCATTTATATCAGATCACAAAATCGCATCCCTCAGTAGGGTACTGGCTCTTCAAAGGGGTTCATTGTGAGTGTATTATTTGTATAGACGTAAACCGCAGCCGTATTTCTAACTTTACATTGTGATTTATGCATCCACCGTGTAATAGCTCCTTGTTAATGAGATTATTGTGTTTGATCCCTGTGTTCTCATTAGGGTTAATTGTCTTGCTGGTATTTTTCTTGTGTTTTCATTTATATCTTTTTCTCTGTCTCCTCTCCCCTGATCTATTTCTTTTCTTTTCTCTCGCCTCTCTCTGTGTCAGTGCCAAAAGTATCGTGAGCAGGCCGCTGTGCTTGAGAACCAGCCAACAGGGACGTTTGTGTTGCAAGTGCACGCCGTGGATGCAGATGAGGGAGCAAATGGAAAAGTCAAATATGGCTTAATGCACAGAGACAGTGCTATGGCTGCCTTCAGAATCAACCCAGAAACAGGTATTGTCCAAAATGCCTCTGCCGCAAATATTAATGTTGAATATTGTTTGGATTCCTATGATGCATATTGGGGGAAAGGATATCTCCACTACAATACATAAACGACTCAACAAACACAATTATTTAAATGTAGATTTGACTATATTATTTCAGGGGTGCTTCTAAAGCCCCATTTCCACCAACCCCACTTGGCCCTACTCTACTCTACTCCACTCTACTCTAGTTGTGTTTCTAGTATGCTTTAGTATCTGGTTGCGTATCCTTTCAACCTATCCACACAACAAACCTGTATCCGTGGACATTCATTGGTAACCATGGCTTCCAGCAGCCAATCACAATCTAGCACCAGCTCAGCTTAGATAGGACCAGGACTCCTTACTAAACTTAACTTCAACCAAATTTAGTGTTCCGACCTTAACCCTAACCGTGGCCAGATTGTGATTCTTAGATGTAAATTGATGTGTTGACGGAGCTAGCGTCTCCCAATATGGATAATACATGGATATGGATTTGCACGTGGATGGCGTGACCATAGAAAGATAGATACGGGAAGCGTATCGCTGTGTAGGCAGTAACCGGTGACGAGGACGAGGAAGCTTCAGGTTAGCTCCTCGGCTTGTTGTGCTAACTCAGCCGTCTATGCTAACGGACCTGTAGATTTCTCACGAAAGTGGGGGCCAGTGGTCCGCTGTGATTGGTCACAATCTGAGACCCGAAACACATTCTCTTCCTTGTTTCATCAAAACTCGATCTAAAATATAATGTCACGCCAGCACAAATCTGCGGTCCTTTTTCTTCAAAAGAATGTATATCCCAATGCACTACAGGACATGGATAGCCTTTTCGTAATGAATACAAAAATAAAGTCAGTTAGTGCAGCTTTAACTCAGCCCAGGACGAAATACCAAAATTATAGTAAGTCCAAGAAAGAACTCCATTGAGCAAGGCCAAGATGGGCTGGTGGAAACGGGGCTTTAGACAAATGTTAAAATCTTTGGTGTTTTTACCATTACTGGAGCAGAATGGCCACATGAGGACACAGCGACCTGGCTTCCCACTAATATTTCCTGACATTTTTCTAACATGCTTTTCTAGTTTCATGATTTTAGTAGTCCTCTGTCTCTTATTAAGTTTCAGTGCTCCACCTTTCTATAACATTCAATACTACCAACATGTCGCAAGGCTTCTTTCACATTTTTTTATATAATTCGCTCTGCTTTTCATTGACATGCAATACATAATATATCGCTCAAGGCTATTCTCTGGTTAGAATAGACTGAAAATAAATGAAAACATTATGTGCTTTAATAATGAACTGATGTATAATATGATCTATTGTGTATTAACCCTTTAGGCGCAAAAGTAGAATTGCTTCATGAGTTTTTGAATCTAGGACAGTTTCTACAAACATTTTCCAACCTTTTTCTCATATATTTTTCATGTTACTGATTTGAGTTGTCCTTTGTCTCTTTTAAAGTTCCAGAGCTCCACCTTTTGTCTGTACTACATGAAAAAGCCTAAAGGGTTAATGTAAGACTCATATCTATTGTGTGTGCGCCTCCCATGGGACCGCAGATGAAAAGCAGAGTATATTTTCTTTTATCTACATTACAAAACTAATATATGTGTGCTCTAGAAAGTACACTAAAGTTAAGATTATGGTTATTCACTCAAGCTGACTTCATTTTACCAGTCGTTGCATCACAAGAGAATGACATTGACGAGTGAACAACACCTACGTGTAGCTGTTTAGCACTAGGACTCCTACAATTGTGAAACTACGAGAACTCCCAGAGCTGTCATTTTGACTGCTCCCATTCATTCCAATAGAATTCCAAGAAAATCCCCCAAATAATTGTTTCACCAGATTGTTTCACCTTTACTTACATTTAATTGTGCTAAAACTCATTTTAACTTCAACTGAAATACACACAAAAAAGGCTATCGCTAACTTCTGACAGTAAACAGTGTGTTGCTATGGTAACGAGCACTTGATATTCTATGGTGGAAAATTAGCTAAATTCCCATTTCAAAAGTAAAAGATAATTCCATCCATCCATCCATCCATCCATTTTCTTCCGCTTTATCCGTTGCCGGGTCGCGGGGGCAGCAGTCTAAGCAGAGACGCCCAGACTTCCCTATCCACACACACTTCCTCCAGCTCGTCCGGGGGGACCCCAAGGCGTTCCCAGGCCAGCTGAGAGACATAGTCCCTCCAGCGTGTCCTAGGTCTTCCGCGGGGCCTCCTCCCGGTGGGACGTGCCCGGAACACCTCCCCAGGGAGGCGTCCAGGAGGCATCCGGAACAGATGCCCGAGCCACCTCAACTGGTTCCTCTCGACGTGGAGAAGCAGCGGCTCTACTCCGAGCTCCTCCCGTGTGACTGAGCTCCTCACCCTATCTCTAAGGGAGCGCCCAGCCACTCTGCGGAGGAAGCTCATTTCGACCGCTTGTATCCGCGATCTCGTTCTTTCGGTCATTACCCAAAGCTCATGACCATAGGTGAGGGAGGGAACGAAGATTGACCGGTAAATCGAGAGCTTTGCCTTTCGGCTCAGCTCCCTCTTTACCACAACGGTCCGATACAGCGACCGCATAACTGCGCACGCTGCACCGATCCGCCTGTCAATCTCACGCTCCATTCTTCCCTCACTCGTGAACAAGACCCCGAGATACTTGAACTCCTCCACTTGAGGAAGGACCTCTCCACCCACCTGAAGAGGGCAGGGCACCTTTTTCCGGTCGAGCACCATGGCCTCAGATTTGGAGGTGCTGATTCTCTATCCCAGCCGCTTCACACTCGGCTGCAAACCGTCCCAGTGAATGCTGCAGGTCCTGGTTCGTTGGAGCCAACAGGACAACATCGTCCGCAAACAGCAGAGATGAAATCCTGTGGTCCCCGAACCGGACCCCCTCCGACCCCTGGCTGCGCCTAGATATTCTGTCCATAAATACAGTGAACAGAACCGGTGACAAAGGGCAGCCCTGTCGGAGGCCAACATTCACCGGGAACAGGTCTGACTTACTGCCGGCAATGCGAACACAGCTCTGGCTCCGGTCATACAGGGACCGGATGGCCCTCAGCAGAGGACCCCCGACCCCGTACTCCCGGAGAACCCCCCAAAGGACACCCTGGGGAACACAGTCGAACGCCTTCTCCAAATCCACAAAGCACATGTGGACAGGTTGGGCGAACTCCCATGAACCCTCGAGTATCCGATGGAGAGTATAGAGCTGGTCCAGTGTTCCGCGACCGGGACGAAAAACCACACTGCTCCTCCTGGATCCGAGATTCGACCATCGGCCGTAGCCTCCTCTCCAGTACCTTGGAGTAGACCTTACCGGGGAGGCTGAGGAGTGTGATCCCACGATAATTGGAACACACCCTCCGGTCCCCCTTCTTATAGAGAGGGACCACCACCCCGGTCTGCCACTCCACTGGCACCGCCCCCGATCGCCACGCGATGTTGCAGAGACGTGTCAGCCAAGACAGTCCTACAACATCCAGAGACTTTAGATAATCCATTTAATTCCATTAAATAAATAATGACATAGAAATAAACTATGTAAAGATACAGAAAAAGTTAAGTTTTTCACCAGATTCATTAAAAGAAAGTAATGTATTCTTGGGTTTCATACGACGTCAGGGCAGTGACGGAAATATCCAAAGTAGGACAGGACGTGACGTATCCTGGCGGTGCAGTCTGCCGGGTTTATACACGGAGATATAGTAGAAGAAGAAGCGAACTCTTTTTGTGCGGTGTACGCAACCGCACAAATAGAGAGAAAGACAAGAGTTTGTTCATGTTCCGACTGTGGTCTCATATAAAGGAGGACACTTTGAAAAAATCACTGGAATGAGGCGGGCGAGGTGGATCAAGGCTTTCCCAGCTAAGCGCCCCCTGCAGGCCACCCGAACGAAGTGCAGCAATTTCTTCTGTTTTTCTTTCCAAAAGTGCCCGAAATCATGACTCTTTTGAGAAATATTTTTTGTACTCCCTTAGAATTGAGAGTCACCGCACAGGAGGAGAGCCTTTTGACTCCAAAACAGACACGATTTACATGGTTTTCAATGGGAGTAAAACTGAGTTGTCCCACCTCTGCTCATTCGCCCCCTACTGGCCAGGTTAATGAAACCCAAGAATATGCGAGTCCTTAAACTGGTCATTATAACTTCAACTGATAGCGTGTGTGTTGCTATGGTAACGAGCACTCGGTAGAAAACTAGCTAAACTCACACTTTCAAAGTAAAAGATAATTCCATAAGAGAAATATTGACAGGAAATAAGAAATAAACTACATACAGGTACAGAAGTTAACAAGACCAAGAATGAGTAATTACACTTCCAAAAACTAAAAACCGTCAAAATGACTGCTTTGGGTGCCCGTATCGTGAGCAGTGTTTCTGGTGTATTTACAGGAGAGATCGTGACAGCCAGACGTTTTGACAGGGAGCGCCAGAGAGAATATTCAATTACAGTAACCGCCACGGACTGGGCCGAGGAGCCGCTCATCGGGATCTGCACTCTCACCATCCAAATCATGGACCAGAATGATAATAGCCCCAAGTTTGAGAATCTGCGCTACGAGTGTAAGTGGCGGACAGCGATTATGCATGCTGCTACAGGCTTCAGAGTGAGTCATAAGTGCTGAGAAAAGACCGTCTCTCCAGCAAAACAGGGTTCATATTCATTTAAGGTTAACTGCCCCTTTCATTTCGGTCATTTAGCTTTATTGGGCATGTGTTGAATCTGTGATCTCTGCAAATGTGCCTTAATTATTTCTAGATGAAAATATGTCGCAGTAGCTAATTAGATGACTATAATTTCCGGCTAAAAAATCAACCCGGAACGGAAGTGTTTATGGGCGATATCAAACGCTATTTCTCTTTCCCGGGCAAGGTTGCATTTACATTTTCTTGATGCAAATTCGTAAGGACAAAACATTGTAAAAATGGGCTTATCTTAAAGGCACCATGTATTCAAATACCTAATGAAAATTTCTGCTGTACAAAAAAAAAAAGGAAAGGAATAAGAAAGCTCAGACGGTTTCTCTCTTTATTAACACCTGACCTTGGTTTCACTCATGCCCGTGCATTACTCTTTATAAAATATGAATTGTAACGCTCTTAGACTTCCTGAGAGAGGACACGTTGGTGGGGACGAGCTTCTTGCGCGTGGCTGCCCATGATGATGACTTCGGCCTGCACGCTGCCATCACTTACAGCATGTCCGCGGAGCAGCCGGAGTACCTGCAGGTCAACCCCGTGACGGGCTGGGTGTTTGTGAAGCAGCCCATCTCTCAGGTCTGTGCCCATTCCCCACACGTTTATGCACTTACACTTGTGTAATGTGTTCGCTGCTGGTTATATCAACAATACTAATGAAAGAGCCGTTTCCCGGTGTCTGCTCCTCCCAACTGAGCCCGTGCTCCCTCCCGAGGTGCTGCTTATGAAGGCGACACTGAGGAAAGAGGGTGGTGAGACGGATTCATGATAAACAACGGATTAGAAATAGATTCTCACTGCTTTGGATTGAGGTGGACACATCTAATGACATGGGACTATTTATAGCAGATGGCTTTTGCTTAAACAGAGTATGGGTGACCTTAAAGCTGAGGTAACCCAACTTTAAAACCACAAAAATAAAACTTAAATAAAAGTTCCTCACCCTTCAAACAGTTTGGTTCACTATCACTAGTTTCCACATGAATGCTTTTTTTGGCCTCTGTCACATCTGTAGATCTGCTTTTTCAGCCAACCAGCCCTCTGCCCAAAGAATCAAATCATGACTCATTGAGACTACTTCTTACAAGTATGCATTGATTATATATCCATTAAGATTTTGGCAGCATGTCACAGAATTTGACTTTTACACAAAACTATTGGGATAATCATATTGTATTTTTATGGAGAGAAAAGAAGTGAATTACCTCAGCTTCAAATACAATTGAACATTTGATCAAAAAAAATTATTAGAATTTAAATGAAAACATATATTTTGTCAACATAATCATTCAGAATGTTTAATGTTGATGTATTTGTACAAGTAATTGCTATACTAAACATTTGACTGATTTTTGTTCTGGTTCAGAGCAGTAGTTTAACAGCATGATTTAAACTATTATAATAATACTACTAATAATAATAATACTTTCTTTCACTTTCATGAGCGTTACAGACTTGTTGAAGCCTCTCAATGTGCAGCACTGAAGTGATTGCTCATTCTTTCATTCTATACACACTTCATCAGGCTTGCTATTTCTTCCATAGTGTTCAGGGGCAATTAAACTTTAGGGGCAAGGAACAAGCACACATGTTTTGTTAGTTTCTTGAGTTCATTCAATTCAATTCAACTTATTTCTCAGAGGACTTTACAAATCCCTCTAACTCACCAACACAGATCAGAATCAACAGTTCAACAGTTGGTTCATAAGGGGCGGATGATCAATGTCCGAAAATGTTGATAAAATCCATAAATGTCGTCCTGAATCCTCACCTTTGTCCTTAAACCCTCTTCTATCAGTAAATTGCTCATTCACCTTTAGGACTGCCCCCTTTGTGATTGACCTTATTTGTTGCATAATTTTTGTTGGAATTATTGAATCCATTTGAGTGATACAAGCTGTTTAAAGGCATTTCACATTTTTCGATTTGATTTCAATGCAAAATGGCGTGTTAATCCAAGTAGTAGTTCCTGTCATTTCTCCTGACGTGTCCTTATTTGGATTTCTCAAAGGTTGAGTGGTAATTCATGTCAAAGCCTTTAGAAGGTGAGCATTTTCTCCTCAAGTGGCACTCTTCTTCATCACTTAGTCTCATGTAAAAAGATAAAACTTGTTCTGGCTCCATAGTGGTCTGTATAATTTAACACGCGTCTTTTGCATAAAGTCTCACCATCTTATGCAATATTCAAGTTGGATGACCAAAGAGTGTTACAACAAAGATAATGAATATTTCACTGCAGGGTTCAGTTGTAATTGGAATCAAAGCATGTTCGTACGTCTCATCTGCTCTCATTTACCATGTTCCAGTTTCTATCATGGGAAATCTTCACACCGCCACTTCATGTCTAGAGTTAAGCTCCCTGAAGATGTGTCAATTGAGCTGTCCTGTCCAGCCCAGGTTAAAAGTAGAAACACTATTATGGTCCTATATAGTCCAGCATGTACTGCTTTAGAGTCTGCCCTGAAGACACACTCGAGCGAGGCTTTGTGCTCCTCCCCATGTCCACCAACTCATTCAGTAATTTGCTTCTGGGACCAGAGTCTGTGGTTTCAAGCTCAGGGGTGGAAAGTACTTGCTCTCAAAATACTAATTTGATTGCCCAAAGAAGAGAAAATGTAATTTTAAAGTAAAGTGGGAATCCTTTTATCCGAATACTGCAGCAAAAGAATAGAGTGACTGCAATTTTTCATTGATAGAATACAGTTCATGGGTGAAGCTTACAACTGAATTACTATTTGGCCATAACAATAAGTTGCACACTGAGAGCTGTGGCAGTGAAATGCAATTACCTTCAGCGGGCCAAAAGGCACATTATATTTTTGTCTGTTTTCTTCTTGATGTGAGTCTTATGATTTTATTGTGTATTGTCTAATTAAGATAAACTAACGCATACCCTAATGGCCTCTTAAGAAAACGCTTCCCTGCAGTGTCCACTTTGATATCAAAGAAAGTCTCATGCACAGTTCATATCAGTTTGTTTCTGCAACAAAAGAAAAGTTAGAATATTAATTAAGCCTTGTCGAATACATTTGTTCCATTGGTGGGAGTAACTCGGAGTCACTGAAAGCCTTTCCTTCACTGCTTCTGGTAATTACTCTGTTTCCGTCTTACTTTGCCTGGTTGAACTGCACATTTGTATGACGCTAACTTAACCCTCTATGGCATGACTTTTTATTTTAGGGGGAAAAAAATATTTCAACACACTTTTTAAGAGCTCGTGGGTCCCTAATAACATATTGATCTTTACATTTGACCCCCCCCACCCCCCCAATCAGATAATGGTTTGTTGCTTAAGGGCAACATTGTGCGACGAGGGTACTAAAACACCAAGGTTTTCAATATTACATTGAATTAGGAAAATAATAAAACAAATACATAAGAGAAGCTTTTATTCTTTTATTTTTCAAGCTCAACTTTTTTAAACGGGTACAGAGCACTCCAGATTGCAAAAACAAAAGCAAAAACAGTTCTGAGCCTCTAGTAAGTCACACAGCTGCGGGTCTCGGTAGCCTATTGTGTATGGAACAGCAAGAAGCAGTTGCTAGTTGCTGAGACCAGGACTAATGTGAGAGGACTTCAGGACAGAGACCTGAGACCAGGACTAATGTGAGAGGACTTCAGGACAGAGACCTGAGACCAGGACTAATGTGAGAGGACTTCAGGACAGAGACCTGAGACCAGGACTAATGTGAGAGGACTTCAGGACAGAGACCTGGAGACCAGGACTAATGTGAGAGGACTTCAGGACAGAGACCTGAGACCAGGACTAATGTGAGAGGACTTCAGGACAGAGACCTGAGACCAGGATTAATGTGAGAGGACTTCAGGACAGAGACCTGAGACCAGGACTAATGTGGGAGGACTTCAGGACAGAGACCTGAGACCAGGACTAATGTGAGAGAACTTCAGGACAGAGACCTGAGACCAGGACTAATGTGAGAGGACTTCAGGACAGAGACCTGAGACCAGGACTAATGTGGGAGGACTTCAGGACAGAGACCTGAGACCAGGACTAATGTGAGAGGACTTCAGGACAGAAACCTGAGACCAGGACTAATGTGAGAGGACTTCAGGACAGAGACCTGAGACTAGGACTAATGTGAGAGGACTTCAGGACAGAGACCTGAGACCAGGACTAATGTGAGAGGACTTCAGGACAGAGACCTGAGACCAGGACTAATGTGAGAGGACTTCAGGACAGAGACCTGAGACCAGGACTAATGTGAGAGGACTTCAGGACAGAGACCTGAGACCAGGACTAATGTGAGAGGACTTCAGGACAGAGACCTGAGACCAGGACTAATGTGAGAGGACTTCAGGACAGAGACCTGAGACCTGGACTAATGTGAGAGGACTTCAGGACAGAGACCTGAGACCAGGACTAATGTGAGAGGACTTCAGGACAGAGACCTGAGACCAGGACTAATGTGAGAGGACTTCAGGACAGAGACCTGAGACCTGGACTAATGTGAGAGGACTTCAGGACAGAGACCTGAGACCAGGACTAATGTGGGAGGACTTCAGGACAGAGACCTGAGACCAGGACTAATGTGGGAGGACTTCAGGACAGAGACCTGAGACCAGGACTAATGTGAGAGGACTTCAGGACAGAGACCTGAGACTAGGACTAATGTGAGAGGACTTCAGGACAGAGACCTGAGACCAGGACTAATGTGAGAGGACTTCAGGACAGAGACCTGAGACCAGGACTAATGTGAGAGGACTTCAGGACAGAGACCTGAGACCAGGACTAATGTGAGAGGACTTCAGGACAGAGACCTGAGACCTGGACTAATGTGAGAGGACTTCAGGACAGAGACCTGAGACCAGGACTATCGATTGGAATGTCCCTAACTCCTTCATTCTTGGACCCGTAAAACGTTATTGCATCCATTTCCTACAAGCAATAGTAGATGAATCAGAATGGAAGATAGAACAGCAAAAAAACATTGAGTGTGGTGTTGATTATCCATTCAAGCACATCCCCAACCAGCAGCATTACACTGCCCAAACAAAAGTGCTACAACTGCATGATGTTGCCTTGAGGCAACAAACCTAAACGTGCAGTTTTTGTATATAAATGTAAACAAAAAACATATATTAACAATCAAATATGCTTCTTAACATATTCATGCACAGTCACATATTTATTTTATCAAGTTTTTCGAATTTAAACATGTAGAAAAGTTATATTTATCCTACCTTTTTCTGGCACTGTGTCACTTGTGACTCTGCTTCCTGAAAGGACTGCTCCACCCCCAGACAATTGCCCCCACCCACTTCAGAACTTGATTTAATTGGACAGAAACATGTCTAGTAATTTTATAAATAAAAAAATAAAATAAAAACATTAAAGGGCCAGTGTAAGAGCCAAAAGATTGGTTTGTTGCCCGAGGGCAACAGTATGCCATAGAGGGTTAAACCTATTATTCCGAATCACACTACTCTGACGACAGCTTCATAGAGCGGAACCAGTGCTCTGAGAAAAGAGAGAGTCTTCAGAACCAAACAGTCAATCTCTGCACCTCAGGAGGCAGATGATTTGCTGATGCTGCCCCTGAGGGAAAGACGAGACAAGATTTATGCATACGTCTTATATTTGCTACTGTATTATGTTGCTGGTATATGTTATTAAAACACAAATACATTCCAGAAAGAGACAAAGACACAATTTCTTTTGACATTGTAAATATATTTCTGTATTTTGACTTCCTATGTGAAACTAACATATGGCTCATTACTTGTAGCGTGAGTTATATCAAGTTATAATGTTGATAATTGGCTCACAGCTTGTAAAAACCCCAAGTTAGACATCTCAGAAAATGTGGATTATTTGAAACCCACCTCCCTGCCTGGGAGCCTCCTCAGTCCTGCACCACACAGCCTTAGTCCTTGTTCTACAACCTTAGTCCTGGGTCTACAGCCTCAGTCCTGGATCTACAGCCTCAGTCCTGGATCTACAGCCTCAGTCCTGGATCTACAGCCTCAGTCCTCGTTCTACAGCCCCCGTCCTGGATCTACAGCTTCAGTCCTCGTTCTACAGCCTCAGTCCTGGATCTACAACCTCAGTCCTGGATCTACAGCCTCAGTCCTGGATCTACAGCCTCAGTCCTCCAGCCTCCGTCCTGGATCTACAGCCTCAGTCCTCGTTCTACAGCCTCCGTCCTGGATCTACAGCCTCAGTCCTCGTTCTACAGCCTCCGTCCTGGATCTACAGCCTCAGTCCTCGTTCTACAGCCTCCGTCCTGGATCTACAGCCTCAGTCCTCGTTCTACAGCCTCCGTCCTGGATCTACAGCCTCAGTCCTCGTTCTACAGCCTCCGTCCTGGATCTACAGCCTCAGTCCTCGTTCTACAGCCTCCGTCCTGGATCTACAGCCTCAGTCCTAGATCTACAATCTCAGTCTTCGTTCTATAGCCTCAGTCCTTGTTCTACAACCTGAGTCCTGGATCTTCAGCATGTCAGTTCGTGGGAGGGGATGTGGGCCACTTTTTCCCACTGGGTTTGTTTTGAGTCATAACTATTATAAGACAGCAAAGGCTTTGCATAAGTTACGCTGCCTCTAATGAGTCTGTCATATTTGCTTTCACATTTTAAGTTGAGTTACAGAAAAATAAACTTAAGGACATATAAGAAAGATACATTTTAGATCATGTTTTAAAAAAAAATGTGCTTGTTTATATACATACAGGATTGTGTGAATGACTGGAATATTGAGGATAATGGTTCTATTATTTGATTTTGACTTGGGCAGCTGGTGGTCCTCTCAGTCTTTGCTGTGTGGTCATGTATTTGCTCAGGTGCAGATTGGGAGAGCGGTCTCTGCCTGGTTTTGTCATGTCTGTGTTTGCTATGACTCGATTCTGGTATTCCCATTGTCTCATTGTTGCGTATACTTGTGTGTCTGCAATATGTTGACTGTTAGTGATTATGGCTTGCGTCTTGCTTATAAATCGGGTCAAAGATTGCATAAAATAAAAATAACGGCCTATAAATTGGTAATTGGCAAAGAAAAATCCCCCAAAATTGGTTGTTCCCGCACTCTAAAGAAATAACGATTTGTATATATATATGCATTATGTACTAAAATATAGCAGTTTTATTGTTTTAAGAAACTTTCTTAGGAGGTAAATTGCTCAGCTCTCATTGTTACCTTCCTCCGTCGTCTGAGTGCAGCCTTTGATGTGACTGTAGACGGCTGTCTTCTTTCAACATTTATCCCTGTTTAACCTGATGAGTGGGCAAACACATCACTATTCTGAGACCAACCATGGATCAAACTAAAACTGATCTCACAAGCTATTTTTAAAAGCAAGTAAAGTGTCTTACAAAAATTTGACTGACCCCATGCTGTTGTCACGGGATCAAACTGGAAACTAAATTATGAGGTATTGAGTGGTTTTTATAATAATTTGAGTCCATGCTGGCTGTCTTAAAACAAGATTGTTATTTGCCAAAGGGACAAACAACTGTTGCTTTATTTACTCATTCAAAGGTAGACATTTAAATAAAAAAAAAAATGCAATAATTTAGCTTTGTCCCTTTGGCAAATACTGTTTTAAGGTAGTCAACATGTGTTTATATGAGGATACATTTTGAGCCATATTTGACTTTTTAAGATAAGATAAGAAAGAATAACTAAGACTTTATTGATCTCACACTGGAGAAATATACATGTCAGATTTGGTATAGATTGAGTCACTAAGAATGTGCAAAATCACTTTTTGCAGCGTAGGAGGTTCAGGCTCAGGTTTTCCTATGTTCAAAGTTGTAGTTTCAAACTTTAAGATTTCAGCTGCATGAATCTGAAACGCTGCCTCCCCATGACTCCCCATGACTCCGGGCCAGTCCCTGTGCTCCTCAGAGTCCAAGTTGGTTCATATGGCGCTAAAATACCCTGGATGTATGTAAGATGTGAGATGCCATGGAGAGACTTGTTCACACGCAGAGCAGCTTTTAAGTCTATTTTCTGAGCCACAAGACAAACAGACACAAGATGACAGAGGCAGAGTAGTAATACGAGGTAGATCAACAAAGCTGTATGTTGGCTGCACACATGCGAGACTAGTTCAGTTATGGCAAGTGTATAGGAGTGGGTGATTCACAGATGAATTGACAAAAGGCATACACAGTAATTGCTCGTGTTGTGACATAATAAACCGCTGTGAAATAATAACAATATGGCCTTTCTGTTGTTTCTTTAGAGGGCCTACATCACCAGAGAAATCATCGCCACAGACGGGGGAAACCGCAGCTCGACGGTGGAGTTGGCTGTTACTATTACCAACGTAAAGAACCAGCCTCCTCAGTGGGAGCAGGACAGTTTTTATGTGACCATCCCTGAGAACACAGCCAGAGACACCCCTATAGCGGTAAGCCTCCAATTTATTTTATTCATTTTTTTATTTGAAAGGGACAATGCATACAAAAACACAGTTACAGCAAAAGATGCATCTGGTGCAACACAAACCGTAAATGCTAATTGTTCTGTCCCTGGTTGAGCTTTTCCTTGACCGGAAATTTATTGTAATTTCAACTCTTGTGTCTATATAACAGTGCGGTTGATATATTGTGTGCACTTCCTCATCTCGGCTCTTTCTGCTATTCACATAAACATAACAGCAGATAGAGCTGCGTCCAAATTTGTATGGGAGCCGTCAAAATGACTGCTCTGGGAGTTCTTGTAGTTTAAATCTGGAGTCAATTCAATTCAATTTAATTTATTATATATCCCTAAATCACAACAGTTTTTCTCTGAGGACTTTACAAAACTGTCAAATTTGTCTACGTAGATCAGATAATCAAACAGTTCAAACACAAGAAATGCATCATCTGTCCATAAGGGGCAGATGACCGAGGTCCATTAATATTGATAACGTCGTTGAATGTCGTGCGTCCTGGATCATCACCGCTGTCCTTGGACCCTTCTGCATCAGCAAGGAAAAACTATTAAAATCCTTGTCATTAAATCATCCTGTGACCAGTTAGAACCGTCGTCTATTGTCTCTGTTTTGTCCTATTAGCCGCCTAAAATCTGTCGTTTAAGCGGTTTATTATGACTTGAAAACCTGCAGCTTATATTCAAGTGCGGCCTGTATGTTTACCAAAATGTACTTTCTTTCAAATCTTTGCTGGTGCGCTTCATAGTCCAGCAATGACCCTCTACAAGTCATAAAAAACACAATCTTGAACACATTTCTGCTCCCACATTTCCACATTCAAAAACACAAATGAGTACATCTTTAGTTTGCTTAAACTGTTGTGCAGTTTAAACACTGATATCTAACCCTCCTCTGTTTCCTCTTGTTCATTCATTTCAGCCAATTGTTTGTCCTAATTCTCCAAGCTATTGAACGTCTTGAGTACGTCGCTGTTGTCTGTGTGTTAGCGTTACAACATTCAGTCTTGTCAATGTGCCCAAAAGTCATTTTTTCACACTGTGTTAATTTGAGGCTGTAGGTAACATTTTTGATCGGATTGCATGTGAAAGAAAACTTCCTCAACTTGGGCTAATTAAATCCTTTCAGAGTGCCTCCTTTTTTTTCTCCCAAGGTCTCTGCAAGAGGTTTTCTGCAGACATCGGCTTGTATCAGTGGTGAAACATAGTATGTCTTCAAGGCACACGAAACAAAAAGCTCTTACAAATATATACATTCCATATTCTTTACAAATTCTCCACCATTATTGCAGATCATTAATATCTTATTTTTAGGTTTAAAGTTTAAGATTGGTTTAAAGTAAAGTAATGATACAGTACATTGTGTGCACCATGTGCACTTGTATATTGTAAATAGTAACTGTAACTCTATTTTAAATTTAAATTTAATCTTTAGAAGTGTTTTTTATTCTTATTTTTATTATCTCTTTTTGACTGTTGCACTGAGCCAAAGCAATTTCCAAGTCTGTGACCTCCCGTTACTTACGTTGGCAATAAAAATGATTCTGATTCTGATTCTGATTCTGATATATAAGGAGAGAGTGGAAAGGCAGGGGAGCTCATTTATACCTCATAATGTAATAGAAATATGAATCCATGCCGCCGCAAAATGCAAGAAATTATTATTTAAACAATGTTAGCACCAGCAGGGGTGACAAACATTGCATATTATTTTCTGGTATATATTCTGAAAAAACATAACAATGTATTGTTTAGACTGAAGAAAAACTGGAGCCAATATACACAAGACTGATACACCAATGTTTTTAAAATTATTATTATTATTGAACTATTTAACGTCTATTTACAGGTTGGGGTAAAATTTTAGAACACATTAAATAAGAGAGTTGTTTTCTTGGGAATAAGCTTTAAGAAGAGTTAAATCAAGTCATAGTAGCCCATTAACACCAATGCTGCAAATGAATAATAACAATTGAAAATCATGTGGAGTTTATGGGTCACTAAAATGTGTCCTGTGGGCCGGATTTGTTCTACTCTACACATTTCCATTATTTGTGAATACATGTGTTTCAACCAGAATGTTAGTATTGTGTCATTGGTCAAAATAATGTGACAAGGCGATTAGAAGGATTGTTTTGAGCTGGTTTGGATTTTATCTATAAGACACTTTGAGAATGACTTTGCTTTGTTAAAAAACGCTAGAGTTTCATTTTTGTATCAGTTTCAGCTGGTGACCCAAACTCAAAACTCACCATTTCAGACTTTCTTTCCCACATGACCAGTCCCCCCCAACACCTTTCTCTATTTTTGTGTTTTTCAGTTTTTTCATAATGCTAAGGTTTTTAATTGTAGTCTGTTTTCAACCCTGTTTGAAATGTATTATTGTTATTATTATATATCTCATTTTATATATTGTTATTATTATGTATCTGTGGTATATGCGTTCAACTAATGTCCAGAATATACTGAATACATATAAATCCTAATGAGGGGAGATTTTGAGAAAAACGATATAACTTCACCACTCTACCATGCATGAAAAGGAGTACTGTCAATCAAAAGCAAATCTACACTGGCTTAGACTGGAAAAAAGTAGATCCGGGAGCTTTACCCTGTGAGCCTCACGTTTGCTCAGTTCAGTTTTCCTTTCGTAATATATGCATTTGTCTTTTCCTCTCTCCTGCTTCATACAACACCCCATCTGCTGCTTTCCTAGACCATCAAGGCAACCTCTCAGCTCGGAGACCCGCGCGTGACCTACAACTTGGAAGACGGGATGGTACCAGAAACTAATATGCCGGTTCGTTTTTACCTCTCCCCAAACCGAGAAGACGGGTCAGCCTCCATTTTGGTGTCAGAACCGCTGGATTATGAGACTACGCCATTTTTCTCTCTGCGAGTTCGAGCCCAGAACGTGGCTGCGGTGCCTCTTGCTGCTTTCTCCACTGTTTATGTCAACATCACAGGTACGATATTAGTTCATATTCATAGCTTTTTCCACTTCGGAGTCCTTGCATTTCTCATAGTACGACTTTGCTTTCAACAAAGTGGGCAGCACGGTGGCTGAGTGGATAGCACTCTCGCCTCTCAGCAAGAAGGTCCTGGGTTCGAATCCTGGTCGGACCAGGGCCTTTCTGAGTGGAGTTTGCATGTTCTCCCCGTGTCTGCGTAGGTTTCCTCCGGGTCCTCCGGTTTCCCCTACCACTAAAAATATGTCCAATAGTTCTAGCATGCGCCTCCTGTACTGACCCTGCTCCCATCTCTGTGTGGAGTGAGAGACAAGTGCCCAATATTAACAATTGTAAACCGCTTTGAGACTCAGATCTGCAGTGAAAAGGCGGTATATAAATAAAGATTAAAAAAAAAAAAAACAAAAAAAAAAAAACAAGTGGAGGTATCAGGTTGGCAATCGAACTGCTTTTAAAGAGCGCCAGATACTGAATTTTTTATGTGCCCCATGTTTACAGGAAAGGAAGTTTTATCTCTCAATTAAGTGCGATGAGCAGTTTGTCTGGCGCTGAATTATTTCTATCTCTTTCATTGCAGACGTGAATGACAATGTGCCGTTTTTCACATCCTCCATCTACGAGGCCTCGGTGACAGAAGGGGCGCAGATAGGAACGTCGGTGCTGCAGGTGTCTGCCTTTGACAAAGACCTGGGTCTGAACGGAGAGGTATGTGCTCTATTTCAAATTTCTACCCGATTTCTTTTTCTTTTTTTAGACAATTCCGTCGCACCTAAGCTGGCTCTTTTTCCAGCTAAAACGGTTATTGTCTCGTCACAAAGGACATTGAAGATTGCCAAACCATAATGTCCTTCTTGGGGATGGCTTTTGTTCACAGTTGTCATGGTTGTATTGTAGCCGCTGCAGCTGAGTGAGTGACATGGTGAGGTTTTCAGGGCTGTGAATTGACCGTCTCGACTATAAACGCTGTAAAAGCTGTACAATCAGGGCTTCCAGTCACTTATTCTGAACATGATTTATTTCTGAAGAGAGACAATACAATATTATTCAAAGGATCTGTTCAAAGTTCAAAATAGAGGCCTGGGACAATATTTACTCTATCGAGTTATTATTCAATTAGTAATCACCCACACACTTCAATTTTATACAAACGTCTGTGCTCCAGTGAAGGCCACGACCTGCAGTGAAAGACGCAGTGTGAGATTGACCAATATTGGTTTTCAGAGGCCAATGGTGATTTTTATATATGGGGTAAACTCTAGTCTGCTATCAGGATTTTATGTTTTACGTTTATTTCATAAATCCTTCATGGATGTTGATGGGACTAGGTGATGATATGATTTTGAGCTCATCTTTGGAAGTTGTGCTCATTTGTGTGTATTTTGGAGGTAATACGGAATTCTGTTACAAGCTATATATATATTTAAATGGCCTTATCATCAGCCAATATATATTATTATAGGCCAAGGCGAGAAGGCCAATTAAAAATACCTTAATTTGCCCTCCTTTCCTGTTGATGAGTGTTTTTGGTCGGTGCCCAACCACTAAGGCATATGAAACAAAAAAATTGAAGAATCTTATGAAGTGCTTTGTAAAACACATCTATTGTTTTTTATCTTGTCTGGTCTGTGAAAGGCGCTATATAATAATAGTCTTTTTATCCACAGATCACTTACACTTTACTGAGTGACAGCAGTGGGGACCACAGCCTGTTCCGTATGGACCCTGTTCTGGGGGTCATCTACACTGAGGCAGTGTTTGACCGTGAGGCACGTGGCTCCTACCTCCTGGAGGTTCAGTCTGAGGATGGACAGGAGTCTGCACGCCCCGGGAAGAACAAGCAGCCCAATTCAGGTACTATATGCCGACAGTGCATAAAAGTGGATTGATGAGTAACTTAAATTATTCACTTATAACCTGGTCCATTATCAAAGTTTAAAGTAAAATAGCTTAAATTCGCTTCAAGCTAGCAATCCAATGATGTATACTCTGTGACTTCCAAAGTTGTATTTTAAAGTGACCTCTACTAAAGCACAGTAGCTGAGCCATAAAAAGCAACATTGTTCCCTGCCCACAGGGCTGTAATAAAATCCTGTGCTCCCTCTGCTGTGTTTTAAGCGGACTGCACAAGCACCAATTACCTCAATTACGTAGAACCCACTGGGATTGATTTTCAGAAATGACCAATTTATGGCATGATACTGCTGTCTCATGACATAACATGACACCCCTACTAGAGTATTCCTCGCTTCTGTTCTTTTCTACTTCCACAGTTCAATATTTGGCCAGCAGAGCCCATGTGTGTCTGCAGTGTCCTCTCTGTGGCCCTCGCGCTCACATAAGAACCATTGTGTCCAGTGTGATGTAACGTGACGTGTATTCCAGAAGGGCTCTTTGCAAATGTTTGTGATGGAGATATTAGGGGTAAAGGGTGATGTTCTGACGAAGCAAAGCCCTCTCTGTGGGGCTGTCAGGGCTGCTTAACATTTACAATGAGCCTTAGCTGAGTTTTGTGTTACGCATCTCCACATCTAGAAGGGCTCATCTGCACAGCAGACATCACCTTTCTGTCTCATCCATCCTGGGCTTTAACCAAGAAACACAGGATTTGAACCAGAACTGCAGCAGCATCCTGTTTTATTGTGAAAAATAAACACATAACCAAAGGTTTAAACATATACAAGCAGTCATTTATTTCTAACGAAGGAAATATATAGTATAATAATGGGGAGAGCACAATAAACCACTTGTTATAAATATTTAACCTTCTGTTGAGAGGTGCTTTTTCTACTCACTGAAAAATAATCCCTGTGCATGATAGGTTCAGCTCCATTGCTGTTATTCATGTGCGATAACAGTCTTGTTAGAACAATAAACTCTTTATAGGTTTTACTACTCCTCCTGTGAATAATATTTTGTCTGATTCGGTGTCACCAAGCCATGCGTTGTGAGGTTAAGTGCCTCTTCCATAAAATAGTGAAATCCATGAGCAGATGGAGGGGGTAATACCAAAATGGTGGGTGTGCAGTTCGTGTGGGTGTTAGCGTGTGCTGTAACTTTTAATCTGATGCCATTTTGTCATTCCTGCAGACACAGCGTATGTTCGGGTTTTCATCAGCGACGTCAACGACAACAAACCGCTCTTCGCTCAGAGGCTGTACGAAGTTGCCGTCGACGAGAATGCAGATGTGGGCTTGACTGTTGTCACCGTGAGCGCTAATGACGAGGATGAAGGTACGTCTGAGGAGGCTGCGCTACCGGAGAGGGGCCCACTGAGAATTTGAGTTTAGCTGCTTCCTAAAGGTTATGGAAACCGTCCAACCAGAACCAATAACGAAGTTTGTAAGCCTCTGTGAAACTTCCACAAAAAAGTTTCTATCCAGCATTCATTTTCATTCTACACCTGAAACATTTTGGCAGCTTATCATTCATTCTTACTCCCGCCAGTTCTTGCCAAGTCGGCATCTTTTTTTGCAAACATTTCTCTTTGTAGCAATATTCATTAAGTGACCCTCAGCAGTGTTTCCCAATGTGCAGCTTAAAACATGTAGCGTGCTGGATTTAGCAGCAGTCATCAGAGTGCTCGGTAATGCACTGCGGCACATATGTTCCAAAAAGACTGACATGCTCCCACTCAGTAGGTGGGCGGGCTTTAACCAATAAAGCCATTGCTCGTGCTCCGTGTGGCCCCAGTCTCAGATCCCTTTATCAAGCCTGTTTGTGTCCGTTAATCAAGTATTTATGGAGAGCGGGGGTGCAGCTTAGGCCCGGCTGCTGTACTAATGATGAATAGCGGTGGCACCACACCAGCCCCCAATATTAAACTTACAATACTGTTGCTCTTGTGCCTAAGAGGCCACAATCAATCTGTCTCGTTTAAGAACCCCCGCCCAGGGCTTGACTGGTGTAAGCCTGCCAGTTCACGGTGGGAGGTAGGAACCACTTTGTCAACCCGGCTTGTGTTAATAGTGCAGATTAGTGTATTTACATGGGATTGGAGGTACTTTAGGGCAACAGGATGATTGAAAGTGTGAACTGTACATAGCTGGAGATCATCTTATCTCCTACCATTGGAGAAGCAGCAGATTGAACAGTCTCCATAGAGCCTAGATGAGGTCAGATATTGACTTCCTCTTCGCTAAACTATATCCACAACCTTCTCTCAGGCTTGAAAAGAGAGATCCCTGGATAATACTTGAGCAGTGCTGCATGCTGCTTTTTGCTCTCGTGCACCCTTTCTACTTTTTTTCAGCACTTTTTTTAATTAGTATCTGATTAAAGTGGAGGAGACGAGGTACAAAGTTTCCATTTAATTAAGTCATCAAAACAAGTGGGGAATACATGAAAACCTACTAATGCCTGGGTCTAGGAGTAAATGAGGTGTAATACCCAAGTGTTTACTGCCGTCTGTTTCTATACCACCGTAGACAGAAACCCATGCACCAACAATGATCCAAAACAAAGGCCTTATTTAACCAGGGATATTCTGCAGCTTGTCGAAACACAGCTACAGTAGTTTTTTTTTTCAATTTAATAAGCATTAATTCTTCTGTTCTTAAGAAATCCTTTTTTTGCTTTTATGTATTCTTCTATTTCTTTAGCGAGTTCAAAAACGCTTGTTCTATAAAAGGTCTCTCTTGTTACAAAGCTCAAAAGTCCCAGTTGGAAATACTAACTTTTCTCTACGGCTTTGAGTATGATACAATAAAGTGCCACGCAATAGATGTGTACAAAGGCTTTAGTCATGCGTTTGTGGTTTGTCAGCGTTTCTTTTACCCACAAAAAAAAACAATCAAAACACGGCTAAACAAGCAGTGATGGCATGAATATTGAATCTGGGAATTATACAAAATGTGTAATCCAGTGAATACTTGCTACTTCCAAATAATATGAATCAATGAAAAAGTGTTTGAAAACCCTTGCGGTGGAAAAAATCTGGAAAACAAACCAATTTTTAATGCTATCCTTCTCATGTATTCCCTCACACCGGGAGCAGGAGCCAATGCCAAGCTGCGCTACCAGATAACGTCCGGGAACAAAGGTGGCGTTTTTGACATGGAGCCAGAAGTGGGCACCATCTTTATCGCGCAGCCCCTGGACTACGAGCAGCAGAAGAGGTACAAGCTGCTGGTGCTGGCCTCCGACGGCAAGTGGGAGGACTACGCGGCCGTGGTGGTGACCGTGGTTAATAAGAACGACGAGGCGCCCGTGTTCTCGATGAATGAGTACTACGGCTCAGTCACGGAGCAGCTCGACGGGTCACCGGTGTTTGTGCTGCAGGTGAGAAGGCTAAGATGATGCCATTTCCTCCTGCTGCTTCTCACTAATGACAGTAATCCATAGTCGAGCCATTACCCCGCTGACTTCTGCTGCTAAAATATCTGGGGCTGAGTAAAATTAACCTTTAAAAAGCTGTCTTATCCCACTTTCAAACCCGCAAAGAACTATGCAATAACATCGATAGTTAATGCTTTGCACATGCATGTATTTTAAGCCTCTGTCACAACTTCAGATCAGCTTTTTAAGACATAAAAGGCAAAAATATGGACCACCTTCACTCAAACCAATCAGCTCAAAGCATCAAATAGTGTCTTTTGAGTGTTCTTTCTTATAAGTATGCAAAAGATAACATGGTGCTGATAAGATGAAGGGAGCGTGTTGCGGCCTGGTTTGTTCTCAACATTTTACTTTTACAAGACTTCTATTGGAACAACTGACATGTAGTAGTTTGATACTCCAGCTGTAAAGATGTACTGTCGGTGTGTTTGCCCATACTTGTACTAAGAAGTATTTTATATCTCCATTGTCCCTTGTTAGATGGATAAGCGGTTGGGTTTAGAGTGTAACCTAATGAGTAGATGTAGAAACATGTGATTTTCAGTGCTCTTTTTAGCTCCGTGGCACTAACAATGCAAGCTCATTTAGAAAATATTAAAACACAGTTACATATAAAAAGCCCTGAACTCTATTCTTCTTGTTATGAAAAATAATTGTGTTTTGTTTCCCAACACATTTCCTTCCTGTTATGTGCACACAAACTGGAGATTAGAACTTTAAAAACAAATACCAGAGACTGAGAAGACAAAAAAAATCCTTATACTGTATTTGTTTTATTGGGGAATTTTCCATTTTCTGAAAGTCTTATTGCTTTGCCCTGAATCCCATGGTTTCAGTTTATCCTGCTTGTATTCAATTTCTAAAATTGGGGTAACCTGCTTGTCTCTTTGGAGTTTCATGCCATTTAATAAAACTTTCACGGCAAAGACAATAACACCTCATTGAAGAATAGCCCTAAAACACACATTGTGCCTCTTTAATATTGTCATATTTCACGCTCAATCACAGCCTGAAATATTACAAGATTTACATTTAATGTGTTTACCGAAGACTCAGTGGTGATTTATTTTCTAGGGGGAAATATAGCAGCGAGAACGTCAACGCTGCTCCAGGCCAGATGCAGGAAACCATTCTGATTAAAGCTCAGCGCTTTAATTTAGGCGGTCAAGAAATAGAGCAAACACTTAAATAGGGCTGTCGAAAAAATACAGAAGCAAAGAAAACCCAGGTGACAGCTGAAAAGAGATACCGGGGAAATTGTAATTTGCTTTTTGAATGTGTGAATGAATATCCATTTTCTTAAGACGTGCGATTATCTGCGCAGGTGACGGCAACTGACCCAGACAAAGACGCCGATCAGGGGGCCATCCGCTACTCGATCCACGGCCAAGGGGCTGAGTCACACTTCATGATCAATGACCTGACGGGGGAGATGTACGCCCAACGCACCATGGACAGGGAGGAGCGTGCTGTGTGGCGCTTCGTAGTCATGGCGACTGATGAAGAAGGCGAGGGTCTTACGGGCTTCACTGATGTTATAATCAATGTGTGGGACATCAATGACAACGTTCCCGCCTTCTCCTGCGCGCCTGATAATTGTCACGCTAGCCTACCGGAGAATTCCCCTCCCGGAACATTTGTTGTGGAAATGACAGCTGTGGATCTTGACGATGCAGCTGTTGGGCAAAATGCCATCTTGACGTACAGGATTACTGACAATGCTTATAATGCAAAGGGCGTACAACTGTTTTCCATGGATTCTAGCACCGGGACGATATCGGTTTCGGCTGAAGGCTTGGACAGAGAGACTGTTGAAAGCCACCTCTTGGTCGTGGAGGCCAGAGACGGTGGAGGTTTGTCGGGCACAACCACTGTTACTATATCGGTCTCGGATATCAACGATCACGCGCCAAGATTTAAAGAGGACTGGTGCGGTGCCCGGATACCAGAGAGCGCCAGTGTTGATGCTTCAATCCTGGACTTGAACGCTCTGGACCCTGACGCAGGCACTTATGGGCAGGTTGCTTTTAGCATTGTGGCTGGAGACCCGGAGCAAAAGTTCTACATGGTTAGCCACAGATTGGAGAAGACAGGCACGCTTAGGTTGAAGAAGAGTGTTGACTTCGAGAAGGCGGGAGATCAGAGGTTCAATCTGTCTATCAAGGTGGAGGATTCGGACTTTTCCAGCTTCATTCACTGCGTGGTTCTAGTGGAGGATGAAAACGATAATGCTCCGGTTTTCGACCCCGTCTCTCACCTGCTCTCACCGATACGAGAGGATGTAGCTATTGGCACTAGCGTTATTCAAGTTGCAGCCTCCGACTTGGACTCAGGCCTGAACGGAGACATTTATTACAGTATTCTCCACAGGTCCGACCCATATGGGCATTTCTCAGTCAACCGAGCTGGTGTGGTCACAGTGACTAGGCCGCTGGATAGGGAGGAGGCGGCTGGATACGATCTGGTTGTAATGGCGATAGATCGGGGAACCCCAGACTTGACTGGCAGCGCCACGGTCCACTTGCAGCTGCTGGACATGAATGACAACGGGCCAGAGATGGAGACAGACTACGCACCCGTGTTGTGGGAGAACAGCCCTGCTCCTCAAGTGGTCTGGCTCAACAGCAGCACCAATCTGCTCTACGTGATGGACCGGGATTCGGCGGAGCATGGGCCTCCTTTCTCAATCACCTTACCCCCGCATTACTCCAGCGACTTCAACCTCCAGGATCACGGCAACGGCTCTGCCACGCTCACCGCCCTGCGCAGATTCGACAGGGAAAGGCAGAGGGAGTTTCATTTGCCTGTCATTATGATTGACAGCGGCCGTCCTCCAATGACATCCACAAGCACCCTCACCATCACCATAGGAGACCAGAATGATAACGCGCATCAAGCCGGGGAGAAAGATGTTTATGTGCACTGCCGCAAGGGTGAGTTGTGGCTTTCTTTCATTTCATTTGATTTTCCTTTCTTCCAACAACCAATCTGCATGCAAAGTTTCAATATAGGGAAGGAAAAAGAAGAAAAAAACGACAGTAGCAAGTTTCTCTGTCTCATACCTATGCAGTGTTGACTGAAATTCATAATTGCGCTCTTCCTTGTAGATTCTCTGAATGTTTTGTTATGGTAATATCATTGTCAAATCCTCTCTCAAGCCTGCAGCGCTCTCCCCTTGCCAGTATTACGTGCCTAAAGCTCATTTGAACATCCTATTATGATAAGGATCACAAGCCTTTTTTTATTTTCCCCTCCCTTCAAGCAAGTTAGTTAGACATGTTGACTTGTTAGTGTTTTTATTGCACACAGCTACATGCCAGTTTTGGTAATTGTGGGAAACAGGCTCTCAGTGATTCATAGAGGCTAGCATTGTTTACCCAGCTGCAATACTCTGGCACTGCAGGTCGATAATAACATAATCCATACTGAGATAGCCGTGCTTCCTTAAGCTCCCCGCGCTCTCAAGTGGAGCACAGAGAGTCTATTCATTCCAGCAGTGTGGCTCTACAGTTATGAGCATAATAAGTAGAACAGAACACAAGAATGCAAGATAAGGAGAAGAGAGGGACCAAAAGGAGATAACTGTGGGCATCAGCACATTCTGTCCAGACGTAATCAATGTGTGTGTGTGTGTTTACCTTAAACAGGGAACATGGCGAATGCAGCGCTAGGCAAGGTATATGCCCCAGATCCGGATGACTGGGACAACAAGACCTATACACTGGAGGCAAGCGCGGCCAAGTAAGAGCTTCTTTGTTAAATACATATCTTTTTCGTCCTGCAAACACGCTGATCTCCAAATATGCCGCCCAAATACAAACGCCAAAGAACTACGGCGGTGGGAGGATTGCTTGTACGTTCAAACAGGGGGGATAAAGTTAATGCGAACTCAGCATTCGGGCTGCAGCTCTGTTACAAGGCCCCATGCAGGGCTGATAACACGTTTTCACACCCACGTTACAAACAGGTATTCTCCATGTTCACTCGAGATTAAATTTGCACAGTCACCCATCAGTTCTCTCGCATTCTGGGTTTTAATTACCGTGACTTCTATTATGAAAAGTCCAGGTCAATGTCAAATTTAATAAGTATTGTGACCCAATTTGTATGATGTTTTATTTATTTATTTTTCAATTAAAAGCTTCTACTTCTACTCTTACCTTGTGCAGCTGTTCACTATTAAAAACCCACTGGAAAGGCTTTTGGAAAGGCCAATAGAATACTTGTTTTATCCATCAAATGCATTCATACAGTTACTATAGCAACGATCAAGTTTATGCAGAAGAAATTTCCTTTGAATTATTTTGATGAACTTATATTATTTCTATTCTGGTTTAAGTACATGCCGTCCTCCAACTGTGATTCATCTCCTCCCCATTTCTCTGTCTTGGATATTTGGAGCCAATTCTCCTGTTCTCAGCTGGCATTGCAGCCATCCACTTGTACTTATCACTTCTCTTTCCAGGTACTTCAGTCTGAACCAGAGCAGTGGAGAGCTGACCCTGCGACAGAGCACTCCCGTGGGCAGCTACTGGCTCAAAGTGGGGGTGTCTGATAGGGTATGGCCTGATGTGATGTCTGGGGTCAGGGTACACATCAGGGAGCTGGAGGAAAAGGCTATCCAGTCGTCTGCCTCACTGCAACTGTCAGGTAATCTCAGACATAGCCTGGGGCATTCTGCCAGTGCCATAAACGCAAGAGTGGAACTTCAGTATGCAGAATATTATATGTATCAATGGAAATCCAAATTAAAAAAAGACTGATTACTGTAGTCACCTTGTGAGAGTTTGTTTTTGTGTTTACTGTGCTATGACAGCCTTGCATGATTCCATGGTAATTGAAAGTTAAAGCCGCATTTTGAAATATTCTCCAAGGAGAAAGATACATTCTGTTCCATTTGGCGGCAAATTGTCACCAAAGGAATGACATTTCCATGGAAACAAGCAGAAGAAGGCCCTCCTCCTGACAACCAAGTCACTTTTTCTTTTGGAGATCCTAAATATATTTTATATTTATAGCAAATAGTTCACTATTTGATATATGTTCTGCTTTGCACAATAATTTGGGAGCTAGGTAAATGAAAAGGAGGCATGGTAGCAAGTTAGTGATCTTGTTTCCATGTTTGCCATAGCACAAAGTAAACCGTGTTCTTTATGCAGTAATGTAATTTTCTTTGCATCAAATATATTCCCCCAACCCCTGTTTGCAGTGTCCATCATTGAGAGCACACTAAGCATTTAACTGGCAAAAGCAAGTGACATTTTGACCGCTTCGTTTAAACCATGTAATGGTTGTTTTTACAAAGTAATGGGATTTTCCTTTTCAGTTACTTGACACAAAAGCCTCCTTCGTTCTTTGTTGTCACTGTTGTTGTTAAATTCCTTTATGAAGCTCATGCTGAAAAAGCCAGCCTCTGCCACAGGCATGGATAAATTTGTACTTTCTATTAAATGATTATCATCTTGTCAATCTTGTTAACAGTCAAATAACAGGCTGTCAGAAAGACTCTATTCTTCTTACGTTATTTAACATTACTCAGCATTGTTAAACAAGAAATCTCTCTGTTGGCTGGTAATAGTTTCCTCATTCTTTCTATTCCCCCACACTCTGAAGTTTATGTTCAGAGTGTTCATTTTTCTGTCAGTCTCACTGAGCAAATTGGAGTTATAAAGGTCAATTTGGAAGTGTCAGGTAAAGTCCTTGACATTTAAAAGCCATTTTGCGATCAGAGTCGAAGGCTATTACGAATGCCTCTGTCTCAAAGTCATTACCATTTTTTGAGATTAAGGGTGACTTCTGGATACATTCTGCTGTGTGCAGTATTGGCAGGTGGTTACATACATTACAATATCAGATTTTTCAAACAGCAACAGATACTCTATTTTCAGAGAAGAGATAAAATCTCTTGACGTCACTGATGCTTATTCTAACCGGTCCTTTGATGAAGATGTGGATCGATATCGAGAGATGTTAGGTTCCCTCCGGTGTTAATGGAATGAAACTGACTTTTCTGATGTTGAGCACACAGCAGTTGTCATTGATAAGTCAGGCGTTCTTACTGCATGTTCCCTTTCTGCCTTTGTCTCCTGAAGGCATTACAGCAAGAGATTTTATCGACTCCCATGTCGAAGGGAAGAGCAGGCTGGAAATGCTCTGGGACTTCCTGTCTGAAGCACTGTCCGTCAGAGCAGCAAGCGTCAACATTTACAGCATCGTGGACAGAGGGGAGAAAGTGGTGGACATTCACTTCTATGTGCTGAATGACCAGAGCTACATCCGCCCAGAGAAACTGCATGCTGTTCTGGCTGCAAATAAAAAAAAGGTACATATCCCAAACTCATCCTGTCTGGGAGATTGAGATCAATGCTCATATATCAAGTGATACGCTCAGGAGAGGAGAAGCGATAACAGGGTGTCTCGGCTGCCCTTTTGCCCGTGTGAACTGCCCTGTCATGTTTTCTTGTCTGTTCCATTCATTTCGACATGTCATGCTTAACAACCGGCTGCTATGATTCTCAAACATGTCACAAGAAAAAATAAAGAAAGAGAATAGTTTTATTTAATTTTTTCAGATGTAATTTTAACTCACATGTTAAATAATTAAACATACTCATTTTTTTTTCTAGTATTATGTAGATTTTCAGAAGAAATTGAACACATTAAATTTCATGAAAAAAAAGGAAAAGGATAGCAACCCAAAAAATAGCTTTCCTCCAGGTGCTGCAGTTTCCCCTTTCCTAAAAAAACATTTACAACAGGCTCTTTCACACCGGGGTGAGGACTCCCTTGGAAGATTGGTTCTGAAATTTCAGCAGGACGATCCTGGTTAAAACTTTTTTCCCCATAAATAATGAATAATGCATTGGTTTTATATAGCACTTTTTTGGACACTCAAAGACGCTTTGCATGCCATTATTCATTCACTCCACACAGTGGTGATAAACTACTACTGTAGCCCCAGCTGCCCTTGGGCACACTGACAGAAGTGGGGCAACCAGCATTTGCCCCACTGGTCCCCCATCACAGTGACCTGACCTGCTTAGATTAAGAGGTCTGACAGGATCTGGCTTTCACATGCAGGTGACGCCACAATAAATGAACTCGTCTTGTAAATATGTGATGTAAGGAACATATCAGACCTCAACGGACCGTTGAAAATATGTAATCTATTGCATGCTGTGAGTCACACAGTATCTGCAGTTTGGAAGTTAGGTACCCCAGCTTTAAATAGATGTTGCCAAATTTGTCAAAAAGTGAATTATGTATGGGTCGTTCTTGTCAGCTAAGGCAGTGTTCTCCAACCTTTTCAAACCATGGTACACATGTTTCATTGATAACAATAACATGGAACACCAACAGCTCAGATGCATTTAAAAATCTCTTTTGTTGAACCGTTTATGAACAATGCAAAATCCTTCTCATGAATGTATTACAGTATATAGAAAATCAAACACATGCAAAAAAGTGTTTCTATTTTCTCACATTATTTTAACCATTAAAAGTGATATTAGATGTTCTCACGACACACCAAACAACATCTCAAGGCCCCACCAACGTTGAAAAACACCACGCCCAGGCACCCACATCACCAGCCCCATAACCTCCTCTCTCTGCTCTCTTCTCGCTCTCGACAGCTGCAGTCTCTCCTCCGCGTGGGTCTGAAGCAAGTACAGGTGGACGAGTGCCTTCACGCCAACTGCAGATCCTCCGGCGGCTGCTCCACCGTCCTCGCCGTCCACAACTCCCCCACCACGGTCGACTCGGGCGCTCTCTCCCTGGTCTCCGTCACCGTGTCCACCTCAGCCGTGTGTGGTTGTACGGCCAGGGACACCAACCACCGAGCCTGCTCCTCCTACCCCACCAACCCCTGCCTCAACGGTGGAACCTGCGTCAACACCCAAAATGGATACAGGTGAAAAATGCGAGAATACGGCCGGACCCTATTTCTCATGCGGTGCTCGTCGTTTGAGGTCTTGTTAGAAGCTCTCCCTCACCTGTAATTTGACCTAACTTTCTGGAGCTGCAATGTGTTGACGTCAGCTGAATATAGAGAGGCGGTGTTTCCTGAAAGGGCCAGTTTTGCTGCAGTGAAATTAATGTTTGACAAAGAATACATTTACATACACTTTCACAAAACAGGTGTCACAAGCGTTGCAGAGTTATATTGAAAGCCACAAAGCAGACTTTTACCGTGTGTGGTGTTTTTAGATTTTCAATATTTCTTTTCATTTGAATTTCTGGTATGAATATTAACCCTTAAATTGTTTACTTTTTTCTGAGATGTACTGTAGGAGCACTAATAACAAAAATAAGGCTTTTTTATAATATTTTTTTTTGCTTTACCCATAGTTTTTTTTATTGATAGTCCTTTGCTAAATGGTTGAGATGCAGTTTGATCGAAATAGTGCCTAAAACCAAGTGATTGAGATTCCCCAATGAGGTAAATTTCAGTTCCCAAGCTTAGTAGATATATTGGCTCATCAGTGATCCACCGTATTGTTGAGAAAACCATTAAGGCAAGGCAAGGCAAGGCAAGTTTATTTATATAGCACAATTCATACACAAGGCAATTCAAAGTGCTGAACAAAACAAGAAAGCATTAAAATCATAAATAATCACAGAACATTAAAAAATATAAAATCCCTCAGTTGTAGCACAGCTGAACAGAACTGTCTTTAACCTGGTTTTAAACACTGTCAGAGAGGAGGCCTGTCTCACATCTTCAGGAAGATTGTTCCAGATTTTAGCAGCATGAATCTGAAAAGCAGCCTCCCCATGTTTAGTTCTGACTCTGGGCACTAACAGGAGTCCAGTCCCTGTGCTCCTCAGAGCCCGGGCCGGTTCATATGGGACTAACATGTCACTAATATATTTTGGTGCGAGGCCATGGAGAGACTTGTAACAAGCAGAGCTGTTTTAAAGTCTATTCTCTGAGTCACAGGAGAACTGGACTTATATGGTCGTACTTCCTGGTTCTAGTCAGGACTCGAGCTGCTGCATTTTGAATTAAAGGGTTAACCAAGGCCAGTGTTTGCCTGTACAGGGTGCAACTTTGGGATAGTATCTTTCTGATAGTCGCACTGGTTGATGTATGATAATGAAAGCTGTCATTATGTCCTTGGAGAAGGCAGTGATTTTGGCCTTGTGCTGGAGATTATTCATGTTCTTGTTATTTTGTTGTCATTTTAGTACATTCTGTCTCATTCTTTATTCTTAAAGGACACTTGCATTACTGTATGCATAAGTTGCTTGAGATTGAATCATGTTACAAAATCTTTCCCTCAACAAATGCATCCCAGCAGTTGTTTTTTAGCTTCATCTACACTGATAGAGATTTCCATCACAAACCCATTCCCTGTAAAAAGCCTTTAAAGTTATTCATAAACTATTTCTTCTATTATGATAATTCTTCTTTCATTTCTCTACCCAATATCTCTCAAAACATCTGGAATCCGGAATTGTTTGAAGCCCGACATCAAATACATTCAACTTTGCAAAACTTTAAGTCTCGCTCAAGAACCGTGTTTATATTGTATCTCACACTTTGACGACTGCCATAAATATTCACGATATCTACAATCAATTCCACAACTTAATCTCCAAATGTCCCGCCCTTTGTGGCCTTCTATCACAGAAGAAACAGCATGGCACTCATTTTAAGCGCACACTAATGCCCAGATTAAATAAATATAGGGCAACGGGATTAGCACAACTCGGGCCCCCCTCTATGTTCACATCTTCCCCAAATCTCATTTAATGCCGTTTACATGAACATGCAACTTGGTCAAAGGCGTTCTGTCCGAAGAAGCCAAAGCTAGAGAAATACGCTTTTTTTCCCCCCTGTCGTCTCTTTCTTCCGACTTTCATCTTTTAAATTGTCTCTGCAGAAGTGGATGTTTCTGAGAGATCCTTGTTGTATAAGAAGACTGTCTTTTCTTTTTCTATACTATTCTATGGGGCTACACTTTCTTTTGCATTACAATCAGAAGGAATCCTATATTTTGGCTGTAGCCTTTGTGGAGTTAGCTTTCTGCGGCTGATCAGATATTGTCAGTCAGTGTGGCGGATACATAAGGCTTTTGCTCCTTTATTTGCCTGCACTCTCAAGAGCCACATGAAAGGGGGGCCAGGCAGACACAGAGGTGGTGTGCTTAACTGTGCGTGTGTATGTATGCACACTGGGCTAGTCTCTGCCTATAAGCCCCCTTTTGCCTTGTATAGATCAGTATTCTTGACATGAGTTGGCCCTCTGCAGAATAAACAGCAAAGGGGAGAAACAGCCCCTAACAGCCTGGGTACACACAGCCTTCTTCAGCACTGCATGAAAATAGATGGCTTTGACATTATCAGCGGAGCCAGCTTGTCACACATGCCTGCAGTGGAGGGGATAGGATGAGATCAACCACTATTTTCCATACCGACCATAGCAGTGATTGAACGTGTACCCTCTCATCACCAAACACATCTCTTCCGTTATGACAATTCCCTTTTTTGGGATCCCGTTATTATTAATATTTACCATGGCGGGGCGCATCCACAAACACGCCACAGCGATGCACCGAAAACATTCATTTCCCACTAATGTTTCTGCAAGAGCGGCGATGCCTAACAATCAGAGTCTAATCAAAGCAGATAAGTACAAGAAAAGGCAATTGCACAGATGTCAACCAGACTACCTCCAGAATGAGAATGGGCCGAGCTGTGTGCAGGAGCTGTGAAAAAGCAAAGTCCAGTAAATCAGTGCTGGTACGGCGCATAGAAAAGTGAAAGAAATAGAATTAATTATCTCTTAACAAAGGATGTGATGTGCTGAGCAGAAAGAGTCTCCTGAGGTTTAGGTAAAGGCAGCGGCGATAGATTAAGAATGATATAGAGAAGTGCTGCGCTCATAACTAATTGATTTGAGGTACAATTGAATGCTCAAGGATTTATGGTTCACGTAAGCAATCGATGGATAAAAATGCCTTGTTGGCGGTCTCACTGCGGCCAGTTGAGAGAGGCAAAGAGTGTGTGACGTTTAAATCAACATCCATGGTCAAAGCACTTAATTTTTTGGAATTAGAAGTTGGAGTGATTATGTGCACGCATATTATCTGTAAAAACTTTTTTCATTGATTATCAACAATTGTAAATATTAATGTATTAGACGTATTCTTATATTGATCCTTGAATATACTTGTTTTTCCTTAACCAGAGTATTAATGTGTTAACTATTTATGAATTATGTTTTTTGTTTTTCTTCCGTGAAAGTAACATGTCTGAAAGGCCTGTGAATTGTGTTTAGTTAAAGGGGGAGGGATTCAAAGAATAGATTGTAAATATTAACAAATGTAGCCACGCCTATCTCCGCTGTTGAAACTTCTTTCAAAATGGCCGCGGGGCAGGAAAATGGCTGATCTAGGCTGGTCCAAAAAATCCCCTCAGCATCTGGGCCAAGAGCCGACTTTTGGACCATCCTGTAAAGCCGTTTTCGAATGGAAAGAAGCATTGGGTAATTCTCTTTCCGGGAACACCCCCACCTGCTAGGAGTGAGGAGCATAATCAGTGCACGTGCTCATGGACCTTTTTGAGCCGGAACTCTCCCCCACTGGTTCAAACCACTAAAATGTATGTTTCTGTTATGTCACTGCAAAAGGTGTGATTTTTTTATATGCACATATTATTAGTATTTGTGTTATCTTTCCCCACAACATTCATACAGTTTGACCTGTGTTGTGCAACATATTTTGACAGTTAATAGTAATTATGAAAATGATGCGGATGCTGCTTTTGGAAAGTAGTTAGTAGTAAGTAATCTTTATTTATATACCGCCTTTTCACTGCACATCGGAGTCTCAAAGCGGTTTACAATTGTTATTTTTGGGAGTGGGGATGCCAGTACAGGAGGCACATGCCAGACCTATTGTACTGTACATATTTTTAGTGGTAGGGGAAACCGGAGCACCCGGAGGAAACCTACGCAGACCGGGATTCGAACCCAGGACCTTCTTGCTGAGAGGCGAGAGTGCTATCCACTCAGCCACCACCAGAGAGAGAAAACAATGCTTCTGCCGACAACAAGACGAAATTTACTTGTTCCATCGACAAATCTTTCAAAATATGTTCAAAACAAGAGACATTTTCTCATATTCAAATGATTTTTTCCTGACATTTCGTTCTTAAGTTTACGTCTGCAAAAAGTGCTGGTGCAACCCTAATATACAGCACCTTTGTGATTTTTCTTCTCTAAAATAATACGACTAATGGATAATGATAATAAGATGTGGAGCTCAGAGATATTATCCATAAAGTAGATCATCACATTTGCAGTCATTTAGAGTGAGTTCATACTTGCTCCAATTGATTCCAACTGCGGTGCACTTTGGGCTAATTCGTCTCTTTGTGGAGATGTAATTGCCGCCAGTTCACTTCATTTGAACTTGATCAGCGATGTCGTCATGGGGACCGGTGCGAGAGAAACGGAGTCCTCCAGAACGCCAAGTGCGAACACGCCCTTAATCAAATTCGCCACCCGGCTCAACGGTGTGCTTTAAATGCGTTCCGTTACGTGCCCAGGGTGAATTCCCCAAGCATTTTGTTGCATTATGGTGATTTTGCATTACAATTTATCAACATTAAAATTCAGTTTCTCATTAAATTAGATTATGATATTTACATACATTAGCAGTCACCATGGTTTCATCTCTATTAAAATAAATAATTGCATGAGTGGATTCCCGAGCACTCTTCTAATACTTACATTTTGTGTGCACTCGTTCTGTGGTAATGACACTTTTTAATCAATAGTCAATTTATTTAAGTGCACGCAAAGGTACTGGAAAACCTTGGCGTTCCGTTTGGTATGCTGGCCGTAGGGCACTTAAATTATGTGCTTGAAGTTTGATGTTAAAACTACACATTCATTAATAAAAAAGTCTAGTTCAGTAGATTATTGAGCTCCTTGTAGAATACTTTTGTAGACTTTTCTATCCATCCATCCATCCATTTTCTTCCCCTTAATCCATTTCTGGGTCGGGGGGTGGCAGTCAGAGCTTTAGCACCAGCCCCTCACTGATCTTCCTGCAGGTACTGAGTCCACAGGAGCCTTGATTATTCAGTTGGGGCTTCAGGCAAAGTGGGGTTAAGTGTCTTGCCCAAGGACACAATCAGTGGGAGTCGTGAAGTAGGTCTCGTGGTGGGCTCGAACCCTCGATCTTCAGGCTCTAAGGCCAATGCTCTACAAACTGAACCACTGTCGCCACAAGACAAGACTAGACTTTTCTAGTATGGTTCAAAATTATGAAAATATAATCCAATGTATTACACCAAATATTATCCATCCATCCATTTTCTTCCACTTTATCTGTTGCCGGGTCACAGGGGCAGCAGTATAAGCAGATGCCCAGACATCCCACACACACACACTTCCTCCAGCTAATCTGGGGGAATCCTGAGGCGTTCCGAACTTAGCTGAGCCTCTAACGCAGGGGTCTCCAACCTGTTTCAATTGGAGAGCTACATTTATAGAACAGAGGAGGCAGAGAGCTACTTGTTTTTGTAGTGATTAAAAAAATCCATGTAATAATTATGACCAAACTTGGAGAACACATATATATATATATATATATATATATATATATATAGATATACTGTGTAATCCTATATTTATATGTATTATAGATATGTATTGACTCAAAATGTATTCATTCAAGATCATGTTTGGGAGCTACCTGAAAGGGGCTGGTGAGCTACTGATAGCTCCCGAACTACAGATTGGAGAAGACCTAGGACAGGTTTCAGCGTGTCCTGGGTCTTCTCTTGGTCTCCTCCCAGTGGAGATGAAAATACAAATAGTGCAAATGATGAACTTAATGGGGTGATGATTTATCAGCAGATACTTGCAATATTTTTGTGGCAGCGCTTCAATTCTGATACTGGAATGTTTTTGTCGGTTAGTTAGCGACATAACTCAAAAAACGCAAGGCTGAATGTAATGGCATTTTCAGTAAATCTCTGAAAAGAGAATTTGGAGGTGATCTTGATCTTGGTCTGGATCCAGAATGTATTTAAGGAATTTAACGGTTGCTCTTGGCGGACGTCCGAGTTCTACGAGTGCTTGTCTGTTATGCTTCAAGCAAGCACCAGTTAGACCCGGCCCTTCTCACCCATCTGCTTCCTGATTGGACTGAATTAAAATCTTTGAAGCCCTTTGCCATTGGTAAAACTATTCTCTTTATTCTATTATTGGTGGAAGTTATGCCAAGGAGATCGACCTTATTAAACAGATACATTCTTTAAAACTAAAATACAATTTACGTTATTATCACCGTTAATGTAATGTATTTGACGATTTTGGACATTCAAATCAGAATGCACACATGTATTCTTGCGTATTTCTGATATTCTCAAACCATGAATTATGTTTTTGCTTTTTGTATCAAATCCCAACCACCATTTTTAACCGCTACCCTGACTTTTAAGCACATTTTCACGTCTTCAAACTGCCTTTAAATAGTTGCTTAAGATCGTGTATTTTGATTGAGTGAAAATGTTTTATTCAACTCTCAGAACCAGCCAAAGTTGTGTACTTGTGTGCAACCAGCTCCACACTTGTCAGGGAAGAGTCCTTGTCCGGAGATTGGACAGTGGAGACATTTTTGGCGCTGAAACAAAAAACAGAGCTGACACATTCTTTCACTTAAGCCTCTTTTTTTATCTTTCTTTTCCTCTGTCTTCCTCTGCCCACAGGTGCCACTGCCCCCCGCTGCTGGAGGGGCCTGACTGTCAGCAGACGAGACTTAGTTTCCTTGGCAACGGCTATGCCTGGTTTCCCCCTATAAGGCCGTGCTTTGATAGTCATCTTTCAGTGGAGTTTATGACAGAAGAGGATGACGGTCTGCTGCTGTACACGGGCCCGCTGGCCACGCTGCTGCCGGGAGATGGCGAGGACTACATGGCCATAGGTAACGCCACCACAGGTTAATTAGACATGCTTCTCCGACCTGAGAAAATTAATGTCATAAGATTAATTAGTTTTAAGTAGATAATTCGGCTGTGGGATGTATAGTAATCAAATCAATGTTGTAATTTAAGCATTTGTACAATTAGCAAATCACATGGATTGCACTTAATTTCATATAAGGGGTGTTATTATTAATTATTGGTTTCATTGTGTAAAAATGTGCTGGTTTGTAGTTTAAACCTCTAGAAACACTAAAACACTAAAAACATGTACTATAAGCCCCCATAATTATTAATGACGTCTACTGTCAGTATACTTTCTAGTTCTGTTGGGTTTGGGTGGAGATTGGAGCATTTGGCCCGGTTTTATTTATCAAAGTGTGATGCAATGGTGTCTAAACAGCCTCACAAAGGCACCTGCTGTGGAAGATTACAATTGTTCAGTTATTTGTAAGTAAGTAAGTACGTTTTTATTTATATACCGCCTTTTCACTGCAGATCTGAGTCTCAAAGCGGTTTACAATTGTTAATTTTGGGCATTTGTCTCTCACTCCACACAGAGATGGGAGCGGGGTCACCAGTACAGGAGGCACATGCCAGAACTATTGGACATATTTTTAGTGGTAGGGGAAACCGGAGTACCCGGAGGAAACCTACGCAGACACGGGGAGAACATGCAAACTCCACTCAGAAAGGCCCTGGTCCGACCGGGATTCGAACCCAGAACCTTCTTGCTGAGAGGCGAGAGTGCTATCCACTCAGCCACCGTGCCGCAAAATACGTGCCGTATTTTGGATCAATAACATGAGAAATGTAAAACACAGAGGGTCTTTGTTCTTCATGCAGACACACACTAAGACACTTGCCTCAAATCATTATAAAAAATGTAACAATTCCAGGTCCTCCCCAGAGAAGGTCAAGGATGACGGAGTGGACAAAGTCAGGCTGTCAAAAAAATGAAAAAAAAATGCTAAATTTCCAGTTTTATTAATACTTTTATGGATCACATCTGTGAGATTTCACACAAAAAAACTAGAAATGGTTAACATAAATGACATGCCATCATGTACCCTGTTTTAATTCAAAGGGTTTTTTTTTTTGCAATCTTTGAAGTCTTGTGTCCAGGGATACAAAGTTTGCTCCGAATTAGCTGGTTGTAGTTTGGCAATCGCGGCAAATGAGACAGTAAAGTAATTTGTTCTGGTTCGGCTTCAAAATATCAAGACATTTAAACCGGAGCAAGAGGAATATTTAGAAAATGTCACTGCTGGCAAATATGTTTGTGGCTTAACTCCCCACTGGCTCCGTTAGTGGCAAAGGACATGGCTAAAGCTAGGCTAAATGCTAAATGCCTCACTCACTCGTGAACAGCACATACGTCACGGCAAACTCAGATCCAATCGTTTCAATCTGCAAAAGGAGTTAACCCCTCCCACCTGTTAACAGAGATCAATAAAGCAAATCCAGACCTTAGTACGAAATTAGTACGATGGTGTGGTAAGACCAGGCTTGTTTCACCAGCAGGTCTTATTCTTTAATCCAGTCAAAATAAATGCGCTCTCAGTTTAAGCACTTGTGTTATCATTTTCTGCAGAGAACTCTTATGTTAGTGTTGTGCTTCTTCAATCAAGTACGAGTTCCCCAGGATAAATATACAAAACTAATATTCCTAACAAGATAAACCTCTAACTGCAAATCACACTATAATGAAACTCACATAAAAACTCTGCTTTCTTATATGTGTTGAAGTAATAGCACAAATTTGAATGGCCTCCAATGAGCAGCTCCATTACACTACGACAAGCTAGCACAGCGATGCATAATTCATATTTTTATTCCCCTGTTCACTTAGTTTGGCTGCTATTATATTTTCCCATTGTTACCAAGAGTTGTCTGGAACCAGTCTCTTTTTTTTCATACTGAATCAGATCACAGTGACACAGATTAGACTCTGAATGCTAATGAGTTGACATAAAACCAATTAATTATTACTTGCCGTACCATGAACTATACGAATCAAATGCATTATAGTGACATTGATTAATATTTGCAGCTCACGGGGCCTAGTTTGAGTCTCTCCCTGCACATCTGTACCTTCGGCGGGGCACTGTCTACCGCTGACAAAGGCCAGTTAGACAGTGTGCAGGAGCAACCATTAACTCTCATCCTTATTCTCTAGGGGCAATTGTGCTCCCGCAATCTAGCAGAACAATCGAAACCTACAATCTCTTGCCAGACCGCTCATAGAAAATGCACCCACTCCTTTTAAAAATATGCATTTGATTAGTGGAGTGGACAATTGAGGAAAGCCTTGATTGAATGCACGGGGCACTCAAACAGACTTAAATATTCGCAAAGAAACAGAAACGGTAGCATGGTTCTTTCTCCGTCACTGCAAACTTACTAAATAATAGCTCCTAGTATTTGTGAGAATCGTCGGTCTTTCCACTTAATACTTATTCTTGTTTTGTCTCCTGCAAGGCCTCGGATTTGTGCGTAGACCAAGAGAACCTGTATTCTCATCGTGGAGGAATGATAGAATTGTAACCGAGGAGTTGTTGTTTATTGTTGTTCATCAGTATTCAGTTGTTCAGTAGTATTTCTGCTTTGCTTCTCCTGGGGTCTAATAAAAGGTGATTTACATTTCAATTTCAAAACAAGTATGTTTCTTAAGTAATCACATCTTACATCATCAAAATATAAAGCAGTTTCTTATAAGTTTTAAGTTTTTATTGATGAAACTCAAAGACAATCCCATTATATTTTGCAGGAGGGTCTAAGGACAGTGATGATCCAGGATATTTAAGGAAGTTTATGGACATATTTTAAGATTTATGGTCATTTGTACTCCGCCACTTACGGACCAGCGGCCTCGACAACTTTGTACAGTCCTCCGAGAATACTGCTGCTGTGATTTAGAGCTGTATAAAAATAAATTGAATTGAACTGAATTCTATGTGTAATACATTCTCAGGTCCATTTTATGGTTATAGCTCTTTTCAAGGATCACATTTGAGATTTACCGATATGTCAATCGGCTATCGGCCCAAACTTGTTCCCATCTCGCCGATAAGCAACCATGGCATGTTATACCTTATTTTAAAGGTGATTTTAACCGGGAAAACAAACCTATTCATTTTTCTCTATTAAAGGATCCCAAAGCGTAATTACTACTACTAATAAAAAATGATATGTACTTCAGTTGACAGTACTCAACCATTTGGTCCTGCAGCAAAAATCAAACTTAAAAGATACCAAACAAGAATATTTAAACTCATATCCAATAAAAGTCCAAATTCATTCATAATTCATAATGTGAAAAAGTCAATACAAAAAAATACCATCGTAAAGCCATTGTGAAATCCCATGTTTATTCGCAGTGTAAAAAATTAGAATAAAATGAAATATAATCAGCCATCAGCGAATCAAATTCACCTCAAGAAAAACACATTATATTTGTCGATATTATGTGTATTTTTACATATTCAACCCATACATTGGTCGATTTTTAGTTTGAATAGAATCCTTAATAACACCTTGACACAACACTTTCATATAAAAGTCTTCAGTAACATGTTCCTTTCACATTTTTGGCCTGTCTTATTTGATGTGGATGTGTTTGTCATGCATGAGTCACCGTTAAAGTTTGATAATGTATTAATTAATTAGTTAAAAAGTTATAGAATCAAATCATATGGTACTGTATGGGTGATGGGTTATGTATAACTGCAGAGCTGTTGTTGGCTGTTTATTCAATCTCTCACATTTGCATTAACATTTAAACTCAGCATAATTTGGCCACCATCGTCCCCCATTTACTTTTTGCAACGCTTATTTATCTTGTTTAAAAATCTATCGCTTGGTTTGCTGCCATAACCGAAATATTAAAGGTGATATTCTCTATGGGGCCCACCTCATTTCCAAATAACAGCGCTCTCATTAGTACTAATTCACAGTCCTTGCAGTAATTTGGATGTTGTTTTTCAGAGCTAATTGCCGGGTCGCCCACCCTGAAAATCAATCACGGCTCTGGAACTCTGGTTCTCCAATTAACAAAAAACGTAGCAGACAGAAAGTGGCACCGCCTTGACGTCCGGAGTAACAGTAAAGTAAGTCATCTATACGCCATACCTACTACTACTACTGGCTGCTCTTTAAAGCTGGGGTACCTAACTTTTACAACGAAATCATCAAGATTAAGAGATCCCTTATTGGTTTTAAAGTGGGGACATTTCAGTGTTGCATCATGAGTTCCAGATCAGTAGGAAAAGGGGAGTACACAACACAAGATTGGTCGGCAGTGTTCATCAGGCTTCATTGTTCATTGTACAGTCTGACAGCAGCAGGGAGGAAAGACCTTAAGACCTCTCCTTCATACAGCGACTTGATTAAAAGGTTGTGAACAATTCAGACCACATGCTGTCTTCCGTATGCGCCAATAACTCCAATGTGTTTGTGTTGTTATTGCATTTCCTGTGTTCTAATTGTTTGATTCTCTAATCTGTTGTTGGCGAATCAACAATTGTGTAAAGTCAAAAACACATCGAATTGGGGGGCGACAGTGGTTCAGTTGGTTGAGCATTGGCCTTTGAGCCTGAAGCCTTTCGAGGCCACCACAAGACCCTCTCCATCGACTCCCTCTGCTGTCTGCTGTCGTTGTGTCCTTGGGCAAGACACTTTACCTCACTTTGCCTTTAAGGAGCACAGAAGAAACAGCACGTGATTTGTGTATATGATTATTCATCCAACCACATTACTCCATTGTGAGATCAATAAAGTATATCTTCTTCTTTAATGTAATTGAATACTGTCTTCATCTTATCAGATTTTTTTTTTTTTTTTTTTGCATCCTTCTAGGAAAGATCCCTGTGAGTCGCTAATTGACACTTTGGGCTGAGAGCTGCTTGAGGGGGTCCTCTTTTTTATATCTAAAGAAAGCCAAAAATATATGAACATTTATTTGAAACTAGTCAGATAGCCTTGATTACATAGCGGAAAATCAGGTACCTCAGCTTTAATTTGACTTTGCCGGAAACACGCACAAACAAATCACCGTTTTCTCTCCTCTTTCAAGGAAGTTCGCTTCACTCTGGATCGATGTTCCAGTGCGATCGTCATGGAGACGGAAGGTGTGGACTCGTGGGCCATGACAGAGGACCGTTCATCGTGCGAAATCCGAGGGGTGACGCCCAACAGAGACAAGTGAGATCGATAATTAAATAACACTTGTCTGAGCACGGCCAAACAATAACAAAGAGTCTGAAACCTAAAGGGAACCAATAAAGCTCAAAAGCCCCGGCAAATAAAGCCAAACCCACCTGCTCGTGTTCACAGTGTGTGGAGGATTTATGGAACCATTAAAATCCTTTGGACAGTTTTTGTAGTTGCTCCGCGTTACAAATATTTAGTTTGTCTTGAGATTTTGCTACAGCCGTGTCCCATACACATATATATTTTTGAATCATTTTTGTCGTAAACAATCTCCCTCTCTGTCAAAAGTTACATATTGTGTCTCATCATCTCTGCATTAAACCACATTGGTTTTTTTCGCACACCAGAAGAGTAAAGCAGCTGCACTTATATCTAGTACGTGCATTAAAAAAAGTGACATTTAATTACTGCTGAGGATGAGTCACAGTCCTAATGCTGTTGTTTTGGTAATAAAAGAGCAGTTTTATTATTCTCTATTGTGCTCAGAACTCAGTGCATTTGTGCAGAGCCAAGTCATAATTACAACAAACAGTTTGGGAAAAGACCCAGAAGCCACTAATTGCTTGTTTAGTCATTACACATATTATAAGGATTTTATTAACTTTATATTTATTTGCAAAACGTTGTCTTGTGATATACTCGAGTCCAAACTACAGACATTTGTGCAAGTCTCACTTAAAAAGAGACATGTCTGTAATTCAATCTTGAGAGACTCGAACAGACAAAACAAGGTTATTATTAGGATTGTATTTTGTTTGGAAAGTAATCTGACACTACATAAACCCCACATATGACTCTGAGGACAATATATTCAATTTTACGTCATTGTTGTTGTACCAAATGTGGTTAGGATTTGGCACTTAGACCCCGGCAGAGCACTACACGATCGCAGAAGGGGAAAGAGATTTTGAGATTAAATTCCTCGGGCCTAGACCCTGGTGGTGGTGTTTTAGGGGAAGGATGAAAGAGTTGGCCCGGAATGAGGCGGAGATGGGGAGGAGGAGGGTTGCGGCATGAACGAAGCTGCTGCTGGGATGGAGCTTCCTCGCTCTACTCTAAATAGATTGGACAATACAAAATAAAATGAGGCTCATCGTCAACTATACTTCAATCATGTGAGACAGCAGTTGAAGTCATTACCAAAAAAGGGCATGTAACAAAAAATTGAGATGGATTTTGTTTAATGACGAAATACTTATTTTCCACCATAATCTGGAAAAAAAAGACAATGTGATTTTCTAGTGTTTTCTAGTGTGTTTTTGTCATTTTGTCTCTGGTATACCTATGATGAAATGACAAGAATCATCATAATCTTTTCTGATCTTTTATTGACTTGAAAACTATTGACTTGAAAGCAGGGAGGACATTGAAATTTGGCCTTCTTTTCAGGTCGTGCCAACAATGTCCAGGAAGTAAAAACAACATCATGAGGTTCTCTCTAAACCGCTGCTGTGGCTTCTTTATAATGAATTGTTGAATCATAGAATTCAAAGAAATACGAAGAATCTTTATATAAGAGTTTCAATGTTTGTTCACTGTTTTCATGTGTCCCTAACCCAATGAATAGCTCCCTCACAGAGTTCGTATTGAGAGAAAAACATCAAATCCCCTGTTGGTTGGTGGCAGCCTTAACTGGATCTCTGCATCAAAAACAGCAAAGATTACAGATAAAATATTGTAAAAGCATTTGAAATTTTAATAATAGCCATATAGCTTTTGTCGTACTTTTCTAAAGCTGGGTTGGGGTCTCTACGTCAAAAGCCCTATAAGATATTGAAGAAAAATATTAACTTTGTTCAACATAATATTGCAAAACTATTTGAAATTAAAATACAGGCCCGAACCCCAAAGCTCTGTGCGAGTTTTACTTATTACCCTTTTAGGGGGTTTGGGGCCTCTGGGTCAAATGATTTAAAATGACTGGAAGGTAAATTATTAACCATTTAATTGATCAAAATGTAAAATTTGGACTTGTTTATTATCCGTTTTTAAACTTGCTTTAGTGCCTTATACTTTTCAATACTTTTAACAACTCTAGAAGCAGAGAGGAAGGACAAAACTGCAAATCAGAATTCAGCAACCATTCTTCTCAGCTCAACATCACCCCTGATTATGTTAAGCTTATAACAGCTGTGTTATGGACGAGGAGTTTAAAGATGCGGGTTAATGAGGAACTTGTGTGTGGAGAAGAATATGAGTAATCTGGTTCCTTGCATCACTGACTTAATTTCAATCTGGAAAATTTCAAGACAAAGATCGCATTAGAATGATATTTATCGGTATGTTTGCGTGACTATATTGTTGCTGCATGATTAGACAATTAGACCAATCTTCCAGTCTGAATTTCCTCTTCAGCTGCATGACGACTTGGATGAGAATATCACAGGATTCACAGTCAGGGCCAACCCAGCAGCAGAGGTCTCATGATCTCAGGAGAATACAGGCGTTTTCACATGTTCTGAAATAAAGATCTATATTAATGTTGTGAAATTGCTCTTACAATTTTTTTTTTTGACAGAAGAAAAATAAAGTTGACATCGGCTCAGTTTGCGCCTTTTCACACACAAAAAGAAGCAGTGTCAGGCTGTTAAAGCAGGGAACGCGGGGGCAGCTGGAGAACAGGGGTGAGCTCGCTTTGCTGATAGCAGCGCTGAGCCTTTGATGCAGTGGGATAAAACATTGCTGCCAATGATATAAATTGAGTGAAGGTATTGGAAAAGACTACTAGTATTTTTAAGAATTAATGGCTCCTAGTTGGGATGTGGTTTCAAGCTGGAAGGCTGGTTGCTATGCTGGTTGCTATGCTCATTGACCCTCGCTAGCGTAGGCTCGAGTACCCTCTGTTGGGTCATACTCAGACACTGTAGTTGCTCTCTGTGTTCAATGATTGTCTGTAACAATCTTCTCACTGTGGGGTACCTCACAAATCAGACCACAACATGCTGTTTCTATGTTTTATTAGAAAACATAAACAAAATGTGCATGCTAAAAAAAGACTGGTGCATTTGCCTACATTCAGATTCAGATGCATTTGATTTGCCATTTGCAGAAAAACCACATTGGAATACATTTGCCAGAAGTGAATAGCACTCTCGCCTCTCAGCAAGAAAGTCCTGGGTTCGAATCCCGGTCGGACCAGGGCCTTTCTGAGTGGAGTTTGCATGTTCTCCCCGTGTCTGCGTAGGTTTCCTCCGGGTACTCCGGTTTCCCCTACCACTAAAAATATGTCCAATAGTTCTGGCATGTGCCTCCTGTACTGGCGACCCTGCTCCCATCTCTGTGTGGAGTGAGAGACAATTGCCCAAAATTAACAATTGTAAACCGCTTTGAGACTCAGATCTGCAGTGAAAAGGCGGTATATAAATAAAGATTACTTACTTACTTACTTACAAAGTACCCAGTGTGCACAAGACAAGTACACAAATAAAACAAGATATATTTTGTTATCGTTATTTATGAGAGAGAGTAGAGTTAAAGTGCCTAAATCGTCTTTATGTTCAGGTAACCCTTTACAATTAATCTGATAGACCTGAAGTTGAATGAAGGACAAATGTTTACTTATTCGTGCCATATAGGGAATTGTGCGTCACAAAAACATCAATTAGGCTCAAGAGATTCTGAGCTTTCTATATTGGAGATGCTGAAGTTGGCTGGATGACCAATGGCTACGTTTAGCTAGCAAGGCAGCTCAAAAACATGACACCGGGGTCCGCCATTGGCCCGCAAGCTGGATATTGGACATGCCTGATTTAGATGCTTAGTTTGTGGTTTTTTATGGTTTGAAAGTCAAGTGCTCCAACAACTAAAATCCACACTAATGTCATTTGAGAATACTTAATTTTGCCTTGTGTCAGAGGGTATTCTCTCCAGCACTACATTCTACTGTACTTAGACTCATAGAATCGCAGTATTTTTCGAACAGAACAGCAATATTATACACGTCACGTTCAATAGTATCTGCACTGGTGTTTACGAGCAGAAGCAGCAGAATCGCTCCTCTAAATCATATCAGAGACTTTTTTGGAAAACTCGGCTGTTCAATTTCTCAGTATACCTGCCTGTCGTATCTGGAGAGGGAAAAACGCTGATAAAATCCAAAGATATAATCCTTAAAATACAAACTAATCTTGCTGCCTCACATAGCTTTCTCGCCTTGCATTTCACCATCACGTACCTCTTGTAAAGGCTTTCGGCATTTACAGTATGCCCATTACTCACATATACAGTATTTAAATGGTTATACAAGTACTACTCCACTTGAGGCTGCAATCACAATGGGTTTTAATTGACCTATGCACAAGCGGAATTACAAAAGAAGAATGCATGCTGTTTACAAAGCAACGCCGACCAGTTTTCCGTCCCCATTGTTGAAGCCAAAAGGCAATGCTGAATTATTTGAAGCTTTCCCGCAATGCAATTTATCCATCACTCATCTATTCTTACTGAAAAACATACAGCACAAGAATTGGATGCCGTAATGGCGTCACAGAGAGGCATAGTTCTGACAGGCTGCCTCGAAAATAAAATGAATGTGTGAATTTTAACCTTGACAGCTTATATGATGCGCATGCCATTCTACTTTTCGCATCCTCCATCTTGTCTCTCCATCACACCTCGTTTTCAAAAGAAGCTTTGGAAAGTTGCCCTTGCTTTGCTTTCTTCTCGCCTTCTTTGTCTGCTCTTGTTGTTTACAGTATGCCGAGAATTTTTTTTGACTTTTTTCCCCAGGTATTTGAATGGAAGTCATGTCCTGCAGCTCGGAGGCGTCAACGAGAACATAACGTATGAATACCCGCAGCTACAGTACAAGCACTTCAGCGGGTGTGTTCGGAACGTGCGCGTGGATAGCCAGGTATTGCAGCTCAATTATCTGCCCATGTCTTGCCGCTGGGTGTATCTCCAACCCCCTGTTGTAGATGAATTACTTAGATATATGGATTTCTTCATTGTGCCCCATGAAATCTTTATCTGTTGGGTAAATGCTCGTACAGGTGACAGGGCGCTTAAAGAGGTCGTCTGCTACATACTGTAGATTGTGTTTATTTTCATATTTTTGATCATGTGACCGTACGGTAACATGTAAAGAAAGTTTTTTTTTTTTGGGATAAGATAAGATAAACCTTTATTCATCCCTCTGTGGGGAAATTCAAAAAAGCAAAAGCAATGTACTGTATTTAATTCAGTCCCTTTCCTTTATATAAGTTATGACCAACGCCAAGAACCAAGATTCCCTGCTTGAGAATAGCTGGACCAATGGCAAACGGCCTTATCTGTTTATCAATTCATTTTGGCCAATTAGGAAGCAGTGGGGGTGAGAATGGGCGGGTCAAACTGGTGCTTGCTGTGGAATTCTCTTCACAATTAAAAAGTAACTGACAATCCCCTTTACTAAAATGTAAATGGACATTGTGCATTATAATTGTTACATTTGTGTTATTCAACAGTAGTTTTTCACTCACAAACTACGGTGTGACTGATTCCTTATTGATTTAATCTGATTTTAGAATCGTATTATAGAGAAAAGGAATAATGTGTGAAACATGTATTTGAGTGTCCAAAACTCAACATGCTGTAAGTTGAATACATATGAATTTATAACAATACGTATTTGATCTTTGAAAGTGCTTTACTGGTTTTGTGTCCTTTTGTAGCCCACACGTGAACAGCATAAAGAGGTCCCATTATCCAGTGTTCCATTCAATAACTTTTAACCACCATCAGATAAGAATGTATTGTGTCATATCAAAAGAAGGAATTGTGTGTCTCAAATCATTTTACTCTCTACTCTCCCACTATGATTGCAAGGACAGACTACCCCATTCTTTCACTCTGCACTTCAGTGAAATGCTGTCCCTTTTATATATTTTTATTTCTATTCCCTCTTCAATCTAGCTCTATGACCTTGGCTCTGCAGCTGAATCTGCCAACACTTTACCAGCCTGCTCTCTTGACGATGACCATTGTAATGACAAGGAGCCTCTTCCCTCGTGTGGCAGCAGGGGCCGCTGTAATGGCGAACGGAGCCCTTTCAGCTGCCTGTGTGAGGCGGGACTCTCCGGAGCGCAGTGCGAAAAAGGTCTGTCAAAAAATATATTTTTCCCTGCTAAACTGCAGTATATTGTTTGATATTAGTATAAGGTTAGCAACCCACAGGTATTGCTTTGCCATTGCAGACCACTTCACATTATATAAAACTTCACATTATATAAAGTATGAACCGAACACCCAGCGCTCCCACTGAGATAACGTTTATTTCCCGTTTGACAGCTGAATTAATTGAACAAGCAATTTCCTCTGTGTCTGTGTGTTTGATGGACAAGCAGCTCCAGAGTTCTCCTTTGATGGACGTAGTCACATTCAGTTCCAGTTTCTGTGGTCGCTCCCAGCCAGACAGACTCATGTCCAGGTGGGGGTCCGGACGCGAGGCTCCTCAGGTGTAATCCTCAGCCTGCTCTCCCAGGAGCAGAACGAATACCTGCGTCTGGAGGTGAGTCATGACGGCCACTCCTTCAGACCCTGACAGCTCTGATTGTTTTGTTTGTGAACCTTAAAATGATGATGAGGGCCCGAACAATGATTGCAGCAAATGCTTGTCAGAGTGAGAGTGAGTAATATCAGGGTTGGAGGCATATGGGAGGATACTGCGGAGGCTGGTGATTGACACATGTAAGTACTTGACAAAGTCTTAGAATATCGCCAAAGAGAGACTGTTATTTAAAACACGGCCCTGCTTTATTTCAACGTTATTTTTGTCTATGGCTCCTCTTGTGATGTTCCAAAGTCAGTACATGCACTACAATCAGAGCGCAGACAATTCTTGGGTGAAGGTCAAATCTCGTGTTGTAATCTTGAGGAGTTGGAGACGGCATGTTTTGAGAGGTGAGCCTAAAGATGTGTGCGCGCTGTGCCACTGTCTGAACCCAGCCCCCCCTCACCGCAGCGCTCTCCAGTTTCCGCCCTTCTCTAAGAGCACTCTTGACTTGTGTGGATTTTGTCTTTCTGACTGACAGACCTAAACAGAAAAGCACCTGGAAGTAAACCTCCTTTTAAATTGTCGTTTTTCGAAATCACCCAGGTCAGCTGTGTGCATTGAACTTGTGTCTCTGTTGTGGCAGATTGTGCAGCGTCTTATATCTGTGAGACGCTTAACTGTTGGCCTTGTTGTCAAGTTCCATATTACATAAGTAAAAAAACAATGCAGTCCTTCTCCTTTCACTCGGAGCAGAGACAGAGAAAGGAAAGGGCCTTAGCTGTGGCAGTAAAGCTATACAGCACAGACCAAACTGGTGATCTGTATAAAAAAGCTGATCCAGTCTGTGGCAGCTCGCTCTGCATTTCAGCCCTGGTTGTCTCAAAGCTCTTAGAAACACTTGAGCGCGAGTCTGTTGTGTTTGCTGACAACAAGCTCTAATTTAAAGGCCTGTCTTTCACCCTTTTTTTTTTTCTTTTTTTTCGAAAGGGCAGATATGGGTTTGAGTGCACACTGAATAAATAACCAGACTTTCACACAAGGGTTATCAAAGGCAATGCGGGCAAAAGCATTATACCACTCTCTCAGGAATATGGTTTCTCTGCAGAGAAAAACACAGTCTTATACTATCCATGATGGACTTCTCTGTTGTGATAAACCCCTCTGCTTTTAAATGGTAAAAACAACACCATCCTATCACATTTATTCCTACAGGCAAAACATTAGAAAGTTTGTTTATTTCTGTGATACAACTTACACTTTAAAAACCAATATATGATAGACTCATTACAGGCAAAGTGACCATTTTGATGGGACCCGTAGTGCCCATGAAGTGCAATGGTTGATTAAACAAAGGACTTCAAAGCAAAAGTGAATGCAAACATAAAAATGGCCACCTTTGTGTAATCATCGAGGTTTTCCATTTTCTGAAGTTGATGTTTGATGTCTTTAGATGTCAGATGTTCAAGTAATATATAGGTTTTCCACGATTTGGCTTTGTTGTCCAGGCATGTTAAAGCCTATGGACCTTCTCCAGTCTTTCAGCACTGATTTAGACCTGCATCAGTCTGGTCTCAGTCCTACTTTAGTCCTGGTTCAGTCCTGTCTCTGTCCTGCTTTGGATCTGCTTTAGTCCTGGCTCAGTCCTGTCTCAGTCCTGCTTTGGATCTGCTTTAGTCCTGGCTCAGTCCTGTCTCAGTCCTGCTTTGGATCTACTTTAGTCCTGGTTCAGTCCTGTCTCAGTCCTGCTTTGGATCAGATTTAGTCCTGTCTCAGTCCTGCTTAGGATCTGCTTTAGTCCTGGTTCAGTCCTGCTTTGGATCTGCTTTAGTCCTGGTTCAGTCCTGTCTCAGTCCTGCTTTGGATCTGCTTTAGTCCTGGTTCAGTCCTGCTTTGGATCTGCTTTAGTCCTGGTTCAGTCCTGCTTTGGATCTGCTTTACTCCTGGTTCAGTCCTGCTGTTCCACCAACAGACATTATTTTGGCTTCTTGGCTTGTTCTTTTTTCCAATTTTCTGAGATGTTTTGTTTTGAGTTTTTAAAATCTGACTCAAAATGAGATAATATATACTTTATTGATCTCACTAAAGAGAAATATACAATTAAATTATCAACATTATTGCAAATAAAAGCCAGATATATCTCACTGTGTGTCTAATGAGTCTGACGTATATTTGTTTCACATTGTAAGTTGAAGTAGAGAGAAAATGGACGTTTGAACATTATTCTAATTTTTTGAGTATCTTCTGTTTATCATCTAGAAAAACACTGTTTGGCCTAAAATTGCCCAGTAATAAATGTGAATACTGCTGTTAAGGGGCGTTTTACATAAACACGTTTTAAGAATTTTGATGTTGGATGCTCATTTCTGTCCTACTCTTGGACTCGATGGGGCCGTGAAGAGAAAGCTGTGTTTTAAATGTGTGTGTGCCCACTCGGGTGGATGCATGCTGAGGGAGCAATAGTTAATTCAGGCCAGGAATCTGAATTATCTTGCCCCACTGTTTCCAATTAAGCTTTGGACATGTACAAGCTGCAGTTATGGGAGTGCCTCATTGCTGTGGTCCATTGTGTCCGCTCATCCTTAACTGCACAAGATAATTGTTGTTTCGTGTATACCTTCCCTTTGGGATGACTGCAGCCCCTGCCGCACTGTGATATGTCTAAAAAGACTTGTGGCACCATATCTGTTGAATTCGTTTTTTACCACTGAATTTTTCATTTGCTGCTGGCGGATCTACCACTGAGAACAAGTTCACTTTCACAACAACTGCCTGATCCAACCTTTCTCCATGTCAGCACGTCATGATCCTTCCCTAAACTGTCAATAGTCAGACATACTGTAGCATCCACATTTATTAAAAAACTCGATCTATCGCCTGTCCGTCCGTGGGAGTCGAACCCATCCATCCATTTTCTACCACTTAATCCATTTCTGGGTCAGGGGGGTGGCAGTCAGAGATGCCACCCAAGTCTCATAGCACCAGCCCCTCACTGACCCTCTGCAGGTGGTGAGTCCACAGGAGGATGGCTGCTCTGTCAGTTAAACCCCCTCTCTCAATATGGGCATTCCCAACGTTTTCCCCGCTTGTTTTTATTTGTTTTTAAGTCGTTCCTTTCCAATGCAGGAGGGTCTAAGGACATTAATGATCCTGGACATGTAATCACATATGGACAATTATTAGTATCTTTGGACATTGCTCATTCCGCTCCCTATGGTCCAACGGCTCCTATGTGTTTGTTATTATTGCGTTTCCTGTTCTTGTGAAGTCCTCCGAGACGACTGCTGAGTAATATAGAAATAATTTAGTCGATTAGGAGTTGCTACTGCCATGGGCTAGACAGACACTGTACACACTCTGCCTTTACAGATAACAGAAGGGGAAGAAAGAGAGAAAAGAAAAGAAAAAAGTTGCTTGGTGAAAGTAGTATTTATATTGATTGGCTCTTTGTCACGTTGTGTTTGGATAAAATGATATTTGTCAACATGAACATGTCTTTATACCTATATTTGACAACACTTGCTTTTTCTTTTGGAAAATATATCTTTAAGGCAGTCAAAGTTTACACATATATCACTCATACAGCTTATATACATCCAGCTTAACTTCAACTTTGTTTTAATTGAATCAAACTGCCATGGTTAAGTTGTTATTTTCTCTGCATTAAAAGCGCAAAAGCATATGTGCCTATCAAAAACTCTTGGAAGTGTTTGAATGCACTACATAATCTCCTTCGTCAGATGCCGGCGTATGAAAAGCATTTGTTAGTTCATATTTTAAGTAAGTAATCTTTATTATTATAGCGTCTTTTACAGAGCAGAGTCACAAAGCGCTTCACAACAGACCTATTGTACATGATTTTAGTGGTAGGGGAAACCGCAGTACCCGGAGGAAACATACGCAGCACGAGGAGAACATGCAAACTCCTCCCAGATAGGGCCTATCTAGAGGTGGAATCGAACCCACGACCAATTATACTGAGTCTTAATCAGAATTTGAATTATTCTTTGCAAGTCATTGTAAGTAACAGCAACGACACAAAATACGTATTTGCTTTGAACAAGATATAAAAATTTAAGAAAAAGTCTTGAAATTACTTCTCTCCTTGAGCTTGTGAGAGAGGCCTTGTTCCTGTCAATGTTTAAGTCCAGAATGAAAACTGTTTATTTGCTATAAATATGACAAATTTGAGGTCTATATTTTTGAAATTGCTTTAACTTTTATCTTTTTTAACAGATTTTTGAATACAATATGTTTTATATGTATATGCACTGTTTTTAAGTTTTATTGTTTATGAAGCACTTTGGGTCACACTGTATGAATTGTGCTTTATAAATAAATCTGATTTGATAAACAAGTGCACTAATAACACATTATAGACATGTAGCAGTGCAGCTAAAGTGACAGTCATAAAGTGTCATGGTCTGAGTGCCCTGTGCTGTGTTTTTCTCAGGTTACCCAAGGTCTGCTGGCTGTTTTCTACAACCTCGGGGACGGAGACTACAACGTGACTCTCCATTCGTTTCGCCTTAATAACGGCGAGTGGCATGAGGTGGAGCTGGAGCGCTTCGGCCGCGAGTTCAGTCTGCGCGTGGACGGCGGCGGGGGGAGGCGCGAGGTCACGGCGTCTCCGGGACGCAGCCACGAGATCATTATCGACCAAGCGGCGGTGATGCTCGGCAACTCCTTCCCGTCAGGACACAACCGCAGCTTCATTGGTACTTGTTTGCTAACTGACAACGACAGCTGAAAGTGAAGCGTAGATAAGCGGCTAATGACCTGGTGTTTCAAACGCATTTGCTTCTGTCACCGTTTTTACCGGATAACACTAGGACTCCCAGGATTATGGAACTACTCGAACACCCAGAGCCGTCATTTTGACTGCTGCCTTTCAATCCAATGGAATTTCTGAAAAATCTTTAGTTGTGAATCTTATTTTCACTTTTTTATTACTAAAGCTGGTGACTATAACTGAAATACAATGAAAATATTTGAAAAGGCTAAATGCAATTTTCTGACCGTAAACAGTGTGTTGCTATGGTATCTGGGAAATCAAGCTCAGAACCAGTCAAGGACCAGTCAAGGACCAGTTCAGGTCCAGTCTAGCACCAGTCTAGCACCAGACCGGGACCAGTCTAAGACCAATCTAGCATCAGCCCCTACTGTCCAGTACCAGTATAGCACCAGTTCAGGACCAGTCAAGGACCAGTCTAGAACCAATCTAGCACCAGTCCAACACCAGTCCAGGACCAGTCTAGAACCAGTCTAGGACCAATCTAGCACCAGTCCAGGACCACTCTAGGACCAATCTAGCACCAGTGTAGCACTAGTCCAGGATCAGTCTAGCACCAGTCCAGACCATGACCAACACCGTGGAGAAAAGAGGCTTCAAATGCTGGTTGCTAAGTCAATGGCTGCATATGAATTTCACATAAGTTAGAACTTCTCACATGTTTTTAGAGTTAAATTAAATTAGTGACAAATCTCTAATGACCAAAAATTTACATAAACTGAGACATCACACCAAAATTAAAAGCCGTCAAACTGACTGCTCAGTGACTTCTAATATTACATCAGCAAAACACAAATTTCATTTACACTTGAGAGTAAGCTTACAGCGCTTTGACCCTGCGGTTTGAAAACGATAAAGACATAAGCGCTCAGGATTTGTATTTAAATCATGCGTCGGCTGCCATGCCTCCTGCAGAGAGAGCAAACTAACAGCTAGAAAGAGTCTAAGCTAAAAAGGGCCATGCTGACAGGTTAGCCCCGGGCTGTTTGCGTGTCGAGGTGTGTCAGTGGGGTGTGTCTTTGCTCTCCCTCTTCACACGTTCACTGAGAGTCCATAAAAGCCTTTGCCTGAGGACTGGTGTTTTTTCACTATTGTACAGTCTCTCTTTTTCTCTTCCCACTCACTTTGGATGTCTGTGTTTGCTCAGGCTGTTTGCGGGATCTGAGGTTTAATGGGCGCCCTGTTCTGCTGGACGTGGAGCGACCCGCCGAAGGACTTGTGGTGGTGGCTTCTCAGGGCGTCTCCCCCGGCTGCTCCTCCGACGCCTGCAGGAGACACCAGTGCTCCGCTCCCCTGGTCTGTGTGGACCTCTGGAGACATCACGAGTGCAGGTGCTGTGGGACAAAAGGAGAAAAACTGGGCTGTTTAATGAGCGTACACTGTACAGATGTAATATAGTGTACATTCTGATATTCCCTGCAAGTATCCGGAGATTAGTAGTAGTTTAGCTTTAGCACACTAACAGATATTGTATTTGATTCAAGTGGATTCTTCTGTTATCAGTACCTTAGCCTGAATATACTGTAGTGTAGAGCAGTGGGCAATTTTTGGGATACATAGCAATGAGACTTGTTTTCATTGTGTGTGTTAGCTGACTTTTTTTTTGCATCTGCAGCTATATTTTTGTTTTGCAATATGTTTGGTACTTCGAGAAAATTATTATTTCATAGATTTGGATTGTATTTTTTACTTTCTTAAATTTCAATTCTTGCTTGGATTGAACCAAAACTGGACGAAAGCTAAAGAAGGCTAAGTATTGTGGACAGATGCATGTTTTGAGGAATTATTACGGAATGAAGTTTGTGGATGGAAAAAAAAGATCCCCGCGCCACACTTTGCCCAGGTCTGCCCTGTTGGTATCCTCTGGCAAGTATCCGAAAATGACTTGTAGTTTAGCTTTAGCACTCTGACAAATATGTTACTCTTTTCAAATGGAATCTTGGAGTGTTGGTACTGCAGATTTTTATCCCGACTTTAAATCACCAAAGTAACCCACAACCCTTCAGGTAGTCATGTGCGAATCTGTCTGCTTTCTGACTGGATGTTCAACCTGAGAACCAGAACAAGGTTAAAGCCGGGGTACCTACCAATGGATCTTTTAGTGTCATTACAAAATTTTTTAGAAGTCAGTACTTTTCCACTTGATGTTTGGTTTATCTGGTCAAAGCAAACTATTGGCTCCGCAGCAGTGGCTGAGGGGAGCTATTTTGTCTTTGCCTCGGTATAAAACCACGTTAACGCCGTTGAAACCCTGGCTGTGTCGTTTATGCTCCAACAATAACACATGTCTTCTGCTGTGACACAATCCCAGACCTCTGCATCTTTTGTCATTTTCTTCAGTTGGTGGAGAATGTGGGCATGTCTGAACAGCTAAACATCAGCACTACAGTATAGAGGACTCTTTGTTTTTTTTTTTTTTGACATATTGTATTGTCGGTTCACAGAATGAACAACACGACCAGAGTTTTCAAACAAACTTCACATGGTTTTACGCTCCCATCTCTGTGTGGAGTGAGAGGACAAAATGCCCACAAAAAAAAACTTTGGTTTGTGAAAGGCGCTATATTAAAAAAAGATTACTCATTTATTTACTTACTTTGAAACTCAGGCAAAAATACGAATGCTCCCTTACCAGTAGACCAGGAGTTTGATTTGTAAGGGTTACTATTCACATAACTTTCATACCACAAATAGATAGAAATAATTAATTGAACACATCTAACTAGCTTTTATCAGACATAAAAGTGTAAAAGTAAGAGCCCCCCTCTCTTAGCCAATCAGCACTCACCTGACTCACAGAGCTCTTTCTTTCAAGTATCCAAATGTTTTTTTCATAAGATTCTTTATTTTTCCAACACTGGGAATTTTTCATTACATAAAGACACTCAGTAATTATGAGAAGTTAGGTACCCCAGCTTTCACATAAACTACATGGACATCATCATCTCAAGTTTTTTGGAGTTCAAAGTGACATTTTAAGTTTAAGAATTTACCTTGACTGATGGACAGGATATAAAATGTAGATGTTATTAATAATGTTATTCCTGGATCCTTTATACTGAACCTTGAGAGAATGTTGCGGCTTGGAGCTTGTTAGAGAAGCTCAAAAAGGCTTTGTCAGTAAAAAAAGCAAATGATGAGTCGCACACACAGTTAGGCCTCTGCTTTTATACAGTCTAGGTCTCTGCACACACACAGACACACGCGCACACATATAGACAGAGAGACACACAGATACACAGAGATAGACACAGACATATTCTGTACACACGCACAGACACACAGGCACACGCGCACAGACACACAGGCACACGTAAATAGGAGAGAGAGACACACAAAGGTACACACTCACAGACACACAGACTCAGAGGAACTCAGAGAAAGATAGACACACTCATATCAACACACAGGCACACACACACACACACACAGGCAGAGACACACTCTCACACCGACACACAGGCACACACAAGCACACAAAGACAGACAGAGAGAGACACACTCACACAGGAATACAAACACACAGACCCACGCGCGCACACACACACATACACAAACACACAGACAGAGAGACACACACACACCCACACACAGAGACACACACACTCACACATGCGCACACACACGACCACACACACACATAGTTTGAATGCCCACAACATACCTCAATACAACACACATTTCCTATATCACTGCTACACTGCGTCAAACTGAGCATTAAGCAGAGCCCAACGGAACACTTCACTTCTTCCATGTCATTGTTCGGATTCATGGCGCACAGGTCAGAGACGTCCTGCAGGGGGCGTCTCACTGCAGCTTTACAGTGTGTGTGTGTGTGTGTGTGTGTGTGATGTCTGCGCCTAAGAGAATAGCTCTCCTCTGAGTTGCAGCTGTCCCTTTAAACTCTGCAGGAGCTCTCGGCCTGGGCGCCTTTAGTCCTGGACCCTGGCAGCTCTGTGTGAGACTTTTCACACTGATGGAGTATCCATAGTGGGTGATTGCCGCACTGCCTCCGGTCACAAAGCTCCGTCAGAGGCAGGGGGCACGGTGATATTTGGAGGATATTTTGAGGAAATACACATAAAGGGGAATCAGTGTAAAAGGGAACAGCTCTATTCTCTCCCCACGCATTTACTTACAGTGGCACAGATCTTTCAAATCGGGCATAAGTGGATATTTGTGGTCACGCTGGCAGCTCAGCTTTGTGGGCCAAAGAGTTCCTTTTGTTGTGCTTGTTGTTTGATGTGCCCTGTCCTTTTGTTCAAACAGAGGTGTATAAAGGACTTATCACCAAAGCTTATGATATTGCAACAAAGCTGGGTCTGACAAATTACATGGATCATTTCTGCAGGAAAAAGTCACATACTCCAGCTTTAAAATTATCTTTTTGTTTCATTGTTTGAAAGTCAGGTACCCCAGATTATATATCTTGACAGCAGTACCTGTTGTAATTTAGTACATTCTTCTCTCTGTAACTAGTTTTGTCTTGAGTATTGATGTTTGCAGAATGAGTCCAGGCAGCTCTGGTCTGCATTCGATGACCAAGAGACTGGCAAAACAGGCAGACTCTTATAGACACATTTCCGAGTTAAATTGCCTCGAAGAAGAAAGGAAATGTGAAAACCACCAAAACCAAAATGTCCAAACGAGATGATCTTCAAGCAGAATGATGGCAACACAAAACCATCATCCTTCCGTGTCCTTCAGCAACGTGGACCACAAACTGCATCAAGATCTTTACAATGAGATACATTTACCCATCGGGAGGAGAGAGGATTGAAACCGCAGAGTTCTAATCAGTAACAATGACGTCCCAAAGAGTTTGTAACAGATTGGAACAAGACAGCTTCAAATTACTACTTCCTTCTTTCATGGTTTAAAAGCCATGTTCCTCAGCTGCTACATGTGACATCATTGTAATTGGCAAATGCAGCAGAGGGTGCCGCGGGAGAGTCCCTGCCTCTTAGGAGTTAAAAGAATGGATAATTACGGCTCAGGTGAGGAGCAGAGAACTAACGGTTGTTAGTGTGTCGAGTGTTACTGCTGCAAATGAATAGTTATCTGGCAATAACAGATTAGTGCCATTAGAAAACATATTTTTAAAGGCTTATTATTTGCCCTTTGCTGAGTAGTTTTGTGAAAAGCTTGATCGGTTTTAGTGTCATACAAAAAAAGGTTTCACTCCTTTAGAAAACCATGATGAAAATTAATTCTAGAGGAAGACAACTTTTTGACTAATTTCAAAACAGAGATGTCTGTTTTTGCAAATTAAGTCATTACCCAATTTGTGTTATAATTTTTATGCATAATTTCTTATTACATGGTTTGCATATCCAACTGGACACTGCAGTTTATATTTAGTATTTAATTCATTCTCTTATTATCAATTATCTTAAATAATAATCCATGCTGGGTCTGTGCATCGCCTGAGTGCTCTTATGTCTCCTTTTATTCTGCTGTAGTCTGCGCAACAAAGACATTGAAAGTTCCCAACTTAGGGACGAATAAAGGTTAATCTTATCTAGGCTTATTAACAAACACACAGGTGATCCATATAATGAGCGGGATAACCGAGGCAAGTTTATTTGTGTAGCACAATTCATACACAAGGCGACTCAAAGTGCAGAGCAAAACACGATTTTTATTTGATTGATTTCAAACCTGCACAATACATATTTATACATATATACATAAAATAACTTATACCTGGTTCGAAAAGGAGTCGGATGAAGCCAGTGCTCATTTGATTCCAACCTCCGTCAGACATGAACTGTTTTGACAATATCATGCAGTAGAATTCTCAAACATGCAACGGAACAGTACAAACAGTTCAATACTACCACCGATGGTATTCGACAGATAGGAACACACGTAAATAATCGCAGTACGTTAAAAAGAGTAAAGATAAAATCCCTCAGTTGTGCGCACAGCTAAACAGAACTTTTTTTAACCTGGATTTAAATATTGTCAGAGAAGAAGCCTGTCTCACATTTTCAGGAAGACTACAATACATTTTGATTATTCATAATTTAATAATAAATCCATGTTCGGACTACCCCCCAGAGTGAAGTGTTTTAACTCTCTTCTTCACACACACTTTTATTCTTTGGTCTATTAACACTTTTTTTTGCATATATTATACTGTACTTGTTTGTGCAGCACTTTGGAAACATGATTGTTGTTTAAATGTGCTATAGAAATAAATTGGATTGGGTTGGATTAATAAATGCCATCAGCCCATTCACTCCTCTCCCCCTCCTCCTCCTCCACAGATGCCCTCCCGGACACCTGACCAAGGAGAGCTCGGTGGGCAAAGTCTGCGTCTACACCCTGTGCGCCAGCCGCCCCTGTCGCCACGGCACTTGCGTCCCTCACTCGCCCTCCCGCTACTCCTGCCACTGCACCCAGGGCTACCGCGGGCGCCACTGCGAAGTCACGCTCGCCCTGTTCCACGCCGACGGCAACAGCCTCAGCCTCAGCTCCATGTTCGCCATTAGCATCTGCGTCTTGGCTTTCCTGGGTAGCTATACCGAATACGTGCTATTTTATTTGTGGTAACATGTCCTCATCTCGTCTCTCTCTCGTAACGTCTGAAATACGTTCTGATTTGCCTTCACCGTCTTCCATCCTATTTGATTTTTATCTGTCTGTTGTTGTACTCTTGTTTATTTTTGTGTTTTGTTTTGTTTTTATGCGCACCTGGCGTTGTATTTCTGTTCTCCATCCGTCTGTGGAGCCTGTTCACATTCACTCATTTCTGTGTATTGATCTCTTGAGTTGTGCCGGATGTGATTTTCCATGGGAGTCTTGCGGGGACATGAAACAGATACCAGCCGCGGAGAAAGGGGGGAAACTGAGGGAAATAAACGCGCTGTGTCTTAATTTGAGATTCACAGAGAAACCATAAACGTCCCAGGAGAATCTGCGGCTTTCTTTATGTGGTTTTCCTCATTTCTCATCACTCGTGTGTCCCCTGTCTCTTCTGCTACGACCGTCACAAGTCAATTTCTGTCTCTGTGCTACTTCTGATCTGTCTAACTTGTGTTATGTCCCACTGTCCATTTGTTCATTTTACTTTTTCAATGTATTTTTGGATTTTCATTTCTCTTTCCATTGTACATTTATTTCCCTTGGCATTCTGAATGTGTCTATACGCTGGTGCACTTTAATGAAGGCGGCTTTGTAGGTCACGGACCAAAACATTGAATTGTACCACAGCCTTCACTTGAAAGTAACAACTAGGTCTGCATGGTTCCAAACATGTACAAAGCTCCCATCTGCAGGCAAGTCTTTTTGCTGTTTAAAATATTAACACCTATAAGTTATATGAAATGTTAAAGTAGCAATATGTAAGATATGTAAGTCATCATTAAAGGGCCCTAATCTGTCCAAAGGCATAAATTAACCATGCTCTTATCAAATACTTTTTTAACTGATAATACTAGTTCAGCCGAGATATTCAAATTTCTAAATTACTTTTCCAGCCCCTAAATCTTGTAATGGTTTCATTTCGATGTCTCGTCCTCCACCGTTTCACCAATCAGAAAGTCCGTAATCCGGGTTGCCAGAACTCACTGCGTCGAGCAAATCACTGGTAAAGTACCATGTGGCCGCAGAACTAAAAAAGGTCTCATTATGATTCTCAAATTATTAACGTCAAAACAAGGAATAAAAGCAGGATTTCTGTCTTTGTGAAAAAGTTGTTGGTTATAGATTTGTTGTAATTCTTGTCTATTCAGCTGTTATGGTCCCAGCTGGATTCGTCTGCATCTCTGGCAACCTGAGTCAGGGAGAGTGGGAGGGGACTACAGAATATTGACCGTGATTTCAGTACCGATGTTGTACCTTTAATGTGTTGTATGTTACTGTATGTTTATAGCCCGCCTAGTGGTGCATAACACACATTAGTCAGACATCATTGTAATCAAGATTCAATCAGTCCTAATTGTTAATGACCTGCTTTGGTTTTTGAATCGATACTGTAGGTCCTCAATCCATGCGGTGTGGATCAGACCTTGAAGAAAGATGTATTTATTGTATTGCCGTTCTCTCAGCTCTGCACTTTACAAGAACTCTCTGAGCAGTCAATTTGACGGTGTATAGTTTTGGAAGCGTAATTACTTGTGATATGTGACATGAGGAGGACTGTTATAGAGAACAGATTTGGGTTATGTCCCCTTTTAACTTCTTCTTCACTCAGGTGGAGATTTGATGCAATAAATTTCGAAGTGATTCAGTCCTATTCAGTAAAGAAATAACCTTCCTCGGTCCATAACCCACAGCTTTGGTTCATTTTACCAAACATGAAACATTATTGAAACATTCCATTCATTGAAGATTGTTTGGAACTCTGAGCATCACAAAATACCAAGAGAGGACAATCACAAAATATTGAATTATATTGACATATTTCAACCACTACCTCCAGTAGTTTTCCACCTCCATACATACTGTACATCTGTGTGGAGTTGGCATGTTCTCCTTGTATCTGCATAGGTTTCCTCCGGGCGCTCCGGTTTCCCCTACTGCTAAATACATGTACAATAGTTCCCCGTAACACCCTCCCCGGCTAATCTCCCGCCCCCTCTATCTGGAGCCAGGACTGAGATTTTGAAAGCTCAGTGGGATTTCCTGTTTAAATAAATACACATCAAGATTCAAAAATTGATGCTATTTGCAGTAAAACCATCCATCCATCCATCCATCATCTACCCCTTAATCCATTTCTGGGTCGGGGGGGTGGCAGTCAGAGATGCCACCCAAGTCTCATAGCACCAGCCCCTCACTGATTCTCTGCAGGTGGTGAGTCCACAGGAGGACGGCTGCTCCGTAAGTGTGAGCATAGCCTTGATCTTTCAGCGGGGGCTTTGGGCAATTAGGGGTTAAGTGTCTTGCCCAAGGACACAACGACAGCAGTCATCAGTGGGAGTCGGTGGAGAGGGTGTTGGGGTGGGAACACCCTCTCCACTCTGCAGTAAAACCACATTGGAATAACGGTGCAAGACTACCCCAGTGTGCAGCAGATAATACACACCAGAGCTACTGCCACGGTGCCATTTTTCCAGCAATAATAATAATAATACACAAGAATACATGTATTTATTTGAGTACAATGCACAAGTGAAAGTTGTGAGAAAAAGTCTAGAGTGACCTGATTAAAAAATTTTTGAGTTTCTTTTCATCTTCACACCAGACTATTTGAAAACCCTCCTACTCGAGTACATTACCCCCACCCCTGGTTCAAACAGCGCAGTACAAACTGTTCACAAGGTTATGGAGAACAAACGAAACGGAGCAGATGCGCGGTTCATGTTGTGGGTGAAGATTCCAACAGCTTGCCCTGAGAGATCGGCAGAGACTTTAGAAGAGCTATAGAGAATCTGGGGAAAAGCCGCAAGCGTTTGAAGAGCGGATGATCTGATCTGCTCTCTGACGCCTAAAAGGTCACTGGTTCACCGATGTATATGTGTGATTTGCGATGCTCAATCTCCTGGTTGTGGGAGAATTCTCAATATGAATGCCAATTAGCTTGTGTAGTCTGTTCTCAGGTGCGCTCCGTAGATATATTTTTCATGTGTTTCGCAAGATTTTCCGTCGGCAGCGAGCGCACGGAGCACAAAAAATACTACTTTCTTATAATTAAGGGCTGAAGAAAACATTTCTCTGACAGAGACATGTGGTTGCCGGAATAGGGTGAGTCCGCATTAAAAAATGAGAATGAACTTAGGAAAGAATATGAACTAGTCAAAAACTATTGGAGTGAACTCGAATCTGGGATAAATCAGGACAAGTGTGAGTGCTCTTTAAATAGGGGATCACCTTGTGCAACACATGAAAAGGTGCTTTAATATGTAGTAGACTGGTTTAAAGGGCAAGGTCTCTCAAGGAAGCAGTGGCAAATCAGGAAGTAGCTGTATGCCACATATGTTAGACTAGACCAGGGATTGGCAGCTTTTTATCAAAGACAGCTCCACTTGTGCCAAAGAGGAATGGTCAAAAAATAGTCAAAAACACATATCTTGTAACAATTGAGAGTTGGACCCTAAAGCAGAGACAGAGACGTGGTTGGATTCACTATCAAAAATGATTTAATTTACAAGAATACAATATAGAAAAGGAAGTGGACAGTGGAGACAATTTGGCCCTGAACAAAAAAGAAAGTAAGCAAAATCACAAAAATGAAATTCTAATCAAAAACTCACAAACTGACTGAGTGCACAAACTTCTCACATTGGTTAATCGGGCAGAGAAGTGGAGTCTGAACCAGAGTTTTGAGGAGGACAGAGCCAGCCACGCCCCGTGTCGCACACAAACACAAAAAGTATATTATTCATGAATAGGAGGAAGTCTCACTCTAGGCGCCTTAATGAACTAATGCATAGTAAGAAGGTCCTGGGTTCAATTACACCTATAGGCCTTTCTGTGTGGAGTTTGCATGTTCTCCCTGTGTCTGCTTCCTAAAAACACGTACAATAGTCCCCCATAACCCCCTCCCTGACCCCTCTCCCGTCCCTTCTCTCTGGAGCCAGGACCTCCCTGAAAAAGCGGCTCTACATTCTCAGCGGGACTTTCCTGGATAATAAAAAGGTCAATAAAAAAAATAAGCGTGGTTCCCGATTTGCAGGTTGTCTAGCCCTGCACTAGACCAAATGCTTAATAGAATAAGAAGGAGAGAATCTTACAGTATACATTGCGGAGCTCGGGGGAAATGTAGGTAATATTACAAAACAAACGGAAAAGTGATATCTATAGGGGAAGAATATAGGGTATACTGTAGCTACTTTTTTATGTTGTCTGTGCAAAAATATCTCTTCATTTGTGTGCGATAGACTCATGTTCTTGTGTTCCCTCTATCCTCACCGGGACCACACTGGTGTTTATGAGTCTTTCTGTCAGAGACGAGCTTATAAAACGCTTGGCCAATTCAATACAGTGTCACTGGCTCCATAAGTGACTGGATGCTCCCTCTGGGCATGTGGCTAGTATTGGGACATCAGTTATTCCGACACTTCAGAGTGAAACGTATAAAGCAGTCTTCAATATTTGATAATGAAGTGCAGCCTTGGCATCATTCATGGAATTTCACCCAGCGCGCATGCTAAATCAAAGAGGACGCACAATCTACTATTTTTCTTTTAAATGTCATGTAAAAATCCATCGCTGGTCTTTGAGGAATGTCTTGAAATGAAAACTTTTTGAAAAGACTAGACTCATACCTCAATAGACAAACTGTTTTTTGTGTGTGTGTGTTATTCTCTAAAGATTAAATTGTATGAATATCTATCGATTTTAGTTGAATCTTTGTGCAATAGTCTTTATAACGGAGTCGTAGCTTTGTCCAGTGCAGCAATGGTCTGATGAATATCTATTGATGCTTTATGCTGTTGTCTGATGATGACCCTGATCACCACAGGAGCCATAGCTGCACATACAAACACCCCACGCTAATCGGAGACTGCTGGCTGGGTGCTAAATTAAAGGGGGACTCGTTCTCTGCCTCAGCGTGCATTAAAAGTTAAAATGTTCATCTATTATTAAGTTTTACACAAGCTATCACAGAGGGAGCGGAGTGTGAGTTCAGCGCATGCTATTGACAAAGGCAGACGCATTCGTGTTGGACCATGCCTCATTAGCCCAGAATCAGATTCAATTTTCCCGAAGAGTGAGAGAAACGAGCTTCCTGTATGGATTTTGATGCCAAGATACACTGTAAAGTGCCAAGTCTCTCCCTTCCCTAAAAGACTCATAAATAAATGATTTTTTTCATCCTATTTCACCTGTCTCATTTTCTGCCTTCTGCTTCTTCATCACATTTTTCATCACCTAACTGATCCTCCTCATTATATTTTCCTATTTACATTTCTGCCTAGACAAAGGAGGGCTTAAATACGCTTGTGGTTTCTGGTTGTTTACACATGCATGCTTCCGTTATGCCCGGTCTTAGTCTGTTATAGTCGCTCACAGTAACAGTGAGGGCCCAGAGAGGCGGCAGCAGCAGCAGCAGCAGCAGCAGCAGCAGCAGCATTATAGATTGATGAATGACTGAGATGTTTGTTCTCCACACTGAGTGATATTGATCTCTGGACGTGCACACACCAGTTGACCGCAGTCGTGGCTCCAGGCATGCAAGCAGTCGGTGCTTCGCCAACGCGTGGGTGTGTATGTTTACCTGTGTGCGCTGTGTATTGAACTCCTCCAGAGACGCACTTGGTTCAGGTTAAGTGAGGCGCAGGGTCTGGGTGCACTGCGGCCTACAGGGCGCCGCTCACAGCAGCTCATTCAGGAGGCAACAGGGGCCGCTCATCGAGATTCTGCTGTTTTCTGCATCAGGCTCCAACGCAGAGATGAAGCCATAGGGTCATAGCTGATCAATACACCGCTCTCCCTCCGCCGGACTGAGCAGGACCGCCTTAGGAACAAGAGGGGAAGATGCTAAGCCTGCATTGCTTTGGGATATGAGACCAGCATAGCAATGTGAAACAGCAGCATCAAACACATTCTAACGATAATATTAGTGACATCACAACATTCAGAACTACTCATTTATTTGAAAATTAATAAATACATGTTTGGGGCATAATTCATTTATTACCTAGTGCAAGGACTTTGTTTATTATCCCAGTAAATAATTGGTATAATTTGGTGTAAATAAAGTATCCATCCGTCCTTGTGTCCACGGGCAGTACACACTTTTCCTCCTTAGAGTCAGGTGTCAGAGTGAGTTGAAAATTAGCATCTGGCTTTGCTGTAACCATCCATCCATCCATTTTTTTTTCATTTCATTTCATTTTCAACCTCTTTGTCCATTTCTGGGTCGGGGGGGTGGCAATGAGAGCTGCCACCCAACGCTCATAGCACCAGTCCCTCGCTGATCTTCTGCAGGGGGTGAGTCCACAGGAAGATGCTCCGTCAATTGTGAAACAGCCTTGATCTTTCAGCGGGGGGCTTCAGGCAATGTGGGGTTAAGTGTCTTGCCCAAGGACACAACGACAGCAGTCATCAGTGGGAGCAGTTGGAGTAGGTCCCATGGTGGGAATCGAACTCACGACCTCCAGGCCCAAAGGCCAATGCTCTACCAACTGAGCTACTGTCGCCCTGCTGTAACCAGTATGTGCATATCAAATGAATGAATGAGTGGTGGTGGTCAGAGAGGCCAAGGCCACGGATTTGTAGCCTCGCTTCTGTCCAAACCTGTGAGTCCAAGACACAATTCGGGGCAAAATCTATAAATATTGTGAATCTTGGGTCTGCCCCAGAACATCTGCAACTACAGTGGTAATTAACCACTGCGTACAGAGTGAGTGAATGAATAAGGCTGTGTCAAGCAACTGTGTCCAGAAAAGTGCGGGAATAAAACAAGAGCATTATTATTATCTTTATGATCTATATAATTCTAGCTTTTAAACCAGTGAGCATCATGATGATTTGAAGACACTTTGATCAGAATGACTTTCATAAAGGTTAGAGTTTCATTTTTGTATGCGTTTCAGCCGGTAGTGTGTCATGTTGATCTTTCTCCATGTTAAAAGTGTGGCACCGCTCAAAAAGGTTGGGGGACACTGATTTACTGTAAAAAATCTAATCTAAATCATAGAACATGTTAAACATTTGTAGATTTTTTTTTCTTTCTAAAACAGTGAATCTACCAAAAGGTCATGTTAACCCCATTCACCTGAAAATGTGACTTCAATAATCTACTGTCCTCAGCAGGCACTGGCTGTACTCCATATTAATCAACAATTGAAATACAAAACATTATTCCTGGAAATGTTGATGAAAAAATGCTCCCAAAATAAAGTTGGTTTATTAAATTTGCATTATTATGTAGAGAACTGTAAAGTGCAATGTCCTTTCTCTGCATATACTTAAACCGCCCCAATTATTTTCTCAGAGCCACAATGTTTTAACTTGAAACATCAGATTCTCAGTACAATTGTGTTTATCAGCCGTATCTATCTGTTAGTACGACCCCAAAGAGCAGTCCACATGTTTTCTTTCACAGCATTACTTTACAAATGTGGATTTATGTAGATCCCCAACCCTTCTCAGAGGACTTCCAATTAAACTGTCATTAACACCACACTGTATTCCGGTTGAGACGCAGCTCAGTCTTAGAGCGAGGAGAGAATAAGGCCGGGGCCAGGAGCCGGGCGTGCGAACAGCAAGAAAAATAATAAGCTTAGAAAATGGACAAAGGAGGCGTTTCTGTAGCCGAAAAAACAGGAAAACAAAATTAGGAAGATAAAAAGCAACGCAAGTGAGAACTAGTAAAAAAACAGATAGGGAGCGGAGAGAGGGAGTGAGAGGGATGGCAGATGGGAGGAAAATATTGGTTGAGATTAATGGACTTTAAAGGTCAGTGCAGCTTGTTGTATAATTCAGCGCACAATAGCTGTGATTGATGCGTGTGCTTTAGGACCTTTTCCTGCTCGCCTCCCGCAGAATTCTGGTCGGGCTGTGCCACCGAGGTTCTGGCGTTTAACTGGGAGGAGTGCACATCGGCTTAATAGCTTTTCGAGCAACTGCGGCATTTGATAAGACAGGGAACTTGAACTTGGAAAGCAGAGGAACGGGCAAAAAGGTGTCGTGAGCTCCCGACCTGGAATTCTATCACTTGTGGCCTCTGGCCACGCTGAGGAAAAGCCATGTTCCAGCTTCTTCCCTTTGGTAGAAGATGTTGTTCGCTGAGATGCAGGAGATTTCGATATTCGCTCGAGGCTTTTTACCACAAGCTGTTAACAGTTTGAACAAAGCGCTGTGATGATCTTGTTATTGAAGCTGTTTTTTGTTGATTAGTTTCACAGTGATAATTGCTTCTGCATGGTACCTTTTAGCTTGTTTTATTTTACGCACTTTTTTAGATTATTTACTATTTTTATTCTTTAATCTTATGTGTGTGTATGCTTTATAATTTACACAGACATATAGGGAGGAGAATGGGTAATAATAATTGAAATACATTTTTGTACATACATTACACACATATTAATACACATTCAGTAAATATGCATATTTTTTCTTTTTATTCAAAACCATACACACTCTTTTAGTAAAAAAAATTTAAAAAGTGGTTAGCGCTTGGGTTTGGGGCCTTTCTGTGTGGAATTTGCATGTTCTCCCTGTGTCTTTGTATGTTTCCTCCAGGTGCTCCGGTTTCGCCTACCACTAAAAACATGTCGAATATTTCTGAATGTGATGAGAGAGAGAAAGGACAAGTGGAGGGAATGGGAATTAGTGGTACAACAAATATGTAGAGCGATTTGTGTGACCTTGGTGAAATCCTCTACATAAATACAGATTACTTGCTTACTTGTCTGGTGCACACTGGGGTACTTTTGCAAATACCAAATAAAATGAGCCTGTATCTGTCTCGACTGTACTTGCGAGACCTGAGAGGACAAATCAGTGCAACGACAAAACTATTCTTACCCAAATTCTGTTCCAGTACAGCCCATATGTAATTCTCAGGGATTTCACGTGCGAGATTAGCTGGTGGAGCCCCCGCAGACTCGGCTCAAGTCATTTTTCATTCCTTTTTTTTTCCCGCCATCACTTCACACTCACATTGTAAATACCATTGACAGCCCAAAGATATGTTTTCTCTGCACACACTAGTTTTAATCATGTGCAAGTTGTGCTCCTGCTGTGCTTGTTAATCTGCTCTGTGGCGCCCCCCAGTGCTGATGCTCGGCCTGTTCCTGTACTCGTGCTGGAGGAGACACAAGGGGCTTAAGGAGGGGGTGTACCATGTGTCCGCGCACCATGGCGAGTGGGAGGACATCCGGGAGAATGTGCTGAACTACGACGAGGAGGGCGGAGGAGAGCAGGATCAGGTGAATATGCAAAGCTCTCATTTATGGACATGGAGATTTTTTTTTTTTTTTTTTTTAATATTAAGAACTGTATTGTGACTGTCCTTGATACAGACACAGACAGAAAAAATAATACTAATAATGTGTAAAAATGATATATATGATGTATGTATAATAATGGCATGGACAAATTAATAAATATATAGATAACTACAGAAAACAGGGACATTTCCTTCCTCCAATAATTACAATATTGTTCAAAGTACATTTACTCCTGTGTTTTAATATGGTCTGCATGTAATAACTATCATGTATTGGTTTCACATGTTCAATGAGTTGATGAACTTTTGAACAATATTCTTATTTTCTGAGTTTCACGTGTAGATTTATAGCCAATTATACGTAATATTAGGCTACGCAAGGCAAGTTTATTTCTACAGCTGTTAATACACAAGGCCACTCAAAGTGCTTAACAAAACAAGAAATTCATGAATAATCACAGTACATTCAAACGAGTGACGATACAATTCTTCAGTTGTGTACACAGCTACACAACACATTGTCAGAGAAGAAAACTTGTCCCCCCGTGTTTAGTCCTGACTCTGGGCACCAGCAGGAGGCCAGTCCCTGTGCTCCTCCGAGTCCCAGCAGGAGGCCAGTCCCTGTGCTCCTCCGAGTCCCAGCAGGAGGCCAGTCCCTGTGCTCCTCCGAGTCCCAGCAGGAGGCCAGTCCCTGTGCTCCTCAGAGTCCCAGCAGGAGGCCAGTCCCTGTGCTCCTCAGAGTCCCAGCAGGAGGCCAGTCCCTGTGCTCCTCAGAGTCCCAGCATGAGGCCAGTCCCTGTGCTCCTCAGAGTCCCAGCATGAGGCCAGTCCCTGTGCTCCTCAGAGTTGGTTCATATGGCACTAACATGTCACAGATGTACATAGGTGTGAGGCCATGAAAAGATTTGTACAAGTTAAGGGAACTTCGAAAACAGCCGATTTTATTTCATTTATGCATTTATTTTATTGTTCATTTTCTCGGGACAATGCTTGTTAATGAACACGCCTTTCCAGAATTGTAGCATTGGGCTAATTTGCATTCATTAAGATACGATAAGATCAAATTGTATTCATCTCACAAAGGAGAAATGTACATGCCACATCTATTACCTCAGTCACAAACTCTAATCTCATCGTACATGATTATAGTGGTATAGGGAAAACCGCAGCGCCCGGAGCAAACCTACACTTCCCGCTCTGCACTAAACGGCAAAGAGAAAATAGCCCTTACTCTGAGAGAAGAGATCAAGAATGCAGAGTCTGAGTTCAAAGTTTGCCTCTTCCCTGATCCCCTAAATGTGCTTAAATTCCCCCATAGAAGCCGGCGCTGACAGTTTCAGGTTATACATTCTTCCTGTTTGATGGGGCAGCATATTTAAAAAGCCTTTTCTGCCCAACTCCCACTCTCGAGAAACACTATTTATAGAATATTTGGCGAGTATACACTTTAATTAATTCATCTCTTCTTCGTAGCTGAACAGTATATAAGCGCTTTACCGTGAAAATCCACTTATGACTTTTTTTGGTAATGTATAGTTATTGTTGTTATGGGGATTTTAGCTCATAATAAATTCATTACTAAACTAAAGTGAGCAGGCTGTGTAATGCAGGTGGTTTCAAATGGGGAGTCTCGCAGTTCAGCTCATGCCAGGGTGAGTTCATTTGCCGGAATGGATCTGCACACACCGCTAGCTGCTAATGCTGCTGTTGTAATTGTGCTGGTAATAGCGTTTCCCAGCTTTGCAATCAGATAATTAATGACTTGAATAATCAATAGTCGTTGCCAACATGTCTCTGTATATGCTAACATGGATCTAGACTCGGAACAGGTTCATTTAAATGGGAAGGCTGTTTCCACACACCACTGTTTTCTTGTTGGATACAGTTGTGGAGTGAAGTGTTAATGAGAAGTATTAAAATGATTGGGTGCTTATTTGAAACGCGTTCGTCCAAAGAATGGTCCAGCGATTGATTAGATTACTTAAAAAAGGGCTTCGGTTTTCGTTAAACGCGTATCCAACACACCGCACTCAAAAGACTTCAAATCCTCAATAATGTACAGTATATAATAATAATAATAATGATAATGATAACTACTGGGGCAGAAAATACTGTAAAATATTAAGATCAAACTGAATTAATATAAAGAGATCCTTTATTTGTCCCACAGTGGGGAATTTTCAGTGTTGCATCACAAGTTATAGAACAGTAGGAAAGAGGACACAGCAGGAGATAAGATAAGTGAACTATAGATTTACTAATAATAATAATAAATCTTTATTTGTAAAGCACTTTTCAAAAACAATGTTTACAAAGTGCTTCACAGTCAGCATAATAAACAATAAATCAGTCATAATACAAAGTTAAAACAATAAGATAGAATACAAGAGGACAAGACAGGACAGACCGTAAAATACAACATTATAAGTTTAAAGCTGACAATTAAAAGCTGTTTGATAAAATAACAATAGAACTAAATCTCAAACTCTAGCATTGAGAACAAGTATAAAATCTCTATCTGAAAGTTATAATAAAAAAGTGTTTTGCATTTGGTAAAATAAGAGGCAAGTGTAATTGTTGTCTTTTATTTTGTCCTTAAAGGGAGCAGATTGTGGAATGATTGGTGGTCAAAGAGCCTATACCCCAGATTGACAGCCTTGCTCTCATCAGTCAACCCCAGGGCAGCTGCAGCTGCAGCTACAGTAGTTTTATTTCCCCGTCACAAAAAGTGTCTGAAACTGGTGCATTATTATGATTAGTGTTATATTTTCTCCTAAATCTTCAGAAAACTCACTCCTTCTCTTTTCTGCTGTTGTTCCAATATCATTTAAAAATACAGGCTGTGTATTTTTATTGTTATATTTATATACAGTACAGAGCAAAAGTTTGGACACACCTTCTAATTCAAAGAGTTTTTATTTTTATTTTCATGATTATGAAAATTGTAGATTCACACTGAAGGCATAAAAACTATGAATTAACTCATGTGGAATTATGTACATACTGAAAAAGTATGAACCAAGTGAAAATATGTGTTATATTCTGGTTCTTCAAAGTAGCACCTTTTGCTCTGATACTGCTTCACTCTTGGTATTCTCTGGATGAGCTTCAAGAGGACCTGAAATGGTCTGAGTTCCCACAGATGCTCAGCACTTGTTGGCTCCTTCACTCTGTGGTCCAGCCCCAAAACCATCTGGATTGGGTTCAGGTCCGGTGACTGTGGAGGTCATGTGGCCCAGCACCATCACTCTCCTTATTGGTCAAACAGCCCTTACACAGCCTGGGTGTGATCTACAGTCAGTAGTCATGAAAAGTAAGGACACTCATTGAATGAGAAAGTGTGTCCAAACTATTGGTCTTTACTGTATTTGCTAAACTGTAACTTAACCAGTGCTCTTTGTTGTCAACCTGAGGGTCACAAAAATATTCAGAGACAATTAAATTGTGGTACAGTTGTGGTCACAAGTTTATTTATTCACTGTACGTTTGAAATAATTTAAATACATTCTTTTTAACAAGTTTACAAACCCTGATAGAAAATTTGTCTTCAAAGCCATTTTTAAGAGGCTAAAACACAAAACTTGTGCTTGTGGTTGTATGAAGCTATTTTTATCGAACAACATCAAACTATATAATGCTGATGGAAAGTATGCTAAAACAGGCTACTAAAGTTATAACACCTTCACATTTACTGTCTTCACCACTAACCATGAGTGGAAAGTTGGCAGGATGACACTGTGCACTCTTGTTTATAATCTCAAAGACTTTTTTGTGTTAGCTAGGCAGGGGCCACATTATTTATTTATTCTATTTATTTGTTCACAAACATTAGTTAAATGATAATATGACACAGCAGGCCGCAACTGGCTCACGGGCCTTAGTTTGGACCTGTCTGGTTCAGGCTTCTGTCCTGACATATAACTGTGCAAAGGCTAATATTTCATTTATGGACATTAATAACATTCATGGACATTGGTCTATGCTCCCGATGGACCGAAGGCTCTGTGTGTTTGTGTGAATAACTCGTCACAACTCTACTATCAGTTTGTTATTGTATTGTTGCATTTCCTGTGTTTGACCAGTTTGATTCTCTGATCTGTGATGCTGGTTTGAGAATCTCTGAACTTAAAAGTCTCAGTTTATCTTGTTTATGTGATGTTTCTGATTGGTTTCTCTTCCCTCAGAACGCCTTCAACATGGTGGAGCTCCAGCGTTCCCTCCAGGCCAGCCCCGCCCAGTCTCTCCGCTACAGCTACCCACAAACCGTCATATCCTACCCCAACTCCAAACAACCCCAGGACAACAACAACAAGAAGACTCTCCCAAACGGGAACGGTAACGCCGCCATTGCCTTGCGTCTCGCCATGCCCCCCTCAGAGACAGAGACCATCCCGTCGCCTCTGACTTTCCGACGTTCCCAAAAGACTCTGTCCTTCTCAAGCCAGGACTTGGCCCGCTACCTGTGCGAGGTGATCAGGGACATGGATCACCCGGAGGAGCTGGGGACCATGACCACGCCCCGCCGACCCAAAGGGAAGGAGAGGGGCCTGGCCGCGGTGCGCTCGCTCAGCTCTCTCAGCGCGTCCTCTCAGGGTCCAGAGGTGAAGCTGCAGACTGGTCGCACGGACAGGTTTAAAACGCTCAAAGCCGTGGTGAGCGATTTCAGAGGAGGGGGGGGAGAATCTCGGAGCTCGGAGGCCCAGCGAGACAGGGCCAAAGAGAGCAGAGGGCAAGTCAACTGTGAGAAGAGCGGCTGAAGCTGAGGCGGATAAACACAGACAGAAGGGCGCTGCGACGGTTAAAAAAGACTGGAGAATGGGTCTTTGTGACGTCTGTATATGTTCTGTAACGATGGAGATTTGAACAGTAACTCTCTTTGATATCCAAAATGTTTACCAATGAATGAGAAATGTAATTTATCGTTTACTCGGCAATGCACTGTACAGTATTTATTCCACAGAAAGCACTTTTTTGGGGAAGCGCTTTTCATGTCACCAGACTCATAAGAGTAATGTGTGCAAGGAAGAAAAGCGAAGAATTATGAGTCCCCCCCCCCCCGGAGATCCGCGCCGCCACTTCCCTTTTGGTTGTAAATGACTCATGAAATTGTTTATGTGACAAAATGATTTTGTTTAATTTGTTTTATCTATTTCCTTTTAAATAAATGAATATCTTTGATAATATTTGGAGCCCAATCATGTTCCAGCACTGGTTCAATTTAGATTAGTGATTAAAATCGAGCACGTCTTTGAAGTTGAACTCACTCCATCATCGGATGCTGGTCACGGTGCGTTCATACTTTCATAGTTGCCTTTTTTTTCCTCTCAAGATGTTCAACAGACATCCAATGACAGACACTTACTTATTGCTTCTAAGTGCTTCCAATTTGCTTTCCTTAGCATCACTTCTGGCATTGATTTAGAGGACAAAATGTATCACTTAGTCCTAACATCTGTTCCAATCTGCCTGCAGAGATCATCTCCAGAAACAAGACACTTTGATGAGCAGGAGAACAAAGTCAGGATTAATCATTCATGTCCAGCGTTCGTAAAGCCTTCTGACCCGAGCTTCTGGGACTCTCAAGTCTGAACCCCGAGTCGGCAGGGGTCCCAGCAGGCAGACCCTACACCATATATAATTGGCTGATATTACTGCAGTTAAACAGCTGTGACACTGGAGGCAACCGCTGGGGGGACATATCTGATGTCTTTATCCAGCCTGAGTTTCTATACCTTCATATTTGCAACACGCTGAGAAATGGGAGTCTCCGCGCTAAAGCCTCCCGCGGTGCACACATGATTATCCATTTCTCTATTAATGAGCATAATTTACATTTGACTCTATACGTTCAGTTATATGAGGCGGTCTTTACGTGTCCTGTCATGTGTGGTCGGTGTGTTCTCGGGGCGCGCAGACGCAGTGCCATCTACTGGACACCTCACGCTACTGCACTAAACACTTTATCTCAGCTGAACATGAGTGGGATTTCGGTGAGAGGATCTTCTGGTCCTTGAGCCAGCCTCTTGGGGAAGGCAAATTATGATTTTCTTGTAATATGGTTCCTCATATTAGCCACTGTGCGCGTGATTAATTGCGGTGCCCATGAGCAACTTGAAGCTCCTCATGTTTACAGACTTCTTCAAATTGATAAACAAAGCCGTTATTAAATTAGACTACCAAGTTTTACAATCAGTTACTTTAGTTTGGTTTTAGATATTTAGTTATCCCTAACCCAATTCAATAAAGAAATGACATGGGAGTTCAGACAAATATACACAATCATCCATCCATCCATCCATTCATTTTCTTCCCCTTAATCCATTTCTGGGTCAGGGGGGTGGCAGTCAGAGCTGCACCCAGTCCACTTAGCACCAGCCCCTCACTGATCCTCCTGCAGGTGGTGAGTCCACAAGAGCTGAGATCTTTCAGTGGGAGCTTCAGGCAAAGTGGGGTTAAGTGTCTTGCCCAAGGACACAACGACAGCAGTCATCAGTGGGAGTCGTGAAGTAGGTCTTATGGCCAATGCTCTACCAACTGAGCTACTGTCGCCCCACAAGTAAGTAGTAGTAATCTTTATTTATATACCGCCTTTTCACTGCAGATTTGAGTCTCAAAGCGGTTTACAATTGTTAATTTTTGGGCATTTGTCTCTCACTCCACACAGAGATGGGAGCGGGGTCGCCAGTACAGGAGGCACATGCTAGAACTATTGGACATATCTTTAGTGGTAGGGGAAACCGGAGTACCCGGAGGAAACCTACGCAGACACGGGGAGAACATGCAAACTCCACTCAGAAAGGCCCTGGTCCGACTGGGATTCGAACCCAGGACCTTCTTGCTGAGAGGCGAGAGTGCTATCCACTCAGCCACCGTGCCGCCCGCACAATCATTCTGGCTTAATTCTCAGCAAGAAGGTTCTGGGTTCAAATCCCAGGCAGAAGAGGTACTGTCTGAGTGGAGTTTGCATGTTCTTCCTGTGTCTGTGTAGGCACCACTGCTCCTGACAGACACCCTAGTTTTTAAGGATGGGTCAAATACACTCTCGCTCTGTCTCTCTCTCTCTTTCTCTCTCTCTGTCTCCCTCTGCCTCTCTCTCTCTCTCTCTACCTCTCTCTTTCTCTCTCTCTCTCTGTCTCTCTCTCTCTGTCTGCGTCTCTCTCTCTGTGTGTGTGTCTCTCTCTCTCTCTGCCTCTCTCTCTGTCTCTCTGTCTGCGTCTCTCTCTCTCTGTGTGTGTGTCTCTCTCTCTCTCTCTCTTTCTCTCTCTCTGCCTCTCTCTCTGTCTGTCTGCGTCTCTCTCTGTGTGTGTGTGTGTCTCTCTCTCTCTCTTTCTCTCTCTCTGCCTCTCTCTCTCTCTCTCTCTCTCTGTCACCCTCTCAGAGCATGTTGCTTTTGTACAACATTATACATCTGATGAGGCCATTCCAAAATAAATTACTTATAAAAAATAGGCCTGTAAATCGTTGCTGTACAGACTCACTGCTCTATGGCCTCTATGACAGCTGCCTTGTTCTTGCACATGCACTTACCACATGGGGACACACTTTCTATTCACTCGTGGGATCATGGTTGGAATTATGAGGTAAATTTGACATCTCATTTTAGGAATATAACCAGATTCTTAGAGGTTTTTTTCTAATGTTAATATGTATCTTAATTCAAGGGGATGATGTCTGTAAAACGCGGACAATATAATTTTTCAATGGTAGCATTTTCCGTAGCTATTTATCACTTATAAAAATAATATATTCCCTCAGCTATAAAATACCACAGAGGAAATGTCACAAAACTAGCACGTACTGTATATTTGCACATGGGACAAATCTTTTAATTTACTTGCAATACATATTTAGAGCACTAGAGGGCACCAGATGTCTTTGAAAATTTGCTACAGAGAAGCTACCTCACAACATACTTTTCTATATGACTGTACAATATATAGAAGAAATGAAAATGTGATTATTATTATTACATTTTTTTGCTGATATTGGTTCTAGTAAAACAGTAGGAGTATTACATTGTGATACCATGAGATCATTTGTTTGTTCATTGCTTTTGCTCCAGCAGGTATTTTAAGTGCAGGTTTTGACAGGGATATCAAACATGCCCGGTGCCTGGGGTGCATTTTGTCCGTTGCAGTGCTCTTTATTGATTTCAAACTCCTGCTTAAGTCAAATATGTAACAATAGGAGATATCGCTCCCATTTGACTTGAGACACATTGAGTTAAGGTCTCTCCGAGAGCAAATCTGCAATAATCAAATCAAGCTTCTACACGAGGCAGTATCTGAAAGCACATAAGTGCACACGGTGGGTGAGATTTGAAGGGTGATACTCAAAGATTCACCCTGTTGTAGAAAACATTAAATTCTACTGGATGCTTAAAAATGAAATGATAATACAGAATTTGATTGTATATGTGCCAAAATTACAACTGTTTCATTCATATTCTACAAAACACACACTGTATCACACTGTCCTATAGTAGAGGGTTAGGGTGCATTTGACCCATCCTGATGCTGCCATGATGCCACTATAGGGTGACTTGCAGGAGCAGTGGAGGATTTACCTTGTGCATGTGTTTTAGTGAAGGAAACCTACGCAGACACAGAGAGAACATGCAAACTCCACTGAGAAAGATCCTGTTCCGACCGGAATTTGAGCCCTGGACCTTGCCATCCACTCAACCACCGTGCCGTCCTGTATAGCGTCCTGAGACTGGCTCTGACACTTTAGGGGTCCATGTTGGGGACCCCCATCTCTGATCTGTCACAACTGAAGACAAAGTGTGGGAATTTCAATGAAAAGAAAAATTCTGAATTTCTAACACCTGACTCATCTGCAGATGTGTAGGCTCTCAAAACTTTTCACAGTATTATATTCTTGGCTCAAATAAGTCACTGTCAACTTCATTAGTATTGCACATTGACAACAACACCAGCAGCTGCCCAAAGTCCTTCACGTGCACGAAAGAAAAAATAAAATGAAACAGAATTAAATACATACAAATAAATGTAAAATATGGCTATACCTGCATGTGAGAGCCTGTCATACTTCTAAAGCTAAGCAGCATATGGGGTGGTTAGTACTGCGATGGGAGATCTCGGGGACACCAGACGCCACAACTGGGTGTCCATTTGGTGTTAAAATTATAAAATAAAATAAAAAAATAATTATTCATCCCACAAACGGGAAACGCCAGTGTTGCATCACCAGTTACAGAACAGTGGGATATGAGCAGACAGCACAAGACAAAATGAACAATAACGCTAAAAATAATCTCTAACTATAGGATAATAAAGAAGCAGGTATCAATAAATATGGCTGAGATTTCAACATTAATAATGGATGTTTTTCTGGTGTTTGGTCAAATACAGCTCTATTAGTATAAAGTTAATATATTTTAAATAAACTCTCATGTCATGTTATCAGTGTAAGTGTGAGCTCAGTGTCGTGTGCAGGAGGCTGAGAGCGCACTAGGCGGGGGGACGTGCGGAGCAGCGTCTGATGTGACGGCTGCAGATCGTAAGAATGAGTCCTGACACACAACTGCAGCGGCCGCTCGTGGAGTCATCCTGTCACTCAGACCATCATACACACACACACACATGCACAGAAACACAAACACATGCATAGAGACACATATACACACACACATGCATAGAGACACATACACACGAAGAGAGATACACACAAACACACACACGCACACACACACACACACACAAACACATACACAGACACGCACACATGCATAGAG